GATGTTGATTGTTAGATTTTAAAGCCTTTTTTTTCAAGGAAAACTTCTGAGTGTTAGGAAGTTACATATTTACTTGGGAAAACTGTCAGCAACACTTCTCCAAAAAAGGTCTTTGTTTGAAAATTATTGTATTCATTCATTAACTATTGATAGATTAACAGTGTTTAAAAATAGCAAAAATGGGGCCTCTCTGGTGGCGCAAGGGGTTATGACGCAACCTATGAAGCTATCCCCAGCCACTGCAGCACAAGTTCAATCCCCAGCCAGGGAGCTACCCACATGGCGCAGCAGACCTCTCCAGTCTCGCCTGCTGCTCCTCTCAGCAGTGTACTTCGATCAATCTGCCTGTTTTGTTCCCCACTCTGTCTCTGGTGAATCCTCTCACCCCCCCCCACACCTCTGACATGTACCCCAGTTCTTGTATGCATTAAAAAAAAATGAATCTTTAAAAAAATAGCAAAATGTCATTGACTTTATTATAGCCTTGCATACATAGAATTTTTGTCAGCAGAAGCTGCAGAGTTGTGTGGAAACACTCGAGATGCAGATGGCACCTGCAGTGCGGAAATTTGGGAGGAAGTAAGACTTGACTGCTACCTTGCTATTAGAGAAAGCCTTAGTTTTAAGGTTAGTATTGAGTTAAAATGGGCAGAAGGTGCTGAGAGCAACTTTTACAAATGGAGGTAAGAGATAGAGAGATGGAGCTAAAAGAGGTCTCCAGAATATGAACTTTGGAGCTTTGGATTTAGATACTAGCTGTGCATCCTTAGGCAAGTTATCTGACCTCTCTGTACAACTATAAAATGGAGCAGTTAATAGTAAGTATGGTTACTGTCAGGAGGAATAAATGATAACATGTACAGTGCTTATAATTTAGCTAGGACTTAAATATTAACTCAGAGCTGCCCAAACCATGTCGTCCTTAAACGAATGGATTTCGTTTGTACTAATCCTCTCAGACCTTGAGTGATACAAATGTTATTTTCTCAATAAGTTGCACTATGAAAAAGTTGCTAAGTAGCTATTATCTGATAGTATAGTATTTACACTGTAGGACCTCAAGGGTGACACTTTTACATTAGGATTACTATTTAATTTTTTTAATATTTAAAACTTCCTCTTTATTATTACAAAAGCAACATAGGTAGATAATCATATTAACACTATTAGCCTCTTAATATTCTTTTACGTCTTTTTTATGCATTTTTTTGTACTAATGTGGAAAGTCATATTTGCCTTTTACCCAGAACTGACATGGGATTATTCTTTAATATTCTTTGTATAGTGGACCTCCCTGGTGGCGCAAGGGGTTAAGCACAACACTGTGAAGCTATTTGCAACCTCTATAGCACAAGTTCAATCCCCAACCAGCCAGGGAGATATCCACATGGTGCAGCAGACCTCTCCTGTCTTGCCCGCTGCTCCCCTCAGCAGTGTATTTCAGTCAGTCTGCCTGTTCTGCTCCCCACTCTGTCTCTGGTAAATCATCTCACCCCCCAGCACCTTTGGCCTGTACCTCAGTTCTTGTATGCATAAATAAATAAATCTTTAAAAAAATGCTCTTTGTATCCTACTTTTTTCAGTGAATGAACTTCATTTTTCCTTGTCAATTCATTTTTGTTTAATAACCAGTTGAGGGCCTCCCTGGTGGCGCAGCGGTTGAGCGCTGGGTTGCGAAGCTGCCCAAAGCCTCTGCAGTGCCGGTTCCATCCCCGGCTGCTCCCGGCCAGGCCACCGGAGGAGGGTCCCACATGGCGCGTAGACCTCTCCTGCCGCCCGCTGCTCCCCTCAGCAGTGTACTTCGGTCCTTCTGCCTGCTCTGCTCCCCGCTCTGGCGAATTCTCTCACCCTCCCGCGCTTCTGACTGTACCCAGTGCTTGCATAAATAAATAAATGAATGAATGAATGAATGAATGAATGAATGAATGAATGAATAAATAAATAAATCTTTAAAAAAAAACCTAGTTAAAAAAAAAAATAACCAGTTGATATTCAAATTTACTCAGTTGTTCCAGAAATCTTTTATGGTTGATATATCCAGTATGTAGAAAATTTTATGTAGAAGGAGGAAGTATTCGACTACTTAAAAAAAAAATTTAGAACTACTTGTCTAGTCCATCCTATGCTTCCGGTGTACACACTTTAATATTTTTCATTTTTATTTTTATGTAAGTCACGAGATATTAACGAAACAATAGTCACCTGGTCTTCTATCCTACTGTCTCACTTCCCAAGAGTAATTTCTTTTCAACTCTGATTCTTTAGTACTTACCTGTATATCAACAAATAACATCTTTATATTGCTTCTTTATGAGTTTCCAGTTTTATTCATTTTATTCCCACCGTAGATGAGACTTTTATTTCATCCTCCTATCCTTGCCCAGACCTACACATCTCTTGATCTCTCTGTACTTATTTCGATTTGGTTTAACTTACTCTTGATGCTTGCATTGTTATGATTATGCAAATTATATACATAGCTGAGCCATATATTATTTCATGATTGCCATAATTATATTTCTTTTTTTTTTTTTTTTTAAAGATTTATTTATTTATTTATTTATACAAGCGCTGGGTACAGTCAGAAGCGTGGGAGGGTAAGAATTCACCAGAGCCACAGCAGGGAGCAGAGCAGGCAGAAGGACCGAAGTACACTGCTGAGGGGAGCAGCGGGCGGCAGGAGAGGTCTGCGCGCCATGTGGGACCCTCCTCCGGTGGCCGGGGAGCAGCCGGGGATCGAACCAGCACTGCAGAGGCTGCGGGCAGCTTCGCAACCCAGCGCTCAACCGCTGCACCACCGGGGAGGCCCCATAATTATATTTCTTAAGCACCTTTTTATATTCTCTGGAGTTAATGATTGAATTGGTACTTTTTGCTTAACTTTTTTGTCTTTTTGTCTTTAATTTAACCCCAGATTCTCTGCCAGTTAAATCTCTTCTAATACAGACATTCATTATGTTCAAACATGTGTGTTCTATTGCTTTCTTCTTCTCTTAGCTGTTTCCCAGAGTTTCCTTTTTTTTCTTTTTTTTAAGATTTATTTATTTATGCAAGCACCGGGTTACAGTCAGAAGCTGGGAGGGTGAGAGAATTCACCAGAGCCAGACTGGGGAGCAGAACAGGCAGAAGGACCGAAGTGCACTGCTGAGGGGAGCAGTGGGTGGCAGGAGAGGTCTGCGCGCCATGTGGGACCCTCGCCCATCAGCCAGGTATCTAACCCGCGCTGCAGAGGCTGCGGGCAGCTTTGTAACCCAGTGCTCAACCGCTGCGCCACCGGGGAGGCCCTGTTTCCCAGAGTTTTCTCATTGCTTCAGTATGTGCATGGTATTCTATAGGTTGGCTCTGCAGGTATCTTCTTGGGAACTTCATTGTCCTAAGTATTATTTTCTTTCTTGGTTTGATCTGGATCTCTCTCTCTTTTGGCATATTCATTCTGGTAGCCACATCTTTAGTAGCTTTTTTAATAAGGGAGCATTGGACCTCCCCTGGTGGTGCAGGCAGTTGAGCGCCTCGCTGTGAAGCTGTCTGCATCCTCTGCAGCACCAGTTCAATCCCGGCCGACCTGTGAGGGTCCCACATGGTTCAGGAGACCTCTCCTGTCATGCCCGCTGCTTCCCTCAGCAGTGTATTTTGTCAGTCTGCCTGTTCTGTTCCCTGCTCTGTCTCTGGTGAATCCTCTCACCCCCACACACCTCTGGCCTTTACTCCAGCTGTTGTATGCATAAAATAAATAAATCTTTAAAAAAAAAAGGGAGCATTAAGTTGTTCATTATTTGATAACCTTACATGTATAAGAATGACTCTGTTAAACTCTCTTGCAGTTGGTGATATTTTGGCTTTTGACTTCTAGGTTAGAGTCTCCCCGTAATGTGGAAGGCACTGTTCCACTTGCCTTATGGTTTCCATTGTAGCTGCTGAATCAGTCCTATTCTGATTCTTGAACTTTCATGTGGAAACTATCTTCTCTGTGGAAGTTGAAAATTATTATTCCTCTTAGTATTATGAAATTTCATGGTGATATGCTTTTATCCTTGTGTAGGGAGGGTATACAGCCTCTTCAATTTCAAAATTCATGCCTTTCAGTTTTGGGACATTAACTGGAGTCATATTGATGGTGATTTCCTAGCCCTTGGGTATCCTTAATTTTACCCACATATTTCTAAGGTTTGTTATTGGCTTGATTTTGACTACCCTTTCTTTTGTTTCTCTGTATTTCACATATAGGTGAAATCATGTGATATTTGTCTTTCTCCTTCTGACTTATTTCACTTAGCACTATCCCCTGCAGTTCCATCCTTGTTTTTGGAATGGGAAGATTTAATCTTTTTTTAATCTTTTGTTAGCATTCCATTGTGTATGTATACCACATGTTAATCCCTCATCTTCCTTGTGCATTTAGGTAGTTTCCTTAACTTGGCTATTGTAAAGTAGTGCTGCAGTGAACATGGGAGTGCTTATATCCCTCTGAATTGGTGTTTTCGTATTCTTCTGGTGGATACCTAGGAGTGGAATTGCTACATCTTTTGTGTCTTTGTAGAAGAACTTGGGTGTAGGCCAGAGGTGCAGGGGAGGGGGTGAAAGGATTCACCAGAGACAGAGTGGGGAGCAGAACAGGCAGATTTACTGACATACATTGCTAAGAGGAGCAGCAGGCAAGACAGGAGAGGGCATTATGTTCTTGAAAGAGATAATAAAATTGTGTATACATGTAGTAATTCTTGTATACATACATTCTGAAGAGCACAGTGAGTTACTGTCCTGAATTTATTTCTTCTTTGAAATATATATATATAAATTGTATATATATATATATATATATATATACACACACACACACACACACATATATATATAAACTTTTCCCAGAGCAACAACAAATTGCTCTCTTGAGAATTGTAAGAATATGTATTTTTCAATATTGAAATATATACATTTTCTGTCTATCTAATATTTTCAAGATTTGGAATAGATCTGATGTTCTTGCATCTATTATCTTATAGGCCTTTGCCCAATTTGATGCTGAGGGAGATGGTACAGTTGATGCTGAGAACATGTTGGAAGCCCTCAAGAATTCCAGTGGAGCTAATCTCCAGGGGGAGCTGAGCTACATCATGAGACAGCTGCAGGCTTGTTCGCTTGTTCCAGGTAAGGCTGTCACCTGAATGCTGAGTGTTAAGAGTGCTCTTAGAGCCAAAATAAGCTTTGCTGTTCCACAGGTTGTAATTAGGCAAGCTGATGGGCACCTTGAAATTAATGGCCTTCTCCAACAGTCTTCATTAGGCACATGATCTGAATTTAGTGTTCAGTGTAATCATTTTTTTTTGTTTTCCAATACAGTGATGGTTGAAAAGGTTCACCATTTTTGTGAACCTTAGTCATGAGATTACTTTCCCTAGTGACTGTCTTTTTTTTTTTTTTTAATTTTTTTTTTTAATAGAGGCATTTTTTTTAATTTATTTATTTGTTTGTTTGTTTTGTTTATACATACACTGGGTACAGTCAGAAGCGTGGGAGGGTGAGAGAATTCACCAGAGCGGGGAGCAGAGCAGGCAGAAGGACCGAAGTACACTGCTGAGGGGAGCAGCGGGCTGCAGGAGAGGTCTGCTCACCATGTGGGACCCTCCTCCGGTGGCCGGGGAGCAGCAGGGGATCGAACCGGCGCTGCATAGGCCGCCGGCAGCTTCGCAACCCAGCGCTCAGAGGCCCCCCTAGTGACTGTCTTTATTTCACTCTCTCAAGAAGCCTTCCCAAGCCCCTATTGGATGTTTCTTATCATGTTGCATTTCTTTTTTAAAGTGTTATAATGGTAATTAGGTGTTTATTTAAATGTTTGTTAAATGTCTATTCTTATACTGTCAGCTCCATGAGGCCAGGGACCTTTTATTTCTTCTCTGTCCTCATAATAGCACATTTTTTGATGCATGCAAGTCAGTGTATTTTTGGGTTTTTTGGAAAGCTCTCAGTCTGAAATTTAAGTAAAAGTAAAATAGCTTGTATTTACGAAACAGTTCTTTAATATTGTGGAAAAACTTTGGTGATGTTTTTGTATGGTCTCTTTTGGGGACACAGAAGACAGAATCATAATGAAATTACCCTTTATTTTCCTGCAAGAAAAAAACCGAGTTTGAAAAGGAAAAAAATGCTTTCAGGGCCCTACCTTTCCTGTCTCACCCACTGTACCTCTCAGCAGCGTATTTCAGTCAGTCTGCCTGTGGCTGCTCCCCACTCTGTCTTTGGTGACTCCTCTCAAACCGCCCCACCCCCCGGCCTACACCCCAGCTCTTGTATACATAAATAAATAAAATAAATCTTAAAAAAATTCTTTCAATCTTATTTTATTTTTCTTAAGAACTTTTGCTGCTGTGCACTTGGTGTCTAAATACTTAATATAGTGCCTCACTAGGGCAGCAATGGAGGCAAAATGCATTTGATAGATAGATAAATATAAATCTGATTACCTTTGACCTCTGGCTTATTACTGAGAATGTACTGAGCTAGGGAAGAATGGTTTCTGTATCTGAATCAAGAACATACAGTTAATTCTACTCTTTCTCAAATTGTCTTTAATTGTGTGACTTTAGTAGAACAATATAGCTTGTACATATTAACTTTTTCCAACTCTCACGGTAGTTAAAATGATGCTTTGAGTCTTTTTTTTTTTAAGATTTATTTATTTATGCATACAAGAGCTGGGGTGCAGACCAGAGATGTAGGGCGGGGTAGGGGTAAGAGGATTTAGCAGAGAGAGTGGGGAGCAAAACAGGCAGATCTACTGAAATACTCTGGGGAGCAGCAGGCAGGACAGGAGAGGTCTGCTGCGCCATGTGGGTCACCTCCCAGGCTGGGGATCGAACTCATGCTGCAGTGGCTTTGGATAGTTTCATAGTGCTGCGTCTTAACCACTTGCACCTCCAGGGAGGCCCCTGAATTTTTAATTTATGTCTGGACATTTACTTATTATTCTCACTTTTGCATTACCAGCATGTGGATGGTTACAGAAGTCTCTTTTTGGACACGTCAAAGAGACTTTTTGGTCGGAGGGCAAAGGTATAAAGACCAGGGATTCCACCAACAGATGCAGAGAGAGTGGGAGATGAGGTTTAGAAACCTCAGGCTTCAGATTCCAAGAAGCTTACATGGCAGGGTTATGATCTAGGCCTTTCTACTCAAAATTTTCTATCAACATCAAACTTGAAAGAATGGTTTTTGTCATAGTCTTATGATAAACATGAAATGAGACTGCCTCTGTGGTGGGATTTCACAGTTTCCTAGACCTTCTTTCTAACCCAGTCTGAAACTTGTTCCTTTTGGTGTTTAGTGTTTAAAAGAGAGACAACAACGCCTTTACTGAAATAGAATTTGTTGCTTGTTTCAACATATGAAAAAAAAATTCCTTTATAGGAATCAGTCTTTTCTCACATGGGTTCTGAGTAAATCAGTGTGGCATTAGCAGTGTCAAAATGCAAGGTTTGGGTATTACTGTGGGAGTCTGCTATAGGGAAAAAAAACTGTTAAAAGAGGGCAAAGGGTGATAGACTTTTGTGTCTTTGGAAATCATACCTGTGTCTCCAGGTTTGTGTTGTGGTATAGTCAAAATAACTTGCTTCACGTACAAAATTTCTCCTCAGCTTCATGGTTTATCTTAAAAATTAATGCAGAGTTTCATTCTGTTCTAATTAGTCTGTTTGGATTACACTTAACAACAGTTTCCCTTGGGACATCTGGAGTCTTCCTCTAGGTGCTGCTTACATGGTTGTATTCAGTTTGTGAAAGTTCATCAAGTGGTACAGTTGTAGTATGTGTATACTTTTGTTCTATATTTTATGATTCATTAGAAAGGAAAAAAAATCCCATCAAACCTACAAATGTATCTGCACTCCAGGAATGACTCATGTATATCTTCTCTTCACTGGACCCCACATGCCTCTAAGTTGTGGACACCTACTAGTTTAGGAGGAACCATGAAGGAGTTTTAAATGGGGGTAGACAGTGGTCTGTTTTGTGTTTTTGTAAGATTCTCAGGTTAATGGCAGACCACAGGCCTCCAAGGGACCATTTAATCTAAATAGGTAATGAGTGGGAGATGTTGAAGCCAGAGCCTGAACAGTGGCCAGAGGGCTGGACAGACAGGGGAGTCATGCTAGAGAGAGAGAACTGGAGTGGTGGAAGGAGAGGGTTCCCAGCCCCCCATTTTTGTTGTCTTGGTTTATTAAACCTCATTTTCCTTAGTTGGAAAAAGGGGTAGATACAAGTACCTTTGGTGCCTACCTGGTCTCCACCCTAACCCCCTTTATTGTGAGGACCGAATGAGAATGATAATTGGAAGTGCCTTATAAACTATAAAATGTCATTGTATCATTGGAAATTGTGGTAAGGGTAGTGATCATATTAGCATCATTGTTTTGTAGCTTAGTGTAAAAGCAGTTATGCTCTACTCTCTAATGCAATAAATTTTATTCCCTGTCCATATTCTATATGTAAGACTTCTTTTAAAACTTCTAGTTAATATTTTAGTGCTTTCACATTTTTTAAAGATTGGATTGAAAAAAGGTAATCATTATCCTAAGTCTTCTAAAATTTTATTACTCTAAAATAAAACTAGATATTAAATTGAGCTTACCAGTGATTTGTTTCCTCTAATATTTTGTTTAGATTTTTAAATGATTAAAGCTGGAACTATCAAGGAAGATTTTTTTGTGTGTGTGTGATTTTTTTTTTTTTATAAAGATTTATTGATTCATGCATACAAGAACCCGGGTACAGGCCAGATGCGCGGGAAGGTTAGAGGATTCACCAGAGACAGAGCGGGGAACAGAATAGGCAGACTGACTGAAACACACTGCTGAGGGGACCAGCGGGCGAGAAAGGAGAGGTCTGCCGCGTCATGTGGGATTCTTGCCGGCAGGCGGGGATCCAACCAGTGCTGCAGAGGCTGTGGACAGTTTCACAGCGCTGCGTTCAACTGCCTGTGCCACCAAGGAAGGCCCTCAAGGAAGATTTTTAATGGTTGCTTTTAATTCAGCCATTCAGATAGAACACCAGGCAGGGGATATGGAAACTATTGTGGTGGGTTCCTCAACTACTAAAATGGGTATTTGTCTGCTTAGGTTTCATAGACATATTTGCAGAGTCAAAGGAAGGCCTGGATGTGCACTCGTCAGGGATTCTACGCTTCTTGCACCGCAATCGGGCCTCTGGACTGGCCATCCCCTACCCCATGTTGGACCACTGCAGTACCATGAGCACTATGAGGGCTTCAGTGCTAAAGGAATCTCTGGATCAACTGGTACAAAAAGAAAAAGGTATGTATATTTGTGGTGGGTAAGGAAGGTGGTTCCTGAAAATATCATTTTCCCTAAACATAGTAATTACACTATGAGTCAACCCTTCTTTTTGCCTTTATTTCTGAAAATATGATAGTGACCAACTTGTAGCATAAGAATGGGATCTATCCCTCCTTCTGTCCCTCCCTACCTGAAGATGACATTTCATGGAGGCCTTTCTTCAATACTCCCTGTTGAATTAATGCTCTAACCTCTACCCTTCCCCACCTTCTGGTCACTATCACTTTTGCATGCTTAATGATCCAAACAGCGCTTAACATTATCTGAAGTTAGTAGTATTATCACTTACTTGCATTTTGTCTGTCTTGTTTGCTTCCTTATCATTAGCACCTGCAACTGGGCCTGTCACATAGTACATATACTATGAGTATTTGTTGAATAAATAAAGGAAACCACTTGTTTAGTGATGGCAACAAACAGGATAATGTGAATAGACAAGTGCCTTGAACATAACAGACCCAAGTACATGTGGGAATGTAGTACCAGATAAAGTCAACATTACAAATCAGGATGGAAACGTGAATTAGCCAACAAGTGGTTAGTCATTTGGAGAAAAAAGTAAAATGACCCATTAACCCTTTCCATTCATTAAAATAAATTTCAGCTGGATCAAAAAGTTCAAATAAAAAGAGGATTGTTAAAAAGAAGAGTGCAAGAAGAAAATAGTTCTGCTTTATAAAAATCCAGACATGGAAAAGAAAACCCAGAAACTATCATAAATTAGACTTTACAAGACAATTATAAATCAGAGACATCCTGCAGGGGAGGAGGAGGGAGAGGTATCAGAGGGAGGAAGGGAGGAGCACAGGGGACTGTGATGATGGTACACGGGTACCTTGGGGAAGGAAATTCTATGGGGACTCAATCTGAGGGGGTGGGGGGAAGCAAATATTGTTTAAAAATAAAAAAAATTAAAAAAATAAATTAGACTGTATGAAAATTTAAAGCTCTGTACAGTAAAAGATACAAACGGAATCAAAAGACATGACAGTATAGGGAACAAAAAGACAGTTGACTCTTGAACAACATGGGTTTGAACTTTGAGGGTTAGCTTACATGTGGATCTTTTCCTCTCTGCCCATTGTGTGTTCAGGGATTCAACCATATGTGGCTGTGGGTTGGTTGAATCCACAGATGCCGGAGCATTTATTCAGGAGGGGTGATTAGAGGGACTTGAACATTCGAGGACTTTGGTGTCTGCGGTGGTCCTGAAACTAGCCCTCTGAGGATATCAAGGATTGACTAGTCGGGTTTTAGGGGAGTCAAAGTTATATCTGGATTTTCAACTGGGAGGAGGCATTGGAGCCCCTAACCCTCATGTTGTTCAGGGGTCAACTGTAATTATGACTCCCTGAGCTTTTTTGCTATCTCTGATTCTATCTTAAATCTTGATGCCTTGGTTTCCTCATCTCTTAATGAGTTAATACATAGAAAGGATATAGAGAAGTGCCTGATTCACAGTAAGCCATCAGTAAATATTACCTTTTATATGTCTGTACATATACATTATATAGTGCATATAAGGTATACAAATTAATAAAACTAGTGACCCAGTAGGAAATGGATGAGGGTAGAACCAAGTCATACTCAAAAGCACAAGTGACTTACAAATAGCTTAGAAAATCTCACTCATAATTAAAGAAATGTAAATTCAAACTATAAGACATCATTTTCTTCTCTCAGTATAGTTGTAAATATATCAGTGATTTAAGTATTGCACTGTAATGAACTAATAAAGCAATTCTTGGCCAATATCTGCTTTATTTGGAGCCTATAAAAAGAGATTTTAAAGACCTTCAGTAAAGATTTTTAAAAGATTTTATTTATTTATGCACACAAGAACTGGGGTGTAGGCCAGAGGTACAGGGGGTGAGAGGATTCACCAGAGACAGAGTGGGGAGCAGAACAGGTGGATCCACTGAAATACACTGCTGAGGGGAGCAGTGGGTGAGATGAGAGGTCTGCTGTGCCATGTGGGTTAGTTCCTTGGTTTAGGATGAAACTCATGTCGCATTAGCTGGCGATAGCTTGATAGTACTGAGACTTTAATGCCTCTGCCAGCAGGGAGGCCCCTTCTCTTAGATATTTTAAATGATTTTTTTTTTCCTTTGTGAAAGAGATGTCATATAATAAAATCTGTTTTTCTCTGCAGAAGGCCCTGGGGATCTAACTAGAAGCCCAGAGATGGATAAACTCAAGTCAGTAGCAAAGTGCTATGCTTATATAGAAACCTCTTCCAATCCTGCGGACATTGATAAGATGACAAATGGAGAAACATCATCTTACTGGCAGTCAGATGGCAATGCCCGCTCACACTGGATCCGGTGGGTGGTATAATATCAATTTTTGAGTGAAAATCTAAGAAAATTACCTGTTTTCCTTCTCTTATCCCATTTAATTTTGGAATATTTTCTGCTGAACTTAGTTTTTTTTCTTGTAAATGACTACTTGTGAAGGTGCTTTTAGTAGAAGAAATCATATAAAATCATGGGTTCATATGATCATAGACTTGGAAAACTTTTTTTTTTAATTTTAAACTTCTTTTTTATTTTTTTAAAGATTTATTTATACAAGCACTGGGTACAGTCAGAAGTGCGAGAGGGTGAGAGAATTCACCAGAGCCAGAGTGGGGAACAGAACAGGCAGAAGGACCGAGGTACACTGCTGAGGGGAGCAGCGGGTTCGGCAGGAGAGGTCTGCGCGCCATGTGGGACCCTCGCCGGTGGCCAGGGATGGAACCGGCACTGCAGAGGCTGCGGGCAGCTTTGCAGCCCAGCGCTCAACTGCTGTGCCACCAGGGGAGGCCCGGAAAACTTCTTTATTTGTTATTTTAAGGAGAAGATAAGCATTTGACTAATAGTATGATATAGATTTCAGATCTTTTTCATTGTTTTCTTTCTTTTTTTTTTTTTTTTTTTTTTTAGGAAAATTAGTATTGCAAGGGGCAACCAGTTGTGATTTTACTTTTTAAGGTCTCCTCTGCATTAAAAAAAATCTGTACACAATTGAGTAGGTGAGTTTAGATGAAGGAATGGAATGGTCAGGATTCTTGGAGGGAAATTGATAGAGTGTACAAGTATTTCCAGATATTCTGAAGTGGCTATCTTAGTTTTCTCCCATCCCTTCAGAGAATGGACTAACTTCAGTTGATAAAAACAGAAATGATTGTCTTGATTTCTCATAGAGGATATTCATAAACTTTAGCCATCTGATTTATAGATGAGAGAATATACTTAATTCTTTGAGTGTAGTTTAGAATTTGCTTTTTGCAAGTTAAAGGACACTTGTTAGAATGTTCATTTTATACTTCCTGCCTGTCGGACTAATAGCTAATAGCTCATAAGGAAAGAAGAAAAAAAGTTTTTTTTTAAGATTTATTTATTTATTTATACGAGCAGTGGGTACAGTCAGAAGCACGGGAGGGTGAGAGAATTCACCAGAGCCAGAGCAGGGAGTAGAACAGGCAGAAGGACCGAGGGGAGCAGCGGGCTCGGCAGGAGAGGTCTGCACGCCATGTGGGACCCTCGCCGGTGGCTGGGGATGGAACCGGAGCTGCAGAGACTGCAGGCAGCTTCGCAGCCCAGCGCTCAACCCCTGCGCCACTGGGGAGGCTCAAGAAGAAAAATATTAAACTGAAAAATTTTCTTTGAGACTTGGAAAGGCCATAAGACTTTGAAATTTTATAGCCAGCATTTCAAGTGAGCTGCCAGTAGGAAAATCAGTCTTTGAGTATATCAAATATAAGATCATAGGGATGGGACTTTTGCATCTTGCCAGTTCTCATCCTATATAAACATTTGTAGTTTCTGTTCTCTGTGTCTTTTTCCAGTTTAAAAATGAAGCCAGATGTTGTGCTTAGGCACCTATCCATTGCAGTGGATTCCACTGACCAGAGCTACATGCCACAGCAGGTGACAGTAGCTGTGGGCAGAAGAGCTGGCGATCTTCAGGAAGTCCGGGATGTGCACATTCCCAGTAACGTTACCGGCTACGTGACCCTGCTGGAAAATGCCAACATCAGTCAGCTCTGTGAGTAACCAAGATACATCTTGCCCCTCCAAATAAGGGGATAATCAGGGGAGGAAGGAAGTAAAATTTTTTAGCAGGAACACTTCTGCAGTGGAAAAGCTGTTAGCTTTTCTTTTGAGATTTAATTTGCTTCTTATGATATGTGTGAAAGTGGTTATTATTTCATTTAAAAATTATAGAAAGGCAGTGAAACTCATTTTTATTTATTTTTTAAAATAGACATTTTTATATATTTATTTTTAAAGATTTATTATTTATACAATAGCTGGGGTACAGGCCAGTGGCACGGGAGGGTGAGAGGATTCACCAGAGACAGCAGAACAGGGAGACAGACTGAAAGCACTGCTGAAGAGGGAACAGCAAGCATGACAGGAGAGGTCTGCCGTGCCATGTGGGCATCTCCCTGGCCAGCCAGGAATCGAATCCACACTGCAGAGGCTGCGGACAGCTTCACAGCACTGTGCTCAACCTGCTGCACCACCGGGGAGGCCCAAAACTCATTTTTTATAAAAAATATTTATTCTTTCTTATTTTAAAACTAGAAAAATGTAGGTAAACAAAAATTACTCAAAAGCCCACTTTCCAGAGATTGTAACTGTGAATAACTTGGTGTGATTTCTACCAGACCAGTTCTTATGTTTATGTATTTGTGTGTATCACATCTACACATACACGCACACTCTTTTTGTCCTTTTTATAAAAATTACGATATTTTGAAATTTTTTTTTAAAAAAAGATTTATTTATTTATTTATACAAGCACTGGGTAGAGTCAGAAGCACGGGGCGGGGGGGGGGGGTGGTCAGAGAATCCACCAGAGCCAGAGCGGGGAACAGAACAGGCAGACAGATTAAATACACTGCTGAGGGGAGCAGCGGGCATGGCAGGAGAGGACTGTTGTGCCATGTGGGACCCTCGCTGGTGGCAGGAATTGAACCAGCACTGCAGAGGCAGCGGGCAGCTTCGCAGCCCAGCGCTCAACTGCTGCGCCACCAGGGGAGGCCCTATTTTGAAATTTTTAACATGTTGTCATATCATATATTCATACACACTTTTATTTGGTGTTACAAGAATGTGCCTTAATTTTTACCAGACCTTTATTCTTGGACAGTTAGCATGTTTCCTTTTTTATGCTGTTATAGCCTTGCTTTCACATGTAGCATTTTGGAAATAATCACAATTCTGTGATTTCTTTCCAGGCTTATTTCATCAGGGAGCTTCATGTTTGGTCTGATTTCTGCTAATGCTTTCCAAAAGAAGTGTTCTTACTTTGCTCAAAGGAAATGAGGCCTATGGGGTAGTCTGGATAGTCTTTGTGTCTCACCCCTAGGCAAAGAAGTAGTTAAGCTTTTGGAGTAGACCCTTGCTGTCTCACAGTTTGGTGGCTTTTTCTCTAAAATGTGTCCTTTTTAACTTCTTACCTCCTCCTCTCTAATCCAGATAAGAATTTTTGACTTTTCTTAAAAGTGAGTCATGCCTATGTCATCTTTTTATTTTTTTTTTTATTTTTTATTTTTTATTTTTTTTTTTTTATAGAGGCATGCTTTATTTATTTGTTTGCTGGTTTCTTTGTTTGTTTTGTTTATACATGCACTGGGTATAGTCAGAAGCGCGGGAGGGCGAGAGAATTCACCAGAGCCAGAGCGGGGAGCAGAGCAGGCAGAAGGACCGAAGTACACTGCTGAGGGGAGCAGCGGGCGGCAGGAGAGGTCTGCGCGCCATGTGGGACCCTCCTCTGGTGGCCGGGGAGCAGCCGGGGATCGAACCGGCGCCGCAGAGGCCGCGCGCAGCTTCGCAACCCAGCGCTCAACCGCTGCGCCACCGGGGAGGCCCTATGTCATCTTTTTAAACTTGATTATTAAAATGAAATTCTCACAACTGCTATTAGTCAACTACTGTTTTATAACTCAATCAAAATTTCAGAACTCTAGGAAAAATTCTACACGTTTCTTTTACCATGTATTTAAACAGGTTTAGAAAATGCTTTGTGTTTATTTATTTATTTTTAAAGATTTATTTATTTATTTATACAAGCATTGGGTACAGTCAGAAGTGCGGGAGGGTGAGAGAATTCACCAAAGCTAGAGCAGGGAACAGAACAGGCAGACTGAAGAAATACACTGCTGAGGGGAGCAGCGGGCGCGGCAGGACCCTTGCTGGCAGCCGGGGATTGAACCGGCGCTGCAGAGGCTGCGGGCAGCTTTGCAGCCCAGCGCTCAACCGCTGCGCCACCAGGGGAGGCCCATGTGTTTATTTTCAAGACTCATAAATTCCTAAGAAAATTTGTGATGTAAAGATATAATCTTCTCTTAATTTTATACATTATTATTACGATTTCTTAGATTGGTCAATGCTTTTCTGACATGTTTTTTATGTACTAGCTCCATTGCACCCCATTATTTACTTTTGTCATCAAAGTATATCTTCAGAATTTTATTTTTGAGATGTGAATCGTTATTTTGCTTTTAGTTTTGGGAGCCTAACATTTGCTGAACTGAAAAATCAATCTAATACTGAATTTGTTGTTCGCACTTGACAGATGTCCAGATTAACATAAAGCGTTGTCTTAGCGATGGATGTGACACTAGAATTCATGGCTTGAGAGCTGTTGGCTTTCAGAGAGTTAAAAAGATTGGGGTCTCAGTCTCAGATGCTTCTGCAATATGGTATTGGTCTCTGCTGACATCTCTGGTGACGGCATCCATGGAGACAAATTCCGCCTTTGTCCAGACAGTGCTGCACAACACTCAGTAAGTATTTCTTTTTGCTTTCCAGTCCTGGCAAAGTGCACTCACTCTAACGCTTTTGTGTGTGTTTCTGAGCAATCTTTGATCATTGGTTGTAGAGACTGGACAACAGCTTATTCATAGGTGCCCTTGTGTTTCCTATTTATGTCGTCAGCCTCAAGCTGCTTCTTTCTTTCAGTGATGTTTTGACTCCATAGGTTTTAAAGAAATGCCTCTTGGGCCTCCCCAGTGGCGCAGCGGTTGAGCGCTGGGTTGTGAAGCTGCCAGCAGCCTCTGCAGCGCTGGTTCAATCCCCGGCTGCTCCCCGGCCACTGGAGGAGGGTTTCACATGGCGCGCAGACCTCTCCTGCCGCCCGCTGCTTCCCTCAGCAGTGTGTTTCGTCAGTCTGCCTGTTCTGCTCCCCGCTCTGGCTCTGGTGAATTCTCTCACCCTCCCGTGCTTCTGACTGTACCCAGTGCTTGTATAAATAAATAAAAAAATAAATCTTTAAAAAAGAAAGGCCTCTTCCATCTCCCTGCTCCTCCTCACATAGTTCTTTCAGTAGCCCCCTTCTTCACCTACTTACTATGTGCACTAGTCTTATGAGGAGGTCCACATGCTCTTCCTGCTCCCTGTCTATCTATTGGGGAACATTTATACAGCACTTTATAGCAGATAAAGCACTTTCAGATGCTACATGTTATTTACTTATGTGGTGGACTCTATGTGTATAAAGTCCCCATTTTATAGACAAGAATATTATGACCTTCCCTGAGATGATACTTAACCAGGCTGTGAGGGAGCAGTTTGAATGTAGGTGTTTGAACTCAAGGTTGAGGGTTCTTTTCACTCATGAGCAAAATCTTTTCAGAGGTATTAAACTATTTCAATGTAGAGCACCCTTGAAAACCTCCTGAAAAGACCCATTAGTAACATAAAGGCAAACAGAACTAACTTCACTAGTTATTCAGTGTTAGTATTTTATGTAAGTATAGTAATTATTAGTGTAAGCTATCAAAATATCAGATAAGAAGAGATGACTAGTGTTTTGTCCTCTAGATGTCTTTCAGGATTTGTTATTGCTATCAAATAAAACTTTTCAGCAAATAACATTGCTGGGAGTGCTGGATCAGAAAGGTAATATTTTGCCATACCCCTTTCTTCCCTCCTGTTTAAAAAATTTTTTCAAACCATTTCAAACTTAGAGAAACATTGCTAGAAAATACAAAGACCTTTGGTTTCTTCCTTAGTCATTTGAGAGTAATTTGCCCACCTAATACCCCATCATCCCTGAATACCTGAGTATATTTCCTCTGAACATGTACATGCTGCTACAACCATCAAAAATCAGTAAATTAACAATGTTATATATTGCTACCATTTAATCTTCAGGGCCCATTCAAGTTTGGCAAGTTGTCCCAATAATGGCCTGTATAGCAAAGGTCCAGTCCAGTATCGTACTTTGTGTTTTATTACAATGTCTCTTTAGTTTCTTTCAATATAGAAAAATACCTTAGTCTTTCCTTGACTTTTATGATTGTAACACTTTTGAAGATTACAGGTCAGTTATTTGGAAGAGTGTCCTTTTGGATTTATATTAATTTTTTTTTTAAAGATTTATTTATTTATACAAGCACTGGGTACAGTCAGAAGCGTGGGAGGGTGAGAGAATTCACCAGAGCCAGACCGGGGAGCAGAACAGGCAGACTGATGAAATACACTGCTGAGGGGTGCAGCAGGTGCAGCAGGAGAGGTCTGTGCACCATGTGGGACCTGCGCTGGCGGTCGGGGATTGAACCAGAGCTACAGAGGCTGCGGGCAGCTTCGCAGCCCAGTGCTCAACCACTGCGCCACCGGGGAGGCCCGAAAGATCAGTGTTCTATAACTGTTCTAAAAATTAAACATTATGGAACAAAAGATCAATAAAGAAGAATAGTAAGAAATACTATTGTATCAGTGGAAATAAATTCATTAAACCATGACATGTGTATTAGATGCCATTAATAATGTTTTAGTCATCCTATCAGCTATGAGCTGATGCATTTCATTGTATAGAAGGGAAAAGAAATTAAAGCAGAATGGAAGCTGGCACAATGTTAGCCTTGCTGTTTTGTTCCTATTTTGAAATGTAGAAATAAAATTGTTCAGGGATTCTTATTACTGTTATAAAATGGCTATCAACTATAGATTTTTGTGTGTTTTTTAAAAATCAAGATATAATTGACATACATCAGGTTTAGATGTGCAACATAGTGATTTGATAAATGTATATATTGCAAAATGATCATCACAATAAATTTAGTTAACACCCATCTTTATACATAGTTATGTATTTTTTTCTTGTGATGAGAACTTTTAAATTCTACTCAACTGGCAACTTTCACATATACAATGCAACAATAACTGCAGTCATTGTGCTGTACATTATGTTACCAGGACTTACTTCTCTTGCAAGAATTTTGAATTATATTTTGTTGTACTCATGCATACCTCTAAGTTGTTCATGGTATTTTCATATAGCACAGTTACTGGCACAGAGTAGGACACAGTAATTTTTGTTGCATGAGTTTGTTAGATGACTGCTAGTTTAGAGGTGGTAAGACTGTTGGTAGTTCTGAAGATAAACTTAAGAGTGACAAAAAAAGAAAAACATCACAGTTGATATTAAGGTAGAAAGACCAAGAAACACAGGCAGCAGAAGTTGGTAGGTACTGATTTGCTTAGGAGAAAATAAAACTCATGACACAATTTTAGAAACCCTAGACCATAAGGTTCTACATATAAGATAAATTTTTAAACAGCTCTGCCTCTGAGGTCAAGTTTTCTGAGAATTTAAGGGTTTTTCTGTAGAGTATGTATGTCTTTTGCTCACATTAACTGAAATGAATACTTGATTCTAAGGAGTTGAGTTTTTACAGAGGGAAATAAAACTTAAATGAAAGGGGAACAAAAATAAGGAAATCCTATTGAAGTACTTAGTCCCATGACTCCTGGGAAAGTCTGTTCTATGTTGTGTATCAGGGTCTCTGTAGGAGCACTATCTGTTTGTTTATGAGGCATTAATCAAAACATGCTTCTAGTAATTTATTCTTGTCTGCCTGGGTTTGTTCTGATTTTGCATTTTGCACTTCTAGGAAGGCACTGCAGCACATGCCTCCACTCTCCCTCTCACCAGGATCTACAGATTTCTCAACTTTCCTGTCTCCCAATGTTCTGGAGGAAGTGGATAGCTTCCTTATAAGGATTACTAGGTAAAAATCAAGGTTGATGAGGTAACCTCTTTGAGGGGAATGGAGGGTATATATGCTTGCTAACTCTTTTTTTTCTTTAATCTTTCTCTTCTTTTTTTTAAGTCTTAATCTTTTAAAGATCACCTCTAAAAATGGCTGAAGAGGAAGTGAATGCTAATTTGCCCATCTTAACTCCCATTATCTAGCACTATCTCTTGGCCTTGGCAATTGAGGGCAAGAGGGGAGTAGTCCTCTAATTCAGGTAGAACAGAAATCTCAAAGTTCAAAGTGTAAAATCTTTCAGTTTACTTATATCCCCAGCCTGTGGCCTTACTCAGGACCTGCTTGTCCTGTGCTCAGCTCTAACAAGGCTGGTTGTCTCTAGAACTAGGAAAGGGCACATTGATAACTTGATAAAAAATCAGTTGGTGTGGGGCTACTCAGAGAGTATCTGTCTAGGTGAGTCCTGAGGATGTTACAGTATTAGGAAAAAACAAAAACAAAAACTAGGCTTTGAGTCATCTGGACCGTTTTAGAATAAATCCTTAATTTTCTGGCTAGCTCATTACCCAAGGCTTCTTGGTAGTAGGGGTTTTTTGCAACAGCTTAATTATTTGTACCTATTAAATCTGGCTTGTTAAAATTGATACTATTATTTAATACTTATAAAGTAAGTTTGCAGAAATGAGGATATAGTTTTCCAGTTCCCTGGGTTGAATTAGATTTTCTTAGGTTGTCTTGAGGAGCTTCAAAAAGTATTTCTGATAAACATATATAAAGTATTTGGCAGGTTACTTTTACTTAATGGTGATCATTACATGGGGTTTGCATGTTCTTAAGTGAAAAGTTTTTTGCTCTTTTGTTTATAGTTGCTGTTCTACCCCAGAGGTAGAGCTGACTCTTTTGGCTTTTGCGCTGGCAAGAGGAAGTGTTGCCAAAGTGCTGAGCTCTTTGTGCACCATCACTGACCACCTGGACACACACTATGATGCCTCATCCCTCATCTCATCCATGGCATCAGTCAGGCAGAACCTGCTCCTGAAATATGGTAAATGACTTATGTGGACAAACCCTAAAGCCACCATCAGCATGGCATCTTCTGGCATCTTGTCTTTTAGGGAAGTTTGCGGACTAGGTTGTTATAATTATACCATAATTCCTGGGTGAACATACCCTCTTTGACTGGTATTGCTAGGAGAGGGTAGATATCAGTTATTTCCTGAGTGTCTACTCGAATATACTTCCAGAATTTACTGGCCTAATCATTTAGCTTTGATGGCCATTTGGCTATAGACATCTTTGGTGAACTGCAGAGTATCTCATTGTGTTAGCCAAGGAGGTTGGGTTCTCATCTGTAGGAAAGAAGGAACTAGCCCAGACACAGTGCAAAACCTAGTTCCCTGACATCCCCATGATAGTTATAGAGAAGGCCATTTATGGACATAATTCAGTCTGCACTACTTCCCCTCCTGGCCCAACAGCATTCCTTCTACTGGTTCAGCCTGGGCCTCCTCATCCTTCTCTACATAGAGCCCTTGCAGTTACTTGGCATGCGAGGAATGACTTATCTGCCATTCCAGTCTCCAGTGCTAAAGTTTCTCTATACCAAGTACCAAGTAATAGAGGCATTACTATATTTCTGTTATATTTGTACCTTGCCTTAATATGACTTAATAATTTATTTTCTGGTTAATTTTTTTTTAAGTTTTTAAAATTTATTTAATCATACAAGAACTGGGGTGTAGGCCATAGGCGCAGGGGGTGAGAGGATTCACCAGAGACAGTGGGGAGCAGAACAGGCAGATCCATTGAAATACACTGCTGGGCCTCCCCGGTGGCGCAGCGGTTGAGCGCTGGGTTGCAAAGCTGCCGGCGACCTCTGCGGCGCCGGTTCGATCCCCGGCTGCTCCCCGGCCACCGGAGGAGGGTCCCACATGGCGCGCAGACCTCTCCTGCCGCCCGCTGCTCCCCTCAGCAGTGTACTTCAGTCCTTCTGCCTGCTCTGCTCCCTGCTCTGGCTCTGGTGAATTCTCTCACCCTCCCGCGCTTCTGACTGTACCCAGTGCATGTATAAACAAAACGAACGAACAAACAAACAAATAAATAAATAAAAACATGCCTCTATAAAAAAAAATTAAAAAAAAAAAAGATGAATTAAAAAAAAAAAAAAAAAAAAGAAATACACTGCTGAGGGGAGCAATGGGCGAGACAGGAGAAGTCTGCTGCACCATGTGGGTTAGCTCCCTGGCCAGGGTTCGAACTCCTGTTGCAGTGGCTGGCAGTAGCTTGATAGTGCTGTGCTACCAGGGAGGCCCTGGTTAATTTTTTAAGTCAGACAACCGATGTCTTACAAATTGAATTTCCTCCCTAATTTGGGAAAGGTAATTTTTTGGAGGGATGGAGGGCTCATAGCAGACATGACTCAGTGGGAGGACTGTGTGGTGCCTGGAAAGTAGTCTCCAGATAAATTTTAAATTCAGATTAGCAATAACTTGACAGGGAGCACTGAATAGGGGAGGGATGCTTAGGGGAAATGTTCATTGATAATGTTCTAGTTCTGGGCTGAGCTGTAGATTAATGAGTAGTCATTATATTATTAAAATAAAAGAAAATAGAAAAGTTTCAGGTATCATAGCAGAAGTTGATTTTTATAACTTTTAAGACTTTCAAAATTTGCCCAGAAGTATTTTTTTTTTTTAAAGATTTATTTATTTATTTATACAAGCACTGGGTACAGTTAGAAGCACGGGAGGGTGAGAGAGAATTCACCAGAGCCAGAGCGGGGAGCAGAACAAGCAGACTGACGAAACACACTGCTGAGGGGAGCAGCGGGCATGGCAGGAGAGGTCTGCACGCCATGTGGGACCCTCGCCAGTGGCCGGGGATTGAACCAGCGCTGCAGAGGCTGCGGGCAGCTTCGCAGCCAAGCGCTCAACCGCTGCTCCACTAGGGAGGCCCTGCCCAGAAGTATTTTAAACAAATTAGGCCAAAATCCTATGATGTACTTAAATATATGTGGCCCTTTAGCTAACAGCTAACTATATACACATATATGCATATAATTAAATGCAATTACAGTGAAATTCATTATTGTTTCTAAAAGCTGTATCTTAGGAATTCTCCTCCAGTTTATTGAATATATGGTTTTAATCCCTATCTTACAATGTGCTTTTTTCTGAAAAGTGGTTGTTTTAGAGACTTCTTGTAAGCTTTATTTTGTCTCTTCAGGAAAACAGAAAAGGACCGTGTGAACTTCTGTATAATACTCCTTCTCTATTTTTAGTTCTTAAACAGGTGAATTTTTGGTCAGCAGCATGGGTGGTCACAGGCACTCCATTCTCCCTGATGTGCATGCTAGTTTTCATTTTTGGTAATGCTTGCTTAAGCCTCTCTCTTTCTTTGACTAGGTAAACCTCTTCAGTTAACTCTTCAGGCCTGTGACGTGAAAGGAAAAGAAGATAAGTCAGGACCTGAAAACCTCCTTGTTGAACCATGGACTAGGGATGGTGAGTGGTGGATCTGTTTTTACTGAATGAAAAGTACCACAGAGTGTTACTAGACAGCTCGGTGAAATTACACAGATTTTTGAAGTATTCAGGATCTACATTCTTCAGGTGTCCTTTAGCTGGCTGTGCTTCCTGAACCATTGCTGTTTTCCTTAGTGACAATTATTGCTTTTGATACTTGGAGACAAATTAATAGTGCTAATTGGTTCATTTCTAGGCAGTATTTCACTTTTATGATAGAATTATATCCAGACCTGTGGGGAAAGGTTGAATAACTGGTGCAGTTTTTAATATTACTGTTAGTGGAATTGTGTATATTTCTGGGTATACAGTTTCTTAAAATTGTCTTCAGAATTGTTTGAGAAAACTAGATCATATAATAGCTTCTCTCTGAATTAGTGAAGGTTCCTTTGGATTTGATTTTCTTGGTCACAATGATTGATGACAACTTTTTTATATTACCTTACAAAGATTCAACTTCACACCTTTTTGTTCTTTTGAGCTCAGTGTAATGAAATAAAGAGCATGAACTTGCTTTTATTTTTTTTATCTAGGGCAGAATAATTGAGAGCAATTCAGGTCCTAGATAGAATGATTAGTTAGTGCTAACTTGAACAAATGTATGAATGATATTATTTGCAGAGGTTTGAAAGATAAAAGGTAGCCTCAGATCTAGCAGTGGACGTTTTTGTGAATTATTAGAGGGTAAATAGTGACAACAAAAAAGGTGAATCATGACTATCATACAAACAAGATGAACACATGTCAAACATTTTATTTATTAATTAGAGAGGGAATCAGTAAGATGTTACAAACAGTTCAAATGAGAATTCATAAAATACACAGACCACTAAGAATGCTGACAGTAATTTACAGATAGAAAAATTGGTCAGTTTCATAAGGAATAATCAACCATATTTCTATAGAACATAATTTTTGTTTCTGTGGATGAAAATCATTTGCATTAATATCATTATTCTACAACTTCCAGAATTGTAAAATAACTCAGAGACAAAGCACGGTGGAAGTAAGCAAGAGAGTATGCTAAACAGAACACCCAGTAATCTTTTTTTGTTTATTTCAAGTCTTTCACAATCGTCTCTGATAGAATATTCTGGAAGCTAATCTCTCCCTTAGTCTCCAAACCTGCTTGCCTTTATCAGTCATGGTTTAAGAATGGCTCAGAAACATGATTGATGTCTAGTTTTTTGTCTGTGAGTTAGGGTCACAAGTTTTATAAAGTTTTTACTTATTTATTATTATGCCAGAGCAGGGAAGCTTATATAGTTACAAAGATTGTGCCCTGAAGAGAGTAAACCTGACCAGTGAGTGATCTGTTACCACAGGGCTTACTAGTAGGGTTGCACGTGTCTAGAAGGGAAACCTTTTTCTAATTTTCACAAAAGTCCTAGATATAATAGTAACTCCCTCAAAGGATATGGTTTGCTTTTGTTTATCTTAGTTTTTAGGGTTATAACAAATAAGGGCATCATCATAACCTTAGTTTATCCTTTTTACAGGTTTTCTTACAGAGACAGGAAAAACCAGAGCAAGTACTATTTTTTCTACAGGAACTGAATCTGCTTTTCAAGTTACACAGATCAGAATCATGGTAATTCTCATGCTACCTTCTTTAAGCAGTGATGCTATTGTTTTTAAAAATAAGATTGTATTTCAGAGGCCCATGCTTTTCACTGAACAGTTATTGATTATTTACTCTGTGTAAGCAGAGGGCAGGGACACAAAGATGAATCCATTGTTAAGTCTGTGAATGGTCTGGTATAATGGTTGAGAAAGGTTAGGAATCATTTCTTGGGAAACAGCTTTCATACTTTTCCAGGACATAGTGTATTTGAAATATCATTTTGTTGGTTTGATTGTGCTTTAAGCTATTTGAGTTTAATAATATCGTTTGGACACAAAATAACCACAGAACTTCTGTTCCTTTGATGTACTTTATCTAGTTCTCTGTTTCTAGGTTCGACGTGGGGGCATTGGTGCCCAGTGTGGGTTGGTGTTTGCTTATAACTCATCTTCTGATAAATTCCATGCAGAAGAACACTTCAAAAGGTTTGAAAAATATGACAAATGGAAGCTTCAGGAGTTCAGGCAATTTGTAAAAAGCAGGTAAAGGAGCAGAGTAAAGATCCTTGTAGTTAGCAAAATTGTATAAATTGTCTTATTGGTAAAATATGTTCTATATAGAAAAAGTGCCACTAACCCATCCTCACTGACCATGAGCATTCTTGCTTTCTAGCAGCATCTTTATATCTTAATCTGTTCGTAAACTCTTTCTCAGTCCCTTCTGTGATCAGGTACCCACAGGTTTAAACTCTGGGTAAGGATACACACCTGAGTTATGGGCAACTAGAGGTCTTACCTAGTCTTCAGTCTTACCTAGTCACTGGGAAATTACCTCTCTGTTCTTATTCATGCTTTCATCAAAGATATTAATAAATATTAACTGTCTATCAAGCCTGATGCTTGGCACTGAAGATACCATAATGAGCAAATTGGCAGTTTCTGTTCAGCGGAGCTTATTGTTTAGCTTAGAAGACAGATAGTGAGCCTTGTCATGTCATGGTGTTATGAATGCTAGAGAGGTGGGGTTCTGGAGCACATGATCAGGAAGGCTTCCTGGAGAAAGCATGAAAACTAAGAATGAGTTAGGGTTCATTTGCTACATGAAAAAAGTGAATGGAGTCTCCTGAGCAGAGAACAGCAGCTGTGCGAAGTCAGAGGTGAAGTGTGGCGTGTTGGAGGAACTGACCAGTCTCGTGTTCTAGAGCTGCATGTGAGGTGGAGTGGTACGAGATGCAGTGGCTCACTGTCGTTGCTAACGTGACTCATTGCTGATGAGTGTCAGCAATCTTTTCCCCTTTTACTACTGATTTCAATTTTCTAAGTGCTGTAATTTTCATATTTCTGTGATTTTGGAATTACAGTTGTTTATTTGCTTCTTCCCCCACTAGAATGCAAACTCTTGGCACGGGTTGCTCTAATATCCTTGTCCGTTGCTCTTTCACAAGCATAAAGCCTAGCCCTAGGCATACATAGTAGGTGCTGAATAACAACTTGTCAACTTAGGGAAAAAGGGCCCAATTGTTACAGGTTTTTTGTTTTGTTTTTTTCTGTTTCAGGGTTTAGACTTTATCCTTAAAGCAGTGCAGGGCTTGGGGAGTGGGCAGGAATGGGGTGGAGCATGTTGTTGTGGAGTTTTAAGTAGGAGGAGATGTATTATTATTGTTATTATCTGGATCGTGCTATGTGAGCATGGACTAGAGGAGAGCAAGCTTGGAGACTGAATGAAATGTGAGGAGCCTGTCACTCTCATCTAGGAAACACCTGAGGTGGGCGTGTCCTCAACTAGAGTAGCAATAGCAGTGGAAAGATGGGGAGTGATTTAAGAGACAGCTAGAAGTTGGGAGCAATGGGACATGGTGAGTGACTGTAGGAGCAGGAAGAAAACTTAGGTGTTAGTGAATCCTGGGAGTTTTGATTTGTATGAGAGCTGGGTGGGTGAAGGGTGTCAGGTATAAGATTTTTTTTTTTTAAGATTTATTTATTTATGCATACAAGAGCTAGGGTACAGGCCAGAGGTGTGGGGAGTGAGAGGATTAACCAGAGACAGAATGGGGAACAGAACAGGCAGATTAACCAAAGAACACTGCTGAGGGGAGCAGAGGGCGAGACAGAAGAGGTCTGCTGCACCATGTGTGTTGCTCCCTGGCCTGCCGGGGATCAAACTCTTGCTGCAGAGGCAGCGGATTGCTTCATAGTGTGGTGCTTAACCCCTTGCACCACCAAGGAGGCCCTCAGGTGTAGGATTTAGCTGCAGAGGACATTGCTGATCTTGGACAGTATCACATGCCTTCTTACTAGACTTGAGGTATATGCTACTGTATATGACAGGTAGTGGGGAGCTGCTATTAGTAGAAGCCTTTAACTATCATTCAGCACTATAATACTAAACTTTAAATATAAATCTATATAAATATTGATTCAACAAAAAAGAAAAATACAAAAATTGATTCATAGTGGTTGGATATAAACTTTAAATATAAATCACAAATTCTGATTTATTGGGTAGGGCCTAAGATTTTTCTAGAACAAGCTTGCCAGGCCACTCTGATTCTGTCAATTCTGTCTATTCTAGTATAATTCCCACTCTCTGCTGGACTATGTTTTGGAGCATCCCTGAGGAATGGTCATTCAACTCTTTCTTAGTAATTTTTTTTTTTCACTTTTCATTCCCTTCTTTTTTTTAATCTAGTTTTTATCAAGCTGTAACCTACACATTTTTAAAAGTATATACATATTATGTGTACATACAGCATCTTCAATACTTTTAATGATGGAGAATCTTGAGGCACTTTAGTAATTGGAATATGTTGAATTGAAATCTACCCTGGTGATTTTGACTCAGTGGTCTTAACTTCAACCCTCTAAATGAATTAGAAGAACTTTCCCTCACTCCTGAAAATCTCCCTCCCATCACAAATAAAACATACAGGCACACCTTGGAGATATCGTGGACTCAGATCCAGACCACCACAATAAAGCCAGTCACACAATTTTTTGGTTTCCCAATGCACATTTTAAATGTGCAATAGCATTATGTCTAAAAAAGCAATGTGCATAGCTTGATTAAAAAATATTTTATTGCTGAAAATGCTAACATCATCTGACCCTTCAGCTAGTTGCAATCTTTTGCTGGCATTTCAATTTGTTAAAAAAAAAAAGGCGACAAGCAGCAGAATGAGGTATGCTTGTATACTTATTTATAGATGTTTTTCTATTTTAACAATAGGTAGATATTATACTTGTTTTTAAGCAGCTAAATCCCGCTTGTAGGATATATTAAAATAGATCTCTTTTCCTAACCCAGTTATTAAACAGCCCCTTCACATCTTGTATAGGATGATTTTTCTTTTTTAAACCTAATTGCAGGCCTACTACTCTCCTGGTGATTTTAGCTCCTGGTTCCTGCCTGAATTACTCTGCAATTCTGATTTAGTTGGCCTACATATTATCAGTCCCTCTTCAGTTTGGGAACCAGAAAATTCATGTGCATGGATCTATTGCTTTGCCATTTTTTTTTTTTTTCTTCCAATTTCTCTCTGGTCATACTCTGGTCAGTCAGCAGATTTCACGACCAGCTGATTGGTGACTGTGCATATTTAAGAGGACTAATACTCAGCTTTCTTTTCTCCACCCCGTCTCCATGTGGTTTAGTAAACAAGGTTGCTTCTCTCTGCTCTCTGACATCCTGCCAGCTCCCTGTATGAAAGATTTCCTTGATGTTTCCCAAAGAATGAACTTAAAAGTCCTTAAATGTGCAATGTTGATGAAACTCATTGACATGATTTAGGGCTAGGAGCGAATACCTCTGTCCCTTTGGGTTTAGGGTTAACTATATCATGAATGAATTATGCTAAGAAACATTTATGTTTAAGAAGAGAACTTTCTCTCTATTACACCACCTTCTCTGGGTCCTTTGTCATTTCCTTTTCTTGCCACAATTCCCTCTGTTTGCTTATCCATACAGAATACTCATGTATTGCTAGCTTATTAGCTATATTACAGACTAAGCAGTGTAATGTTTTAGGAATGTTACTTGAAAGTCTGCTTTTTTCTCCTTTGTTATTTAATTCCTGAAAAGGGAGTACTTTGTGTTCATGTATCTATTAAAAAAAAGGGGAGGAGGTGGCACACAGTTTTGCTTCTTCAGTCTCTAGTCTGGAATGCTTTCCTGGAAGGACTTAAGGCTTAGGAAAGAATACTGAGACCTATGAAGGCTGACATTTTCCTTTTTTGGAGCTCTGGGATCTAAAAGCTTCCCAGCTTTTACCCGTTAGTTGTTGCAAGTGGCCCAAACCTCAGACTGGTCATACATACATTAACCAGACCTAGGGAAAGAAAACTTTGACTTTCAACCTGCCTCTCCTTTGGATCTTTCCAGTAGCACCTACTAGCTTACATTGTTATATTGTACCTCATTCATGGGTAGATCCTCTAAGATGCCTTGACATCATGTCTCATTCTTCAGTAGGAGAGTTATCCAGAGAAGCAAACTTTCTCCTTAGTTCCCAGATTATATGTAGAACTGATAATAGTCCCTATTTTATAGATGAGGAGGCTGAAAAGTGGGGAGGAAATCATCACAAAATACCTTATCTGTTTAAAGAGGTACCAAGTGCAACACCCAGTCTTAGATTGTTAATTAATAGGTCATAGATATATAAGGTAAATGCCTTTTAAATAGTGCCTGATTTGTTACATCCTAGAGTTTAGAAATAGGAACATTTTTGTGATTATCCTTCTGTTTGCAGGATTGGTTGCTCATCTGATGACCTTGGAGAGAATGATCCTATTGGCTGGTTTGAGCTGGAAGAAGAGTGGGATGAAGCGGATGTCAAGTTGCAACAGTGCAGAGTTGCCAAAGTAAGCATCAGTGAATCATGGCCTTCAGACATTTGCCCTCCTTTTACTCTCTGTTTTTGGAGCTACTGTGTGAAAGTACTGGAATCCTGGAGGTGAATCAGACATGATTGTGACCCTCAAGAAGTTCATAGTCTAGAGGAGAGGCAGATGTATAAGATACTGATGTGGCTGTGAGAAAGGGACTCCCCAGGGCTCTTGGAGCCCAGAGGTAGGATAGCTCACTACACCTGGAGTTTGCTAGGGAGAGCTTCCTGTTGCTGGGACAGTGCCCAGAGTTGAACACTGAGTCAGCCATCACCTTTAACCAGGCCCAGATGGTGTGGAGCAGGCATCTCAGAATGAGAGAATGGCACAAATGTGTAAGAAATGTGTTTCCATAGCTATGAAAGAAACAGTGATTATTTTGCCACTTAAATTTTTTTGACCTCTATTGAAAATCTTAGTAAGAAATTTAAGTAAGAAAATAAGAACTATCTTTAGGGCTTATACTCAATAGGTACTCAGTAAATATTTATACAGTAGAATAATGGATTCTGAAAGGTCCTTGACAAAGGAGATTTCACTATAATAAGTAGGTAGTTTGCATGGAAGTTGCCTTTGAAAATGACTTTGTCTTTGAGCAGACACAGCTGTGTCCTGGGCTCTTAGCACATGATATCATGTGCATGGGTACAGCATTTATCATGTGGGGGCTTTGAGTGATTCTTTAGGACATTGACTGTCTTCATAATACATCTGATTTCTGTTTCAGAATGACTGTGCCTCAAAGCAGATGTACTTCTCTTACTCATCCTTTCCTATCCTGTTTTTGCCTTGAAGGGGAAGTGATGCCAATTCTTTAGCTTTCATTCAGCATTTGTATTGTCTTTTTTGTTTGTTGGACTTAAAATTTTTTGTCCCTAGGCCAAATGGTACCTAATAAATTATTGAAGTCATAGGGGGACCTTACCGGAAAGATTTTTATCTCCCTTTCAGCAACATCCAGGGCTTGAGTACCTTTCTTTTAACCCATCTTTTCCTTTATAGTATTTGATGGTGAAGTTCCTCTGCACCCGTCAAGAATCGGCAGAGCGCTTGGGAGTTCAAGGCTTGAGCATCAGTGGGTACCTCCGACCTGCAAGAGCAGAAGCAGAACAGAGCATTGCCTGTGCTCCATGCAGAAAGGACACGGAAAAGAGTGTCTGTGGGGCCACGCTCCTCCTCAAAACTCTTCAGTTTATCCAGCAGCTTGCCCATGATCTGGTAGTGTTTTCCTTATTTGTTAGACTTTGTTCCTTTGGGACCAGTAAATAATAAATGACAGTGTTCAGGGAAATGAATACCACCCAGTGAAACTATGTAGTATGAGTGAGTGTGGAGGCTTCATGCTGCTGTGATGATATTGAAAGGCTAAGGGGAGTATTACGTTGGCATTTATGTATCAGTTAGTGAAAGTCTAAGTTGCTTATGGCCATTGTAATGAGGTTTTTTAGAATAGACCTATAGTTAGATCTTAAAGATCTGTTAACACTAGCTGTGGTTGCTGGCAGTAAACTAGGGAGACAAAACAAGTTTATAGAATTTACACCTTCTGTAAGTCATAGGAGAATTATTACTGAGGTGTAATTCTGTCTACTTAATGTACCAAAATAATGTCAGGATTTGAAAAGATTTGTGGTTTTAATACTGATTTCTACAGTCACAATTAAAAACACAGTGATAATTCACTGAAAGGAAGGTTCTTGCAGCCATCATCATAAAGAACATGGCTGAATGTGGTGGCGCCCTCTCGGGTGTGTATAAAACAGTGTCCACTTGTGACCTTAATTCTGCTTCAGGGCACGTGTGGAATCTGGTGACTCAATTTATAGATGGTTTGGTCTTTGTTATTCAGTCTTTCCCATTACAGTAGAAAGAGAAAATAAGTGGAGATACTTATGAGTAGCAGGGGATTTTATAGTTGATTTGCTGTTTCAACCCACTTGTAGGGAAGAGTCAAAACATACTTCATTATAGGCCTGGACAGTCGTCATCAGCAAGTAAAGACCCACTTATGTTGCAGGTGTGGTATTGCTGAAGTCAGAATTCTTTTTGGATGTATGCGTTATGTGTATACCTTTGCACATATACTTGCACATAGTTTAGGAAGTTTTACATCACAAATAGTTGTTCACAGACTTTTTAGTAGTTAAGAGTAACCATCATTTATATGGCAATTTTGCCCACATGGAGCTACCTTCTTTAACAACGACAAGTAAATGAGCCATTACAAGTTTCTCGAAATGCATTTTTCAATTTTTTTTTTTTCTGGTTTTATAATTTTTAGGTGCAGCAGAAGGAAAGTCACTTAAGATATAAATCTTTTCTGGACTTCGCGGGTCTTGATTTGCAGATCTTCTGGAATTTTTACAATAAATTAAAGCAAAAGTAGGTCAGAATTTGTTGAAAGGTGAAAATCATATAAACAAAACTAAAGAAACTAAGTCTTACTATTCTAAACTGACAATTTTTTTCTCCTAAGTTTTTAAACTGCCCACTAGTTTATATTGTTTTGATTTGAGAGATTTGGTTATTATTAAAAATAACACCTTTTATTTCTTGAAAATATTTGGACAGTGCTTCGTCACTATTTTCTCATTTGATTGTCTTAAACAACCTTGTAAGATAAGTGGGCCAAGTATTATAGCAGTATCTTCAATTTACAGATATAGAAACAGAAATGCATTCCTGCTCACGGTGGCAGAGTCAGGTGGGGACTGTATTTTCAGATTCTACCTAGTACGATGTTCTTTCCATTCTACCTTTCAGTGGGTTTTCTTTTTATCAAACCCACTGTCTATAGGATAATCCTTTATAGACAGCTGTTTGGCTTTGTAGGGTAAAAGCCACTTGTCTTTTTGTTCTCTCATCTCTTTCTATAGCTCGAGAGAAGAATGTGTCTGTGCTCAAACTCTGCTTCTGCAGCTCCTCCAGAGCTGTTTCTCGGTGCTGCCAGGAGACGTGCCAGCTGCCTCTGAAGGGGCAAAGACTCCCAGCCAGAGCCCTGGACGGGTGGAGGCTGCCAAGGAGCTCTACACACACTTATGTGATGGTAGGGGTTGGGATTTTCTTCCTTAATGTGGTCAGCAAGGCCTTTGCTGTAGAGAATGGGGTCCCATTATCATGCATGCACAGAAAGAGATAGCTTCTTTGGAAAATGTTTCCTTTGATTCCTTTTTGAATTCATTAGTTTGAGTTTAGGAATTCTTAACAACAGCTTCCTCCTGGTTTCAGATATACAGTTGTGTTGTATTGAGAATAATTGTTATCACATGATTCAGCTATGACACTGAGATAAGGCTGATATATTAATAGAGATTGTAATCACAATGGGGATAAAACACGTGACCATCTGAAGTTACTTTAATTATTGTTTTTTGTTTTTTGTGTGTGTGTATGTGTGTTAACATTGGTTTATAATACTGTATACGATTTAAGACAAAAGGTTCCTACCTCCTCAGATGTATGTTACCATCAAAACACTCAATAGTGCTTTAACTTAGACCATTAGGCCCTCTCTCCCCCTGAAATTAACTTTAAGGCTATTTCAAGTGTGTCTCAAGGGGACAGAAATAATGAAATAAAATCAAGTATATATAGTCTTCTTTAGTTAAATGTTAAACCAACAAAAAAATAATTTACTTGCACTACTTGTGCAGAAATATTTCATCGCTCTAGCATTAACTACAAAATGGAAAGTAGTGAGTTTAGACTTGTTAAAGTACATATATATAGTAAGGGAATAAAAGGCATGTATTAAAACTGATCCCATTATCCATTTTTATCAGTGGTGGATAGAGTGGATGGAGACTTTGTGCCTATGGAGATATTAAAACAAGAAGTCAGGAACACCCTTCTCAATGGGGCTGCCGTCTTCTTTCCTGATCGACAGATCCGGCGGAACCATCTCTTCTCCATGATGGTAATTATTTACATTAGGAATGGCCCTGAAGTGATGATATTTATTAGTCTTTGTTTTCTCTGAGTATCTTGTTAGTTTCCATTTCCCAAATGTGTGTCTAATACTTATTATTGTCAAAGGTTTGTATGGGACATATACCTAAGGACTGCCTTAGGTACCACTGTACTCAAGGGGGAAATGATAATCACCCCAACCTTCATTTTATAGCCTGTTGTTTCACAGAGGGACAGTATAGTTTCCTTTATCTTTATGACTTGACTATTACCAGTTGTTCCTTTTAATATTTTATTTTATTTTTTAAAGATTTATTTATTTATTTATTTATGTATTTATTTATTTATTTATACAAGCACTGGGTACAGTCAGAAGCGCGGGGAGGGTGAGAGAACTCACCAGAGCCAAAGTGGGGAGCAGAGCAGGCAGAAGGGCCAAAGTACACTGCTGAGGGGAGCCCAAGTGGGGAGCAGAGCAGGCAGAAGGGCCAAAGTACACTGCTGAGGGGAGCAGCGGGCGGCAGGGAGGACTGCGTGCCATGTGGGACCCTCCTCCGGTGGCCAGGGAGCAGCCGGGGATCGAACTGGCACTGCAAACGCCGCGGGCAGCTTCGCAACCCAGCGCTCAACCGCTGCACCACCGGGGAGGCCCCCTTTTAATATTTTAAATGTTTTAATTATGGAAAATCTAAAACAAATACAAAAATATTTCAAATCGTATAATGAATTACCACATCCCCCAAATGTACCCACTCACACTTAAAACTCAGCTAACCTTGTTTCATCTGTAATATACTTTACCCCTGCCCAGTAGTATTTCATCTGACAGTTTATTCATAGGTATCTAGTTTATAAAGAAAATATAGCCAGGTTTTCATTCTCACATGGTTCTTTTCACCCTCTCAGCCCCCTTCTCCTTGTTACTCAGACTTTAATAATGGGGGTGAAGAATGCTTTAGCATTTATAAGTATTATGTTACCAAATGGAATATCATATACCAATATTCAGAATTTTAATTCTGAAGAGTATTTCTTTATGAAAGGGAGCATAACACATGAAAAAATATGTCATGGTAATGCAAAAACAAAACTCCTCTAAGCCATTCCAAAAACATCTAGATAAAAGAATTAGAGAGCTTCATGTTACATTGATGGTAAAATACAGAGAAACATAAGTAAACTAAGGGAGTAAATCAGATAAGCATGTACAAGAAAGAAAAATTGTAAACCTATGGTAGAGACCTATAGATACTGATAGAAAAATTCTAACAAAATAATAGTTAACCAGTCTAACAAAAAATAAACAGAATTTTGACGGGGTTGGATTTTCTTAGGAATGCAAGATGGTTTAACGTTAAAAAATCAGTGCATTTAAAACAATGTGTGTTGTTTAATGATGGGGCTGAGTCCTGAGAGTTGTGTCATTGGGTGATTTTTTTTTAAGGGTTTATTCATTTATGCATATAAGAACTGGGGTACAGCCCAAGTGTGTGGGGTGGGGGCGAGGATTCACCAGAGACAGAGTGGGGAACAGAACAGGCAAATTGACTGAAATACATTGCTGAGGGGAGCAGCGGGCAAGTCAGGAGAGGTCTGCTGTGCCATGTGTAGCTCCTTGGCTGAGGATTGAACTCTTGCTGCAGTGGCTGTGGATAGCTTCATAGGTTGTGTCTTAACCCCTTGCACCACCAGGGAGGCCTTAGGTGATTTTAATCATGTGAAGTTACAGAGTTGGGTCACACAGACCTTGGTGGTATAGCCTACTCTGCACCTAGACTATGTGTATGGGCAGTCTGTCATTGACCAAAATGTTATTGACACATAAATGAAATCAGAGAGAAAAAAAAATCGTATCTATAAATGCAGGGACAAATTTTAATCTGCTTATAAATTCTGATGGTGATTAAAACTACAAAACCATTAGCAAACTCAGTCTGATGTAGAGCATATATCCAAACCTACAATAAACAATACGCTAGATGATGAGTCACTTTCAGAAGCATTCCTTTCAAAATGAGGACTAAGACAAGGATGGTTACTGTCACTGCTTTTTTGGTATTATATTAGAGGGCCTCGTCAGTGCCGTAGATTAAGGAAAATAAATCTTTTTTTTTAAAAGATTTATTTATTTATTTATTTATACAAGCACTGGGTACAGTCAGAAGCAAGGGAGGGTGAGAGAATTCACCAGAGCCAGAGCAGAACAGGCAGACTGACAAAGAAGTACACTACTGAGGGGAGCAGCGGGCGCGGCAGGAGAGGTCTGCGCACCATGTGGGACCAAACCAGCACTGCAGAGGCTGTGGGCAGCTTCGCAGCCCAATGCTCAACTGCTGCGCCACCAGGGAGGCCCAAGGAAAATAAATCTTAAGAAAACAATTAGAAAGAATAAAACAAGTAATAGTTACTTATAAGTGATATGGCTATAGATTATTTTTTATTGTCTTCGAAGACAAGCAACTAGTAAAATTACCAGTGTTTGATGAAAAAAATGAAATACAACACTTTTTAGAGGTATACTATGAAACAATGAGCAAATGCAGTAAAAGCTCTGTGAGATACATAATGGCAGCAATCAAAGAAGCGTAAAATGTGGTCCCTGTTACCAAAGGCCCAGTCGGGGATACCCCACAGCAAAAACTGCCTCCTTCTGTGATAGGCTTTAGTGGAAATTCATTTTGACAAAGAAATAGAGAAGAAGGCTGTTTGGTTAGATTTCAGCTGTCTCCAAATCTGCATATCAACTTGAGGGATCAGTTTGTATGTTGTTCATTATAATATTTGACAGCAGCAACAGACCTGACACTGAAGTCTGGGCAGGGCTCTGTCCTACTTGTTTACCAGCCAGGCTGCTTAGCAAGTAATTTTTTTTTTTTTGCTAGTATGTGTTCCACACAGAAAAGTAGAATGACATTGCTGACAGTTAGCAGAGCCACTGAGAGACACTTTCCCTTTGCCCAACCCTTCTGACAGGGTTAAATATTTTCATTCTCATGCAGAGCGTTAAATAGTACTGTTGTCATTTGTGACCATATCTTACCTTTCCTGTGACAGGCAGGGCCCTGAGTCTTAAATACACTGAAAATCCCTCTCAGTGTCTTGCATAACAGAAGATCTTACATACATTTATTGAATTCAGAAAATAAAATCAATTTATTGACTTGAGAAAATTATAGTAGGTGCTAAATACATTTATTTAAGAAATTAAAATTGTAGCACAGTTGCTCAATTAGAAAGTGTGATTCCTATAGTTCTCACCATGGGTCATTCTGGCTTACAAAGAGGAAGTTTAGATCCTGTTGAAAAACAAGCAAAAGCATATATGAAATGTATTTTGTCTCTGTCCTTTCCTCTTGTGATGGCATGGCCAGAGATAAAAGGCATTCACCTTGGGAAGTTATGTCCCTGCACATTTGCATGTCTGGGGTGGCTCCCTCTAAGCACTAGACCAGGCACTAGGTAGGCACTGTGAGGTGGCCCTCTGACCCTGGCTATCCTCATGCTCGGGCACAGTGGGTAGTAGCTAGGTTTCTGGATTATGAATGGATTTCTGAATATGCAATTCTTGTTTTGTAGAAGAATGTCATTGAGCAAGAACACAAGCAGTCTTTGCAGCTTACTTTCCGCTCTCTGTGCACGTATTTTAGGTAAGTTTATAATTCTTTGCAATTGTCAGATATTTCAGATCTTTGCTCAGTTGTTTTCTTTAGCTATCCCTTCCTTTCACATGCTTCTGGAGTAACCAAGTACTTCCTTCTGCTCAGCCAGAGTTCTGGAATGAGTTATCACCAGTCACAGGAGTGACTAAGTAGTAGAATAATAAATAACATTATTTATTATTTATTAAGGTCATTAAGAGACACTTTAAGGTTGAACCCATTGATGATCTCTGTGAATATGTTTCTAAGTGACTTTGAAGATAGACGGAAGACCCTGTATCCAAGTCTTAAAAAACAAACTACATTAAAAACCAATTGCAGAGGCACATACTTGTACTGTAGCAAAAGAGGTGTGCTGGGAGGGGATTTATATGGAGATATTCACATGCTTTAACTACCAAAGAAGCTTATGGGTCTGTAGGTTGTATTTTTGAAGGAATGCACTTTTGACGGAGAGAGGAAAGTAGTAGTCTGAGCTGCTGTTTCTTATATGGATGCCAGACTTAGAGAGCTCTATAAAATGTGTTCAGAGTTGAGCATCAGGAATGATGCAATGGCCTGGGCCTATCTTGTGAAGAACTTTTGAAGTTACAGGAAATCTTAAACCTGGATCGTCAAGTTAGCAGGTATATAATTCCTATTGGTGGTCAGGGTGATTTATTTATCAGAATTGTTCCTTGGAATCTCTTCTAAGGATTGGAGGACAAATGGGCCTGTGCTTCCAGAAGGACATGAGGACACCTGGTAGCACAGACCGAGCGGGGACTATGATCTTTTTCCTGACCCAAACTCCTCACATAGCATTGACACTGAAAACTTTCTAGGTTCTTTTTTGGAACCTTTTAAGATAGAAAGCATGAAAATCTGCTTTCTGAAACAGGTGTCATGACTGATTTGTGTCCTTTCAGTGATAAAGATCCAGGCGGCCTTCTACTTTTACCTGAGAAAGGCGACCTGGCTGACATGAACATCAGTGAAGTATTGGCGGTCATGAGCACTCTCCTCTCTGTTGCTGCCCGAGAGGTAACTGCTGGCTGCCTTCCTGTTTTCTTTGCCTCATGCCTTTAGGAGCACATGATACAGCAGCCACTTTGCCCTCCCTGTTAGCCCTCGTGTACAGTATGTATATAAGTTTGTTTCTGTGGCCATTACAATCGAGTATGAGGGTTTCCCAGTCTGGGATGGCTACTAATTAGCCAGCTTCTGCAGATGAGTGAGGGGACTAGCCCCGAGGTAATCAACAAGCAGAAGATATGTGAAAGTGCTCTTTAAGCCTTCCTTTGAAAAGAGGAATGGACTTTTACCAGGTCTCTTTTAGTGACAGTCAGTGGGCCTAGCACATACTCATGCATTTCTGGTATAAAGTTTTTATGACTTTAATTTTTATAGGTTACTTACTTAACGAATTCATAGACCAATCAAATCTGAAGATGGACTCCTTTCCTGTGCTAACCATACAATTTTTGCTGTTTTAACATGAAGAATTTTGTTTCTCACATCATGGCCCACGTATCAACTGGATCAGAATCACTAGGCTTTTTTGACAGAAATTTGCATTTCTAGGTCCTACCCCAAGCTACTGATGTAGAATCTCTAGGAATAGAATGTAAAAATCTACATTTTATCAAGCATTCCCATAGATCCTGAAGTGATATAATCTCTGTCCTGCAGGACCAAGAATTGCTTCTTTCTATTAAATATGGAAACCAGGGAGTTAGTGGAGATCTGATGGTAGGATAGTTCAAACCACTCCCTTCACCCAGGAGCTATTTAATGTCAAGTACTTCAAGATAACTCGTGTATCTCCTGGCTAATCTAGTGTCTTTAAAATCTCTTAGAGTTTTGTTAGTGCTGTACTGTTTTCAGGTTGCTGTTAGTGCCATGACTTCACTCACTTCCGGCTGACTGCAGTGGCAGGTCAGCAGTTATCCCTGATCACTCATGGGGACCTTAGAAAGCTTAAGGTATGCTAGGTTGTTATTTGCCAAGGTGGCACTGAGGCTAGCACTATTTACAGTTACATTAGACTTAGTGCTGCTTCAAATCCATGGTTGCTTCTATCTCACTGTGACCCTTGTATTCTCTAAGGTACATATTGACTTTATAAGCTTTAACTGTTTTCTATCAGTGCTCTATTTTCTGTACTCACATTAATTTTCTCTTTTGTTACTTTCTGCCTTCTGTCTTACTGCCAGACTCTTCTACCCATCTCTTGAGTCATCCTTAAAAATTTCACTGCAACCTGCTACTCATCAATGCTTCCTCTCTGCCTCTTTAGCCCTGATTCACTTTAATCTCTGTTTTCATTTGTGCCTCTTCCCACATCTCTTTCTCCTGGAGCTCTTCTGAATTCTGCCTTTATCTCAGACCCTTCAAGTCTTTTTCAGAGCCCCTTCAGTCACATCATCAGTGTCATTGGACAGAAAACTTCAGTGTGTCCTCACCAGGTTTTCCTACGTGTTAACAATCAATGCCTCCTGTATGAGTTGGTAGATGTGGAACAAGGACTAAAACCCAGGCCATTTGATTTAGTCTTGTTCTTTTTGCATTAGGTCAGACATAATGTGAGATATACGTAGAAAATTTAGTCCAAGAGAATTTCTCATATTCTTTATCATTTGAAGACAAATATTTGACCTTTCTTTCCACTCACTTCCTTGTGTTACAAAGGAAGTTATAGATTTCATTGAACCTCCCAGGCCAGGGATCACTGCAGCCATTGAGCTATTTCCTTAAATTATCTTTAGTAAAAAACATTTATGGTTTTGCTAAAGAGGAAGAGACAGATTTAAAATAATTATTTTTTTTTTAAATTTTTGTGTAGAAGAACTGGGGTGTAGGCCAGAACTGGGACTTGGGGCTAGGGTGAGAGGATTCACCAGAGACAGAGTGGGGAGCCGAACAGGTGGATTGACTGAAATACATTGCTAAGGGGAGCAGTGGGCAAGAAAGGAGTGATCTGCTGTGCCATATGTAGGTTAGCTCCATGACCAGGGATCAAACTTAGGCCTCAGTGGCCTAAGACTAGCACTGAGACTTAACCCCCAGGCCACCAGAGAGGCCATTAAAGTAATTTTTAAAGGTGGTCAGAAATGTGCCTAGTCTGAAGTTTTTCTCATAAGTCTATTAATACCACAGATATCCACTGCCTGCACATAGGATACAGTGGTAAAAGAGCACTGCCTGGAGGAGCAGGCAAACATGTAATCAGCAAGTCATAACAATCAGTAAAGACCATAAGAGCATAGGGTCTTATGGGGTACAGTGCGCCTAACTTTATGTGTTGAAGATAGGGAGTGTAATTGTGAAAGGCTAGTTGGGGGAAATGGTGCTGGAGCTCCATATGAGGCCATGAATGGGCATTAATCAAGCAAAGAGGAAGGAGATGTTCTTGGTAGAAAATAGCATAGGCAAATGGCAAGTGCCGAGTTGGTGAGGAGCAGGTGTTTGACCAGGAGAATGATAATGGATAGAATTTGAACATGTTGAGTTTATGGTTCTGGTAAGATTGGAGTTGGTTAGATGCTGAGGAACTGAGTCAGTGCTGGAAATGGAGACTTTGCAATCATTAATGAACAGGTGATAGTTGAAGGCATGACTGTAGATGTCATCACATCACCTATGGGCATCTTGAGGATCATCTCCATAGAAAGTACAGCCAGAGAGTAAACAGTAGCAGGAAGAAATTCAAAGGAGGCAGAAACTTAGGGAGCAATGAGTTTCAAGAAAGACATTGGGCAGTAGAGCCAGTAAGATAAAGCTTAAGTGGAAAGGCTTTTCCCTCTACAAATGACTGATGCCTTTGAGGAATGGTGTCAGTGAGTGGTAGAAACAGAAGCAGTGGAATGACAGAGGGGAGAAAGGCCAACACAGCATGTGAGGGCAGCTTTTTAAAATGTAATACCCCCCTACACACACACACAAGAGTATGTATTAATGGACAACTTAAAGCAACATCTATCCATTTAGAGAATTAGAACATTACCTATATTGTTGAAGTCCCCTTACCCACCTATACCCTTTCATGGCTTACCCTCCCACCTCATCAGAGATAACCACCATTCTGAGGGTTATAGTCATCATTTTCTTGTTTTTCTGTCTAGGTGTCCCTACACAACATGTTTGTTTTTTTTTTTTTTTTTTTTTTTTTTTTTGCTTGCTGTTCACCTTTAGTGCATTCACATGGTGCATAGTCTTCTATGACATGTTTTTCACTCAACAGCATTTTTGAGATTCATGCATTTTGATGTACATACTGTAATTGTAGTCCTGTTTTCACTGGTGCATAATATTCCCTCTGAATATAGCACAGTTGATCCATTTACTTTGGAGAGATAGTTGTTTTTGGTTTGGGGGCAATTATGTAGCAGTTACAATATGAGCCTTTTTTAAAAAAAAAAGATTTATTTATTTATACAAGCACTGGGTACAGTCAGAAGCACGGGAGGGTGAGAGAATCCACCAGAGCAGGGAGCAGAACAGGCAGACTGACAAAGTACACTGCTGAGGGGAGCAGCGGGCACGGCAGGAAAGGTCTACGCACCATGTGGGACTCTTGCCGGTGGCCAGGGATTGAACCGGCGCTGCAGAAGCTGCGGGCAGCCTCGCAGCCCCACGCTCAACTGCTGCGCCACCAGGGAGGGCCCCCCCCCCCCATATGAACCTTTATTGTGGTTCTTATGTATAAGAGTTTATCCCTAGAGGTCAGTTAACTCTTCAAAGAAACTCCAGAGATTAAAGATAATAGAGAGCCTTAGAGGAATGAAGAATCATTTTTTTAAGGAGAAAGAGATTTTTTTAAGACTTAGAGGAAAGAACCAGGGAGAAATGGGATTTAAAGATGTGTGAGAGAACCATACCTTACCTCTGGGGTAAGGTTCTTGAGGGGCAGAGAAAGGTGACATATGGAGTAAACATGATCTGCAAAGCTTTTGAAAAACTAGAGGGAAGGAGTTTTCATAACACCATTTTTTTGGTCACCTGTGGGTTGAAAGCTCTTTCATGACTATTCCCCATTTTCTTAGTGTTTTTGCCAGTGAGTGCTAGCTGCTCTCTTAGAGAATGTCCTGCTGTGTTCTGTGAATGGTCTTGTAAATACTTTTTGTTTATCTCCTGCCTTGTAGTGTGAGCTGTTGATGCTCAATGGGGCCAAAGGGGAGATTGGCTCTGTGCTCTTCTCCCTGTTCTGGTCTGTCCAAGGCAGCCTGCTCTCCTGGTGCTACCTGCAGCTGAAGAGCACTGACAGCGGAGCCAAAGATCTTGCAGTTGACCTTATCGAAAAATGTAAGTTTTAGTTCAAAATGCATGAAAGCAGATAGGTATTTAGGCTTTGACTCTGTTTTCTTCAGTACCTCATTCATTAAATATGGATATGGCTTTCTTTTTTACAAATCAGATCTGTTTTCAAGTTGTTTTCTCCTTCTTAAAATAGAACTCTGTAACATGTCTTTTTGTCCAAAATTTCCTGTCCAAATGTGGTAATGGCCCTAAGTATTTTTATTGTGGGCTTGGGTCATCTCACAGCCAGTACCTCTGCAGTCATGTAGCACTCTTAGATGATGCCCCACTCTTCAGTAGAGTCTGTCATCCTTGTTTGATTCAAGTCACCCTAATAAAAGAAGCCTTAAACTTTTAAAGTCAAAGGCATATGAGCATTGCCGTGACCTTTGCTGCTTCTTGAAAATGCTGATTGATGTCCTATAAGCCCCAGAAAACTAGGAAACTTAACAGGTTCTGAGATATTTCAGTTCCATTAAACTTGGTCTCAGCAGCTGTGACAGTAACATTTATTCTACCATTGATCCCTGCCACCTAACTCTGGAACCATTGGATGGCCCACCTAATGAAGGGCCACTGTAAACAAAGGGAAAGGAAAGCTGGGGCTGGGTGGGTCAGCCATGTGACTTCACTTATAAAAGTGATATCTGCAGCTCATCAGAAAGGACCAAAGGCCAAACAAAAACCCACTCACTTTAAAAGTAAAGTGAGATGAAAGTACTGAGATTTGCACTACTTTTCCTCCCTAGAGGATAACATTTGTTTGACACTTAGTGGTCTCATGGTCTTTTTCACCCCCAAGATAATTTTTTATTGTGGCCATTTTTTCTTACTGATTCTATTAATTTTTTTTTCTTTATGAGGTTACATTTTATGATCCTGTCTATGATTTGGGGTATAGGTTCACACCTGCAGGTGTATGTTGCAACACCACTCCTATCTCCAGAGTAGGCGAAATCCTCCCCAGAGTCAGGCCGCTTCTCCTCTTTGCTTTTCACTCCCATGCTCCCGCTCTGGTAGTCTCAGTTCTACAGTCAGATTTCTCGGGTTTGTTTTGGTTTAGTTTTGTCTGTTCCTTTATTTAATTTCTTTGCATTTCACTTAATGAGTAAAATCATCCAATATTTGTCTTTTTTCTTCTGATTTATTTTGCTTAGCAGTATCCCCTGTGCTTCCATCCATGTTGTAGCAAATGGCAAGATTTCGTCTTTTTTCCAAATGAGTAGTATTCTGTTGTCTCTATATGCCACATCTTCCTTATCCACTCATTTGTCATTGGGCAGTCATTGTTTCTGTAGCTTGGCTATTGTAAATATGCCACAGTGAACATAGGAGACATAGGAATACCAATGTCTCTTCCAATTAGTGTTTTTCTTGGTCTTTTTTTTTTTTTAAACCAATTTTTATTTCCATGCCATGTTTTTTTTTTCTTTTTCTTTTTATAAATTTCTTTCTTTTTTTTTAAGATTTATTTATTTTTATACAAGAACTGGGGTATAGGCCAGAGGTACAAGAGGGTGAGAGGATTCACCAGAGACAGAGTGGGGAACAGAACAGACAGACTGACAAAATACACTGCTGAGGGGAGCAGCGGGCAAGACAGGAGAGGTCTGCCGCACCATGTGGGTTTCTCCCTGGCTGGCCAAGAATCGAACCCACTCTGCAGAGGCTGCAGACAGCTCACAGCGCTGCGCTCAATCCGCTGCACCACCGGGGAGGCCCTTTCTTGGTCTTTTTGATGTGGAATTTTCTCCACCACTTCTGTAACCTTCTCTACCTTTGACCTTAATGTTGACCAAGCAAGTGATATTTCTACCTTGTAAAATATTAATTTTTTTTTTATGTTTTGGTAGATGTGGGACAGTTTCTGGCAAGCATGAGAGTGATTTTGGAATCCCTTTTGTCACAGTATAGTGGAAAAACCATTGTAGAAAAATTATGTAATTCAGTGTTTTCTATGGCAGCTCGTCAACTGGTAAGCAATAGCGGTGGCCGCTTGTAAAGGGCTGGAGGAGGTTGGTGACCTATAACCCTGGGCAATCTGAAGTATGTGCTAAGTGCTTTGTTCATCTTCCTTTAGGTAATCTTTCTGCTGGACTTTTGCACTTTAGACATTTCACACTGCACTCTCTTGAGAGAGTTCAGCTCCCTAACAGAACTGTTGAAGAAGCTCTGCAGTGACCCAGAAGGAGGGCTGAGCAAGGTAACTCAGTGTCATCGTTTGCACCTGCTTAGTATTCCCTCTCAGGAGTGATGTGACCCTACTTAATAACATGTGTCCCTGGGTACAGATCTACACAAATAAATTGCCTCCAGAAAATACCCTTTATTTTATCCAACAAGGATAAATAGCCAGTATGACTTGATTTGGCTTGGAGACACAGAGAAGAAGCTGGACATAGATGAATGTTATCACTTGATAGCATGTGAAGTTATATAAAAACTATATAAATACATAACCATATTGAAGTCTAGAAGAGAAAAATATGATGCAAGGCAGATTAGAAGGGTTGGCATTTAAAAGGATTTGTGGAGGGCTGATACAGTCTGGCTGTGTGGAACACGGTGGAAACATTATACTGCAAGAGGCTAGATGTAGAATGATGAAAACCTTTCTCTCTTGATTTGTTTGTGTAGCTGGATGTCGAGACTTGGCAACAGGAAGAACCTGTGGTGTTGCATACATGGACCAAGGAATCTGCCCACAACTATGAAAATAATTGCCATGAAGCATTTATCTTTGTTAGCCCAGGGGCAACCTATTTTGAGGTGGAATTTGATGAGAGGTGTGAAACTGAAAAAAGGTAATACTCACATGTCTCCCCCACCCCCACCCCAAGTTAATAATGAATCAAAATGGGGAGAAAGAAAGTAATAGCGATTATGCTTTCACAGGTATGATTATCTGGAATTTACTGACTCTAGAGGTGGAAAAACACGCTATGACACAAAAGTTGGCACTGATAAATGGCCCAAGGTGAGTGGTCTTCCCAGGAAGAGATGAAATGCCTACAGAAAGAGTTCTTCTCTCCTTTTGTCAGCCCGCATTGTGCAGTGGCAGTATGGATTTTGAAGGGAAGCGTTGATACAATATTTTTGTAAAAGAAGGGTCTTTATCACAGGTCAGCAAGCTACAACTCCTGCTTTGTAAATAAAGTTTTTTGGGACCCCACTATGCCCAATTTTATATCACTTGTGTTTATATATCCTCTGTAGCTGCCTTGGCACTGCAATGGTAGAGTTGAGTAATTGCAACAGAGACTGCATGACCCAAAAAGTCTAATAATTTACTGTCTGATTCTTCGTAGGAAAGTTTGCCAATCTCTGGTTTATCTCTGATCAATCATCCAGAGTAAATGGGGAGTTGCAATCCTTAGCAAGAAGGGCTGGTGGGTCCAGGAGGGCGGAGACCATGGTGGTGAGAGCCAAGAGTACCCCGCACAACCAGGTCTGCAGGATCTCTGGGGTTGCTTCAGACTGTTAACCTTCATTCTGTTGTCAGTGGTCTTGGTGGGGAACAAAGGAATGGACAAATGTGATCACTGAGTAGGTAGTGGGCAGATGGGCATCGAGGTTTAGGAAACTAATTAGTTTTCTGTCAACTTTGCTTCTTCATAAGGTGCTGATGTCAACTTTCTGTTTTAGTCACCCTACTCTACTTTTAGTAGTTTTGGACCGATAGTGAGACTATAAGCCAAGTTTAAATTTAGATCTTTTGAGTCTTGAACATGTTTACTTACTGAGATGCTGCCTCCTTAAGTCTCTTTTGACTGCATGACTTTTGTTTGTCTCTAGAAAGTGACCTTTAAGACTGGTCCTCGGCTGCAGTTTCTCTTCCACTCTGACAGCAGTAAAAACGAGTGGGGCTACAAATTCACTGTCACTGCCTTTGGCCTGCCTGATGTTGCCGTGTCTTGGGGACTGGACTTACAACTCCTTGTTACCCGGCTGATGGGACGCCTTGCTGCCCAGTGCATGGCGCTCAAATCTGTCCATCGTAAGTCCTCATACCTGTCCCTTCCTATCCCTACAGCCATATTTAAGAGCTTTCTGTAAGTTATCTTTACAATACTAAGGTACTGATAAAATTCCCTTTCAGTTTCTTTTAAACTAAACCAGAATAAAATGTCAGCTTGATACCATTTTCATAAAGTCTTGAGCCAGATTTTAGAATTCATCACATAGGATACTGTGGCTTCCCTCTGTCCAAGGACAAATAGGGAAGGGAGCTGGTTTTCAGCAGCTTTTTTTCACCATTTTTTGCATGTGAATTTTGGTATACTCTGACAAGAAGACAGAAATGTAGAATAAATTGATTTTATATCTTTTTTATGATTTAGCCAAATGTTTATGAGTATGTGAACTTGGATTTTGTCTTAAAATGATTTATTCAACTTAGTTGTTAAATTCATCCAAGAAGCAAGAATTATATAATTAAACTTTCTAGTTTATTTCTTATATAATTTCTTTTTTTTTCATCATGAAAGTAAAATATCAGAAAATTGCATGATGGAAAAATACAGGAGAAAAACCATCCTTAATCCTAACACCTAGATATAACTACTATTAATGTTTTGATTTATTTCCACCTAATCATTTTTTCTATGTCTGTTCATAAGCACATATATGGTAGGTATCTAACTATTTGTTAATAGTCATTAATTTACAAACTGAAAATTTTCACCTAAGTAAGCATTCCTAAGTGACCTCCTCTTACAACGTAGAGATGGTTTATAATCTACTTTCATATGGACCTTATAGATTAGTTATTTCAGAGGTAACTGATACTGAAGCTCTTCGGCAGAATGGCAGTGTTTCAGGACTCCTGTATGGTTTGGGTTCATCTGTGGTATGTGTTTATGTATCAGAGTTACATTCTGGTAGATGTGGGTGAATTCCTCCCAAGTTTTCATAGTGCCCAAGGTTTTTTATAACCTTGGATGGGGGGAGTGGGCATCATTTCAAAGGCTCTCACTGTATTAAGGGAAAAATAGAGCTCACATAAACCTTCTTCTCTTTCCAGAGTTAGGAAGTAACATGGCAGTACCGCAGGCAAAAATGGCTTTAGTCCTAAACTCCCCTTTATGGAAACCTGTCTTCAGGCATCAAATATGTCCAGAGTTGGAAATGGAAGCAAGCTGGCCCACTCACCCACACCAGGATAGTAAAGAGGTATTAAGTCTTCTATTGTTTTTCATTTGGAATGGAAAATGTTTTCTCATATTTTTTATATGAAATTATAAACAGTTGTGTTTATATCTTATCACGCCCACTCAGTTCTCAGCTACTGGAGGGCAAAAACTCTCCCTTGTTCATTTGGTATACCATAGGGGCTGGCATGTAACAGATGTTGAAAAATATTGAATGAATGACTCTTCAGTGCAATATAGTAGGTGCTCAGTAAATCTCTCCTAACGGAGTTATCAAACACATGAATTGAGTCTACTTCCAATTCCTGAGAAGTAAATGACTTATGCTATACTTTTTGTTCTCCATGGAACTGTAGCACATTATTTAGGCTTATAATATTTAAAAAAACTAAACAAGTTTGCCCACTATTTCTTTTTCATCTCTGTTTCGCTCTATCTCTACTTTACTACTTTTCCTCCCTTCTTCCCTCTCTCTCTCCTCTTCCCTTAGTAGTTAATTGCTATATCTAGGGACTCTTCCTCAGTTGCTGTTCTCCTCTACTTCTGTTAAATTTGGTTCCTTCACCCTCTCTTCTTTTGATTCCATGGTAGTCCACTCTCTTACATCTAACTGGTCCATCTGCTTCTGTTATTGACCTCTCTTATTCCCCCTTCTCTAAAGGGCAGGCTTTAGGTCCTCTTCCCTTTCTCCCAGCCCACCAAGACTTCACCCTCTCTCTCTTCTGCTGTCACATCTGTATGAATAATTCCTAAATACCAGTTTCCAGTCCTGGTTCTTCTCCCAGTTTCTAATCGTATACCTCCATATTCCTATTAGGTATCCCCATTTCAGTGTTCTGACTCCCTTTAACTCAAGTGTAAAACCAGAATGTCTCTCTTGACTGCTCACTCCTGTTATTGTCATTGTTGTTTTCTGAGGCATTGAGTCACTGCTTCCTGGCATTACCTTTGTCCTCCCGTTGTTCTCATCCTATCTATCAAGTCAGCAGCAAGCCTATGGCGTCTTCCTTGTGATGTTCATCTCTTTCCATTTCCTCTGTCTCCATCTTTATCCAGGCCCTCATTTTTCACATGTGTTGTAAAGCATTGGTACCTACCAAGTTGTTTTTTTTTTTTAATCACTGCATTATCTTGTCATTCCACTGCCAAGCACCATTAATGACTCCCCGTTGCCCACAGGGTGAAGTTTAAACTCCTCAGTGTGACAGTCAAGGCTCTCTACAGTCTCCTTTCACCTTACCTATCTGACTCTAGTTCCCACCACTCCCCAGCTGAGACTTCAGGCCAGGTCAGTCTCCCCACTGACTCTTAACTTCTACAAATGGTTTTGTTCCTCAGGGCCAAGCCTGCCCAATCTTTAGGGTCCAGTCCCAAGCCCATATCCTCCAGGAGGCTTTTCTTAATTATTTTAACCTGCCAGGAACTCTCTCCTGTGAATTCTCAGCTCTGGGTGTCCCTTCTAGGCATTTGGCACTTGGTAATCTTTTGCTTTATCGTAGTTCTACTTTTAATGTTTTATTGTGTTTACCTTTTTTTTTTAACCCACGTATCTGTTTGGTCTCCCCAAAATAGATTTAAACTTCCTGAGAGTATGCACCGTGTTTTATACTTCTGCTTTGGCCTAGTAGCTGCTCAGTAAACTTTATTTTCTGAATGAATGTGTTAAACATGTTGGTTTGTTGTTGTTCCCAGGTTAAGAACATCCCTGATGATCCCTGCCGCCATTTTCTTCTTGATTTTGCACAATCAGATCCTGCCCAGAACGTCAGTGGGCCATATTCAGAACTTTTCAAAGGATTCATACAGGCATGTAGAAAGCAGGCCCCAAAGACAGATATAGTTGCTGGTTCCACTATTGATCAAGCTGTGAACGCCACCTTTGCTGCTCTGGTGTATCGCACTCCAGACTTATATGAGAAGCTGCAAAAATATGGTAACTTATATTACAGGGAATATTTTTGATCTGAAGGCCAATTGCTAAGTTTTAAGAAAGTCTATCTTAAGTGAAAATTTTAAGATACTTTGAAACATAAACATATTTCTACAACTGTAGGCTTCATCTTGTTAGTCCTATCTTGCCAGTCAGAAGATTGATGACTGATTTATAGTTAGCAGATAGTGGTATATGGCAAGTAGCCTTAAGTTTACTAATAAGCAGGTAATTTGTCTCTATCCAAATTTCTTAGGGAAAACTGCCAAAAAGTTTATTGGAAGAAACCTTACCTTGGGTTATAGTCCCAAGTCAGTAGCACGATGTTGTGCAGCTTCAGGTTAATCAGACAACTTTTCCACATCTTAGTTTCCTTATCTGTAAAGTCTAACATTCTAAGAAATTCCAGTGAAAACCACAGATGTTTAGGTAATTGGATGTGCTGATAATCAAGGAGGAAAATGTAGGTATTAACTCCTGTCTCTAAACTTGCAGCTTCTGTATAGCATCATCCCTGCTCAGCTTTCTTTGTCAACAGCCTGCTCCTCACCATTTCTTTCCTCAGGGCCCCCAGGGAAACCATCTCTGTGTGTTTACTCTGTGTGAGGCCTGAAGCCCAACAGAACCCACAGGAGGGAGAGTTTCTCTCCATTGATAATATCTCAGGGCCAAAACATTTCAAACCCTACATAAAGATGAGGGGTGGGTTTTCTCAGGCACTTCGCAGGGTAGGTGTTCTTTTCATGGTGATCATGAGCAAATGGCTTCCTTTCATTACAGTTGATAATTGACTGTCACTCCTGTTGTTATTGATGTTATTATCACTACTGCCTTTATTGCTGAGTCCTTTAGATCTCATATTGCGGAGTTTATTTTCTGGTTTCTAAAACGTCTTGATTCCTTCAAATCTTAATATCTCTGTTAAGAAGCTGCTCAAATAAATAAAACATTATTTTAGGAAAGAATGATTTATGAAAAAAACTGTCATATGCAATAGTGTATCTTTTATAGTTATGGGGACAAGGTGACATGTATGGCTTTGGGGGAAAAAGTAAATATTTTGTAATCAAATTATAGTAAGAGGATTAGGCAGCCTTTGTTACATGTGGGGACTTGCAATAGAGGGATAAGTCATGTGATTTAAAAGCTGAGAAATGGATGGTTCCCTGGGAGTGAAGAGTTTCTCCATATCCTTTCCAAGTTATGTTCAGATATCATCCATAATTTGCAGTAGAAAAACACACAAACTAAAACTAGAAATATGTCCTCGAATGCACATTGTATCTAGATCACCAGCCATTGTTGCTTTGAAGAAGGTGTAGTTTGTCTCAGTTCTATCTGTCCCTGTCTTTAAATAGATTGTTCATGGATTCTTCAAGACTGAGCCACTTTGAGAGTGATCTTTGTCTGAATAATCTGCTCATCTTTGTCTAAAATTGGTCACCCTTTTGGGTTAGAAATGTTTTTCAATGAGGCTAGTTTGAAGGAGCAATGTGTAAATTTAAGACTATGAGCTGCTTGAGGGCACAGGCCTTGTCTGTTTTTCTCAGCATTGTATTCCTATTGTGTAGTATATAGAGCCTGGCACATTCTAGCTGGTCAGGAAGTATTTATGGTATTTATTATTGGTTCAGCAGAAAGCTTCACACTGTTCTAGTATATTATCCTTTGTCTTTTTTTAGATGAAGAGAAAGGCCAGGCCTCATAGGTCTTTCTTTAAAAAAAAAAAAAACAAAACCAAAAAATCAACTTTTTTGTTATTTTTCTAATTTAAAAAAATTACTCATTGTTTTAGACATGTAGAAACTTGAAAAGTACAGAAAACCTTAAAATAATTATCAACTACTGTCTCACCACTTAGAGAACACCTCTATTTATGTTTTTCTATGTATCTACCTAGCCTTTTACCTAGGTAAATTTATATCTCCATCACACATAGATAGATATCTCCTTCATGGTTTTAATATATATACTCCTGTTAAAAATAAGGTAATTTTGTTTATACTGTTTCATAACCTGCCTTTTTTACTTACTATATGCCTTGAACTTTTTTCCATATCAGTAATTATTTTTCACTCACTTTTAATACTTTTAATATTTTACTCTCTTTAATAGTATATTGATTTCAAAAATTGTTAGTTTGAAAAAAAGATTAGTTTGACATATTACATAGAATCCATTGTAGGTGTTTGTGGCTATTGGTATTTTTCCCAGGCTTCTTTTACCACACACAATGTATGAGTGTCAGGGAAGGACTTTTTTTGTGTGTGCTTTTAAGAGATGTAGAAGCTACTTAGTACTTAGTGTTGCAGTAGCGAATTGTGTTAACTGTATGTAATCTGTTCATATTTCTTTTCCCCAGTATACAGTGGGGGCAAGACAGCCTTGAGTGAGGAGTTTGCACAGGTGTATTCCTTGGCAGATGGAATTCGAATATGGATGGTAAGATTTTCCTTTGCATGTGATTTTTGCGTATTTTGAGTTTTTCCACCATTATATCATGGAATTAAGGTAAGTACCCTTTTTCCAAGATTGTAACTATGAATTTTTTTAAACTAAAGTTTAGGGACATGAATAGGTATGAAATAATTTAAAACTTTTGAAATCATAATTTGGTGATTGTTGAGAATGTTCAGTGTAGGAAGGGTTCAATTCAGCCTCCCATGTATCCTTCAGTATCCCCAAAAACCACTCTGTGGACTCTCTTAGACTGGGAGGAAAAGCATTGCTTTATATCCTGTGCAGCCATTGATGGTTTTAATCAGGGGAGAGGTCTAACTTTAGAAAAGTAGTTTTGCAGGCCTCCCCTGGTGGCGCAGTGGTTGAGCACTGGGCTGTGAAGCTGCCTGCAACCTCTGCAGCACCGGTTCAATCCCCAGCCACCAGCGAGGGTCCCACATGGCGCGCAGACCTCTCCTGCTGCGCCTGCTGCTCCCCTCAGCAGTGTATTTCGTCAGTCTGCCTCTTCTGTTCCCTGCTCTGGCTCTGGTGAATTCTCTCATCCTCCCGCACTTCTGACTATACCCAGTGCTTGTATAATTAAATAAATCTTTAAAAAAAAAAAAAGTGGTTTTGCAGCACTGTTTGTGACAGCAGTGCACTAGAAGAACTGTATGTCCATCAGTAGGAGAAAGAACAAAAAGATTGTTATATTGCTATGGATATTGCAGTGTAGTATAAGTATCATTCTATTTTACAATGAAAATGAATGAAACAGTGTGTGTATGGGGAAGATGGTTCTCACAAAGGTGATTAGCAGGGAAAAAAAGCAAGTTACAGAAGAATGAGTGATGTATATGATGCTCATACAAAGTTTAAACATGAGCCAAATATTTGTTACATACATAAACATGTAGTGAAATTACACAAATGTGGAAGTGATAAATGCCAAATTCAGGAGAATTATTTTTGTTTCTTAGACATGAAGATGAATACTTACATATTAGTATTATTTTTATGTATTCACATGCATCTTAAATATCATATAATAATTGAGAAAAGAATCTTTAACTGAGAGGAAAAGGAGATTGAAAGCAGGAAATGAATTGTGGTCATTCGATGAGGGTGGCTTTTGCTACCTAGGAGACAAAACATTTAGACTTTATGGTTGATTTGAGTGTAACTAGGAGGGTGGAGCTCAGACCTGCTGTCATGTTTTTGGTTGGGTGACTTGCTGGGTCATACAAGCACTGACCAGGACAGGGAAAAATGGTTTTGGATCTGGGAGCAGGAAGTAAGTTCAGTTTGGGACATATTGAGTGTGAGGACATCTGGGTTATCTGAGACAATTAGCTGGGGAGATTTTAGTACATGTAAAAGAATCTAAATGGCTGATAGTTCCTGGAAATGTCAAGGCAGAGATGAGGATCACTTCAAATCACTGGTAATGGTGTTTCTAAAATGTCTGAATTTGTCCAGGAACTGATAGTCATGGACAGAATCCACAATGATTAGAGTACAGTTAGTGCCCAGTATACCTTGGGTAGATAGATGGGAACCAAAATAGATAAGATCTCTCAAAAGAAACTGATAGACATCAGTATCAGAATGGTAGAAGGAGAATCAGAAAAGTATTGACTGAGAAACCAAGGCAGTTGCAGCAGTTTAAGAAAAAGTATATCTAATAAAGTCAGCTGCCACAGACAGTTAAGTGAAAAGGCAAGATATCTCAGTAAGATATTGTCATTGCCTGGACAAAGGCACCATTCTTTGCCTGGCAGGCTCAGTGTCCCTCTCAGGGTAGAAAAAAAATCAAATTCTGGTCCAGTTTGTGGAGCAAATAGGTGTGTGACCCTAACAAAACCCTTTCTTTTTCTTTTTTTTTCAGATTTATTTATTTATGCATACAAGAGCCGTGGTGTAGGCCAGAGGTGTGAGGGGCGGGGGTAGGGGTGGTGAGAGAATTCAACAGAGACAGAGTGGGGAGCAGAACAGGCAGATCTACTGAAATACACTGCTGAGGGGAGCAGCAGATGAGACAGGAGAGGTCTGCTGCGCCATGTGGGTCTCCTCCCTGTTTGTCTGGGGAATCAAACTCGTGCTACAGTGGCTGGCAACAGCTTGATAGCGCTGTCTTTAACTCCTGTGCCACCAGGGAGGCCCCAAAACCCTTTATTTTTCTAGAGTTCAGCTTCTTTATCTGTGTGTCACCTTTAGATAAGAACCCCTCCAGTATCAATATTCAAGAATCTTTTAAACAATTAGTTCATGGGTACAGACTCCTCCCAAATAACACACAGTTGAAAAGAAAGCTAGTTTTTCACAGCTTCAAAGCCTGGATTGTGCCTAAGACAAAAAAAAGCAGCTCAGTCCTGTGTCCTCACTAGCTGGGCAATAACTATAATGTAATGGTCTCCATGATCTCAGCGCTGTGTGCTTTGGAAGTAGTTTGCTATGGCTGTTCTTGCTGCACTGTATGGACAATATAATATGTGGTTCAAATCCTCCCCCCAGCTAGAGATGAAGCAGAAGTCCCTGGTGAGCCTGGGGAATGAGGCAGAAGAAAAACACGTGTCGGAAGCATCAGAGGCGAACCCTGAGATCCTGGGTGAGTGTGCCGACTTCAGCTGTCATTCCTGGGCCTTTTGTGTCATTTCATAGAAAACGTCTTCTAGATTATTTTAGTTAAAACTGTACTGCTCTATGAAATGTAACAAAGGCAACAAATGTAGTTTTTAACTATCTATCACAAAGAGAAAAAATTCCAGAGAGGAATAATTGTTCATTGACTTCATCCGGATGGGACATCTTTCTAATTCTCTTAGGAGGCCATCAGGTGATTTTTGAGCTGTCTTTGTTTTTAAAGTGTGCTCATTGAATATTCAACGAAATTAAGGAAATTACTGTTAATTTTTAAATGCTATCATGGTTATATTATTTTTAAAACTTTTTTTTTTTAGAGAAATATGCTGAAGTTTTAACTGATGAAATAACATGTTTCCTGGGATCTGCATGTAGATAATCTAGGGGATGGTTGGGGATGAAACAAGATGGCCTTGGTTTGATAACTCGAAGCTGAGTGAGGACTGTATGTTTGAAAATCACCCCAGTTAAACCTTTTTTATTTTATTTTGCTTTATATATTTTTTACATCATTTTTCATTTTTGCACAATGTGTGCATTTTCATCTTATTTATGTTCCCCATACAATTCCCACCCCCCCTTATTTTGACCCAAATCCCTCCTCCTCTACCCCCACCCCTTAGTGTGTCTCTGGTTTATAGTTGCTTGTCCATTTTGATTTTTACTTGATTATAATTAGTCTTTTTCCTGGTCCCTTATTTTGGTTTTCTAAATTCCTGCTATGAGTGAGACCATATGGGATTTTTCTTTTTCTTTCAGTGAAATCACTGAGCAATTCCACTCCTAGGTATTTACCCAAAGGACACAGAATCATTAATTTAAAAGGGCATCTGCACCCCTATGTTTATAGGAGCACTATTTACAATAGCTAAGCTATGGAAACAATGCAAATGCCCAAAAATAGATGACTGGATCAAGAAGATGATGTGGTACATATACACAATGGAATATTACTCAGCAATCAAAAAAGATAAACTCATGCAATTTGCAGCAGCATGGATGGAGCTGGAAGGGATCATGCTAGCAGTTAAACCTTTTTTAAAGTGTGCTGACTATGCTGAAGAAATCTTGGTTTATGGATTGAAATAAAATTTGATTCTGTGGTATATGTGTATATCACTATATTAGTAGAACTATTTCTCGTCCTAAGTTGTAAATGTAAGTAAATTATTTTCCTCTCTGAAAGTAGGCATTAAAGTGTAATTTTGACATTTTCCCCATTATCTTTCTTGCTTTTTCAATTTAGCAAAAGAATGTATTCAGAAAAGTCTTCTATTACTAAAATTTTTGCCGAAAAAAAGTATAAGTTCAAAAGAAAGCTGTGAGAAGTCATTGACTACAGATGAAACTGATCACCTGCAGCCACTTGACAAACGCCAGAGGACAAGCTCTGTGGTGGAAGAGCATTTCCAAGCCTCAGGATCTCCCACAGAAGCAGATCCCTCTGGAAACAGGAGTCCTGGCTTGGATGTCCAGCAAAATCTGCCACCCAGCCTTAGCCCTCCTGCCACGGAAGTGTCCTCTGCCACCACTGAAGAGCCCTCGTCACCTTCTACACCCACTCGGCGGCCTCCCTTCAGCCGAGGGCGACTCAGGCTTCTCTCCTTCCGATCCATGGAGGAAGCCAGACCAGTGCCCACAGTAAAAGAGAAATACCCAGTGCTAAAGGATGTGATGGAATTCATTAAAGATCAGTCACTCTTGCATGAGAGGTGAGCCTAACAGGCATTACTTTCCTAGTATTTCCTTTTTTCAGACTTTAGGTAGACAGTCTGTTCAAAGACGAAGTTCATATAAAAATGAGCAACAGTACATGAAGGATAATCAAGACTTATTTGAGAATGTCTAAAGAAAAAAAATCTGTGATTTAAAAGAAAATATTTAAATTTAATATTTGTACATTATATTATGTAAATTATGTCACTATAATGTACTTTTTTTTTAAAGCAAAGATTTATTTATTTATGCGTGTAAGAGCTGGGGTACAAGCCAGAGATGTGGGGGGGGTGGTGAGAGGATTCACCAGAGACAGAGTGGTGAACAGAACAGGCAGACTGATGGAAATACACTGCTGAGGGGAGCAGTGGGCGAGACAGGAGAGTTCTGCCTTGCCATGTGGGTTTCTCTCTGGCCGGCCTGGGATCGAACTTGTGCTACAGAGGCTGTGGATTGCTTCATAGTGTGGTGCTCAACCCCTTGAGCCATGAGGGAGGCCCTATAATGTACTTTTAAGATTTAAAAAAAAAGAAAAATTTCCGTTGGTAGATACCCCTTAATAATTTGTCTTATTTTAACCCTGGGAGAAATTTAGTATTTGATGTTTTCTGACAAAATTATTTGTCAATGGGCCTACATATATGGAGGTATTGTCCTAAGAATTAAGATTTTGTCTCTATAAGGAGGTAAAGATATAAGAATACCTTTTTTTTTTTTAGATTTATTTTATTTATGCATACAAGAGCTGAGGTATAGACCAGAGGTGTGGGGTGGAGTGGGGTGGGGAGGCGTGTGTCACCTCCCTGGCTGGGGATCGAACTTGTGCTGCAGTGGCTGTGATAGCTTCATAGTGCTGAGACTTAACCCTTTGCGCCACCAGGGAGGCCCAGAATTCCTTTTTAATTAATTAATTTTTAATATTGGTTAGTGGGCTTCTGAGTATGTGGTGTGGACTGATTGGTAATACTGCTGATCAATGACTGAAAGTTACTACTTTCAGGACAGGCACTGCTGTCCTTTCCGAATGATATTTTGAATACCTCACAACAATATATATCATTTTTATATTACATGGCATCAGAACTTGGGTGGAGGGTATATTTTTTTTTTTGTCTCAGAGCTCAAGAGTTTTCTGGGTGTTCCTGACTTGAGTTGTGTCTCCAGTGTTATAAAGGTCCTTTCCCTGAAGAAAGCCCAAGCCCAGAGCATCCTTGAAGCCCTGAGAATAATTCAGTATTGTTCAGAATCCCTTGGACAGCCTCACTGCTTCCACCCGTCTTATATACTTTTCCTGCTGGAACTTCTGACCTGCCAGAAAGAGTTTACTAAGTAAGTACAGATTACAAATCTGCAAGGAAGACAGAAAGAGATTGTTGAAAGAAATCTAATGGTCTCTAATCAATACCTCCCTCATTTCCCTGTGAGATACAAATTTACATTTCTGGTTAATTCATTCTTTTATCCAAAGGAAAAATGGGTTCTGTTCTTTCAGTAAGTACCAAGAACATATGGTTTATTCTTTCTGATGAACTTACCAACTCTGTTATACCAGACAATGAGAATTATATTCTACATAACACAGTTATCATTTGGTTTCTGGATGCTGTGAGCTAAATTTAACGTTCATTTACAATAATGTTGTTAATGTAAGTACCTCACGGTTGTTCTAACAGCCACTCAATAAATATTTTTCAAATGTTGACAATGTCAGACATTATTCTAGGTGTTGTGTACATAGCAGACAAGGCAGACAGGATCTGCGATCTGTTGGAGTTTTATTCTTTTGCGGACAGACAATAAAAAATAAATTAAAAATATCAGACAGTGATATTGCTATGTGATGATTTCATACAGAGTGACCTATTTTGGGTGGTCAGTCAAGAAAGGCTGAGGAGATGACAGGTAAAAGAAGAGCTAAGATCACAGGGAAGAGTACTGAAGGTAGAAGGAACAGCACGAAGGTCCTTGGATGGAGGATTAACCCAAAGAAGTGTGTCTGAGTAAGAGGGGGTGCAGGAAGAGGTAAAGTCAGAAAATAGGGCAGGACCCGTATCATATAGAACTTGGCAGCATATGATTTACATTTATAGATGATCACTGACTGCTCTGTGAAAGAGTAGAAACAAGAAAAGCAGTTAGGAGGCTGTTGGAGTAATCTAGGCAGAGATGGTGGGGACCAGAGAATAAAGAGCATTAGAGATGAAAAGAAAAGGATGAGATTCAGGATATATTTTGGAGGCAGAATTGTCAGCATTGATAGATCAGGTGTAGCGGATAAATGAAAGAAAGGAATAGTCATACTAGACATGGGGTCAAAAGCTTGATTCAGCTGAATTGAGAAGAGAATGGTATGTGTGGGGGAGGTGGGTGATAATAAAATGTAGAGAAAGACTATAATTACTTCAAGAAATTTGGCCTTGCGGGGAGCAGAGAAATAGGGCAGTAATTGGAATGGGATGTGGGATCCTGAGGGTTTTTAAGAGCTACTGAGCGTGTTTGTCTGCCAGTAGCAAGAGTCAATGATGAGGAAAACTTGATGTAGGAAGAGAGGGAACAATTGTAGCAGCAGGAGAGTTGGGCCTTTGAAAAAAATCAGGGTGATGAAATAGAGTGACAGAGCGGGTTTTTAGGGCAGTGAAACTACTTTGTATGATATCATGATGATGGATTAAAAAAGCCAAAACACAATCAGGGAGACTATCTATAGTAGCAGGAGGAGACACAGGTGAGTAGAGATACAAGTTGGATGGTAGATGAGATAGGGCAAAGATAAGGATTCTGTGTGGTCATTTCTACGTCTTAAAAATAAAACATGAGGATTGCTATTAACTAAAAATGAAGGTTTAGGAAGGGGTAGTGAGCAGTTTCAGGAGAGGCAGGAAGGCTTAAAATGGTGAAGTGGTGAAAATTGAGAAAGCCAGTCTGGTAACTTGCCTGACAATTTTGCATGCCTATTTGAGAATTATGATTTTGGATTTAAAGTAATGCTAGTCAAGTTGGTTGTATGGTATTTCCTCCAGCAATACTCAGCTATTTTGATATAGATATAAGATTTCTCAAGCAAGTTCATGGAGGAAGATGGTGGCAAGGGAATTGGTGCTTGCTAAGGTATGATTATGGTGATGGGCCCTGGAGCCTGAGCTGAGCATGGAGCAAAGAGAAAGCACGGTGGGAGTACTAGACAGTGAACACGAGGCAGTGACAAGAGTTGGGACTCATTGAGATGGAAAAGGCTGTTGCGGGAGTCCTAGAGGAGGTGAGATGGGTGAGAGGTCATGGTCAGAGTAAGATGCTCTGAAGTCAGGATTTCAGTGGTACTGCCTGTGACAATTACAATAAATGAAAGAAAGGAATATTCATACTCAACATGGGGTCATTACAATGTGACAATCAGACTGAGATGGCTAAGGGGATAGAGAAGAAAATCATGAATGGTACAGATGGCAGAGGGCATTCAGGGACAGAAGAACTGGGTGGGGTCTCATTTCTATGGATCTTGAAATCTCCAAAGCAACAAGGATAAAGGTAGAAAAGACAGTGACCTTGGTATTAAAGTCTTCAATGGAGGGGGTTAGAGGGTTGAGAGGACATGCCTGTGTGAGAAGATTAAAAGAGGTAATTTGTGAAAAATAACTTAACAAAATGTCTGGCACTCAAATAGTGGTGAGAGGGGCTGTTCTTACACTAACAAAGAAAGATAAATGTCATCTCTGTACTCTTGATAGACAACCCACTTGACCCAGGCAGATGGATTCACTGCTATTTTGTTTGTTACTTTCTGACATTATTATATTTGTATTTACATAAGTTCCTTTGTCACTTCATGCAGCTTGCTTCTTTATCAGGTAAGGAATGGTGATTGTTAAGTGAATGATGTTCTGGCATTGAGTTGGTGATTTTCTGTTTCTAGTTATTTTGGACACTTGGAAGGCTGTGGTGCAGAGCTACACAAGGAAATTCGAGATACTTACTATCAACTGGTTCTGTTTTTGGTCAAAGCAATCAAAGGATTTAGTAGCATAAATGACAGGTACTGAATAACTGTGATTCCTAGAAAAAAATTTGTTTATTCTCATTATAAAAGAAATACATGCTTAACAATACAAGTATAGAAAAGTACAAAGAATAAAATAAAAATAATCTCTCATCTACCATTTAGAACTAATTGCTAATGTTAACTTATTAATATAATTTTCCCCAGCCCTTTTTCTATAGGGTATGTACATTTTTGTAAAGGGGCTGGGTAATAGTTTATCTAAGATTTGTGAACTTCCGTTTTTGAATTATTATGTGCAGTTTTAAAACTTGAGTATAAAACTATTCCCCATTTGCTTCTTTAGTAAGTGGTTTAGACATAAACCTTAAATCAAAAGGTCTTCCTGTAAGTCTTAAATGGCATGACCTTCACTAATTGGATATAGCTGTTTACCAGGAGGTGATTTTTGCTCCAGGAAACCTTACTTCATGCTTTTAGGATTATTTTGCTTAAGCTGTCCCTTGAAGAGGGTCTGTCTGGAGTATGAGATTTTTTTTTTTTTTTAATAGAGGCATGTTTTATTTATTTATTTATTTTATTTGTTTGTTTATACATGCACTGGGTACAGTCAGAAGCGCGGGAGGGTGAGAGAATTCACCAGAGCCAGAGCAGGGAGCAGAGCAGGCAGAAGGACTGAAGCACACTGCTGAGGGGAGCAGCGGGCGGCAGGAGAGGTCTGCGCGCCATGTGGGGCCCTCCTCTGGTGGCCGGGGAGCAGCCGGGGATCGAACCGGCACCGCAGAGGCCGCGGGCAGCTTCGCAACCCAGCGCTCAACCGCTGCGCACCGGGGAGGCCCATGGAGTATGAGATTTAAAAGGAGATAGCAGCGAGCCCAAACCAGCAGTCTAGAGTTCCCTTTTGCTTTCCACTTGTTTTTGTTGTCTCCCTTGGTGATGGGCAGGTTTGATAACTTCTGCCTCTTTAGGTCCTTGCTGCCTGCTCTGTCCTGTGTTCAGACTGCTGTGCTACATCTTTTGGACATGGGCTGGGAACCCAGTGATCTCACCTTCTTTGTTGACATTCAGTTACCAGAACTCCTCATGAAAATGTCACAGGAGAATATAAGTGTCTATGACAGTGTGATCAGGTAAGAATACAATCCTGATTTCTGTACTTCCTAAAGTCCACTAAAAGATACAGAGGTATACTCACCACCTCCCCCCATTCTGGCCTATACCCCAGATCTTGTATACTTAAATAAAAAATAAATCTTAAAAAAAAAAAGATACAGAGATACAGCTTGTGGGGTCAGGGCATGGGTTCTGGAGCTGGCCTCTCAGTGTAATAGCCTGACTTTGCCACATACTAACTAGATGCCTCAGGCAAGTTATTTAATCCCTCTGTGTCTCTGTTTCCTCATTTTTAGAGCTGGAGATAGTAATGGTACCTACCTCAAAAGATTCTTGTAAAGAATAGATGAGTTCTATATTGAAATTGCTACCATGTCTGGTGTGTGGTGATGGTGATTTTGTAAACTTGAAGGATGAGGATCCTTTGTATTTTTGGATATACTAGTGTAGTTTGTTGAATTGGAGAATCTTTTTCTGTTTTTGTTACATGTATGTGTGATTTTGGCCTTTAGGCCAAAATAACCTCTTATACATTATAAGAACTTAAGGTATAAGAAAAAAAAAACTATGCAGGTTTTTTTTTTTAGTGTCTCCTTCCTGTGCGATTCAACTGGCCCATTACCCACCCATGGATGTAGCAAAGAAAGGAAAAGAGAATGGGAAAAGAAAAGTACAAGTTAAGAGAAGACAATTAGGAAATAAGTGAATCAACTCCAGAAGAAATATTCTGGAGAAAGAGATAGAATTAAAGTTGTCTACTTATTTACTAACCCATAGCCATTGCCCTGCTGGCAGAGGACTCTGGGCAGAGCAGAGCCACAGCAGGGGATAAGGGGTGGGGGCTTCAGTGTGCTGGTTCTGCAGTTATGATTCTGCTTGCTGTTTTAAGCTTTGCCTGCACGTGCAGGCATCCTTGGGGATGGGGCCTCACCCTTCATTACCAGGCGCTCATGGCACCCAACTCAGAACTGAGTATGAATAGGCCTAAAATCAGTTTATTGGAGTGTATGAATGAATGTGTATTTGTTGGTTGGTAAAGATTTGTATTTGCTGGTGAGCAAATCCTTTTCTGTTTGTAATTCTGCTTGCTAAAACAAGCTGTACTTTGAAATAATGGGAATTTATCATTTTGTATATTAAAGGAGCCCAGGAAATTATCTACCTAAAACCCTTTATTTGAAATGCAGAAATGGAGGACCAGGGCAGAGCACTGTGTCGAGGTCTTAATAGCATCTAATAAGAGTCAAAGCCACAGGGTTTCCTGACTCCCTTCTCATACTGATTCCACTAGGGTGTACTGAGCATTTCCAATTCTGACTTCTAAAAAAACCATTTTATTTGGCCCTGGTGCTGGCACACAGTAGGTTCACCACCAGTGGTTGTCAAGTGGAATTATGCTGTGGTACAACCTTTCAAGCTGTATTCTTCACCCAGCATGGTTTGCTATTTTCAATGGACTGTTCTCTTTTTATTGACATGTATCTATCAAGCATCTGGCAAATCTTGGTATTTTAAAAACAAAAGTGACCTCTTCCACTCAGTTTAAATATGCCCCATGAACACAGTCTGCTAACCACTGCTTTCTTTGATTATTTGTAGAGGCATACTTTTTTCTCCCTTTATGTCCTTTCAGCCAATGGAGTGAAGAAGATGAGCTTGCTGATGCCAAGCAGAATTCAGAATGGATGGATGAGTGTCAGGATGGCATGTTTGAGGACTGGTATGAAAAAATAGCCCAGGAAGATCCAGAGAAGCAGAGGAAAGTAAGACCTCTCAACTAGCATAATCTGAAGTGATTTGTTAGGAGTTTGGGGCTAGCTCTCTCTTCCAAGAGGGCTGTCACTGAGTCTAGTCCTTAACCCAAGGGATCCTGAGTCCTGACTTGACCTCACTCAGAGTGTGGCTCCCTCTTATAGAACTAGACTCACAAAAAAGAACTCGTGAGGTTGAAGTATATCATTAGATGTTAATTTATTAACCTGCAATGAGAAATAGAATTGCTGAAGGCTCTGGTTGCAAGTGTCCCACTGTAGGAAAACAGATTTCAGTTAGAAGGTTGCCTGGCGAGCATGGAGGCAGCCATATATACACGGAATCAGTCACCTGACTCAAATGTGTAAAGGCAAGGCTCAGATAGCTGGCCATGCCCATCTCCACATTAGTATTTATCTGTCACCACGTTGTGCCAGGCATCTGCTTCTTAAGAGTCATTAATTTTCTTAACATTTCATGCTGACTATGTGCCAATTACTTTGCTCATACAGCACTTTATGGGACTTGGATGGAGCACACCAACTCGGCCTTTGCAGATTTTTCTTTCTTGTATGTTAATATCTTACTGGGAACCATTCTTTAGTGGTAGGGTGACTTGGCACATTTGTACTCATCTACTGCTTTGTGACTTAGTGATTTATTCCCTTATTTCCAGACATAAAGACAAATTGTACTGTAGTCTTCATGTACTACATGAAGTAATACAACTTATTCTCATGAAATAATGCCTTTTCTATCTTCCCAGAAAGCTTTTCTTTCAAAGTACCAGGAAACAATGCTCCTTCTGCAGTGTTTCCTGGGTCTGTAAACACCACCTCTTCTGTGTTCTCTAAGCCTCCTGAATTTGCTAGTTAAAGCCCATGTCATCATACTATATGGTGTCAACTGTTTGAAGGAATTCCTGACTCAGCTTCTTCATCTTCTCACCCTAGTATCTAGTACAATGCCTAGAATATCTCAAGTACCTATTAAAGAATGGACTAATTAATGAATAGTAGCTACACAAGAAAGTCTGTTGGTTAATTGTGTCTGTCTCACCTTACAGATGCACATGTTTATTGCTCGCTACTGTAACCAGTTAAATGTGGACATCTCTTGTGATGGATGTGATGAGATTGCCCCTTGGCATCGCTACCGGTGCCTGCAGTGCAGTGACATGGATCTCTGCAGAACTTGCTTCCTAGGTAAATTTCATGGTCTAGTATGCCATACCTAAAAATCCTTTTTATTTTCTGTGCTTTGTCCCTTCTTAAATTCGTATTTTACTAAATGGAAATGCCCAGTGGTATTCTCTGACCTGATAGCAAATATGAACCTTATTGCCCCAACTAAATAACAGAGCTCTGTTTATGACATGATGCCATCTTCTGTTGTGCTGGCTCTAGGTGCTTGATAAACACTCAGAATCATGAATGTATATTCAGTTGAATTTTCAGGAAATTGTTTTTCCCTCTGAATATGGTGTTTACAAGTAGTAAAATACACATATACATACAAAACGAATTTCAGAAATACTTGAATACTCTTGACTTGTAGATGCTGAAGTGAAACAGATCCACAGTAGTGACAGTTGATTGTTCTCTGAGTACATGGTGCAATCATAAAAGATAAAACCCCCTGAAGTATTTATAGTCTAACAGGAGACTGGATGTACCCACAAAATGTGTATTCCAGTATGAGAATCTACACGCTTAGGTGACTGGTACAGATTAGTCTGAAAAAATTAAGAAACATTACCAGTTGCTGTTGCAGAAAAGACTTGTGGAAGAGGTGGGATATGAATTGGTCTTTGGAGAAAGTTAGAAGTGAGTAATACAAAGGAAATAGTAGAGAATACATCACCATCCAGGGAATATATCAAGTCCAGGGACAGAGGAGTGAGGAACAGATGCTCTAGTGTCTGCCTGCTGTGATGGACTGAGGGAGGCAGGACCCAGAAGAATTTGACCTTGTAGACAGAGGAGAAGGCTTTCCAAGCATGGTATCAACATGGTCAGATACTGAGGAAAAATGATTCTGCCTGTATAAGAGTTTCCTCCAGGACATCAGTCACAGTTGTGACAGAGGGAGCAGTACCTGCACTATTTTAGTGGGAGTGGGAATAGAAATAGGTCAGACATGAAGAGAGGTTAGTAGGGTCTCTGACAGGCCTCAGAGCCCCTGGGTTTAGCATGAGAAGGAGCACTCAGTCTTTTGTGTGTCTAACATTCTTTCTGGGGTTATGAAGTCAGTTTTTATCTGTAGCATGAGAAAGTAAGCAAAAACCTAGTCACTCCTCAATGACAGCAATACCCAAATGAGTGCTTAACATTTGTCAGAGGAGGTCGTGGGAGACAGCCTGCAAATTTGCATGCAGACTTGTTTCTGCAGATAGTGGTCATGATGGGAATTGGTTATCTGTTTGATCACATTGGAAAAGGAAGATCAGTCCATGGTACCATTGCTAGGAAGTTGTGTGCTAAGATTATCTTCATATGCCCAGAGCTATCAGGGTAGAAGGACCTGGTCTCTAGAAGATGATGGTCCTGAGCAATTAATTGGGAATAGACTTGGTGCTGGCATAAGTTTGGGTTTGGAAACTAATCAAGAGCCCTTTGTCCAATCCACCTCACACTGCTATTTTCTCCCCTAGGTGGGGTAAAGCCTGAGGGCCACGAGAATGACCATGAGCTGGTGAACATGGAGTTTACCTGTGGTCACTGCAAGGGTTTCATCATAGGTCGGAGGATAAATTGCAATGTGTGTGAGGACTTTGATCTCTGCTATGGATGCTATGCAGCAAAGAAGTATTCCTTTGAGTATGTCTCAGACCTCAATTCCTAGAGCCTTTTCTCCGTGTATTCCTTTCCTTTCAAAGGGGTCTTCTTACTTTAAAAAAAGTTTTTATTAAAACAATTTTAAACATTCCCACAAGTAAAGAAATTAGTACAGTGAATTCCCCTATACCTGTTAGTCACATTCTATAATTAGGAAAGTTTTAATTTTTTCCTTTTCTTTTTTCATTTGTTAAAGTATTTTAAATCATTTTCTACTTAAATACCTCATATTTATCTCTAAAAATTATAGGCATTTTCTCACATTATCAAAATGCTGTTACACATCCTGCAAAATTTCACAATAAGAAATTTTACTAAGCCCAGTTTTCATAGAGCATCTTCTGGGGGTTGGGAAGTCCGGAAATGGTATGTACAGGGTTTGTTTAATTTTCTGGCGAGATGGCCCATACCTATGTAAATTTTCAATTACCACGGCCTTAGAGGTAATGAATGCTAAGTCGTGAGCATACAGATGCTCCTTTTTGGAACCTTGCTAAGGCTTGTAGCCCTTAAAAATGCCTTGCTTTTTGCAGGCATTTGCCTACTCACAGCATGACGGCCCATCCGATGGTGACCATTCACCTCAGTGACCAGCAGATCCTCATCCAGCCCTACATCCATAACTATGCCTGGCTGCTCTTTGCTGCCCTGGCTCTCTACAGTGCCCACCTGGCCAGCTCAGAGGAAGTGGATGGTGAGAAGCTGGATCCCCAGGCCCGTAGCAGTGCCGCCGCCCTTCGGAGCCAGTGTATGCAGCTTGCTGGGGACTGTCTGATGAAGGCTCACCAGGGAAAAGGTAATTTGCCCTCAGGTACAGAAACCAAACCATTGGTCAGCTGCTTGTGAAGGAAAAACTCCCACAGAAGCAGAGTACTGTGCTCAGCTTACAGGCCTCTTTCATTTTAAGTTCACAATACATCAAAAAAAAAAAAAAAAAAAAAAAGTTGGCACTAAAATAGCACTTAGTTTTCTCTAAAATATTTGCAAGGAGTTGCAAATAAAATCTTTAAAACTCTTGATGTCTGTGGATAGAGTATTTAGTATTTGAATCTACCAGACTTAATTTTGCTGGAGGAATCCAACCCTTTTTAAAAGCTAATATACAGGGCCTCCCTGGTGGCGCAAGGGGTTAAGCACCACACTGTGAAGCAAGCCACAGCCTCTGCAGCAGGAGTTCGATCCCCCACCGGCCAGGGAGCAACCCTTGTGGTGCAGCAAACCTCTCCTGACTCAACCGATGCTCCTCTCAGCAGTGTATTTCAGTCAATCTGCCTGTTCTGTTACCCACTCTGTCTCTGGTGAATCCTCTCACCCCCTGCTTCTCTGGCCTGTACCCCAGCTCTTGTATGCAAAAATAAATAAATCTTTAAAAAAAAAAAGCTAATATACAAATCTCCTTCTGCCACACAACTGTATTCTAGATGAGAATACAGTTATTAGTTATTAGTTTGGCTACCAAAATATCTAGATGATTTTGACTTTACTAAGGGATGCTACAAAGGAAATAATTTGGATGTTAAACTTTTGAGACAGTTTGAGACTTATACTTGGTAGCAGGTGGATAATACCTGTGCATCAGAGCTATTTTGTTATCACTTTGCGACAGAGGTCAGAAATCTAATTATGTGGGGCTACTGCAAAATTTTAATGTTTGTCGTTTTCTATATAGACAATCCTGTTGTGTCTTTTGTCTTCTGTTGTTGATAAAGTACAGGTAGCCCGCACTATCCAAACTTGCACTGTCTGAGATCAGGAGATGTAGAAAGCAAGGAAGATTGGTATTGAGTACTCTTCCATTTGGTTTGGGGAAAACTCAGCCATATTTCCATACAGTGGCAGATTGATGAGATTTAGAGGAAATAACCCTTGTTACAAAGCTTTTAACCATTCTCATGTTTCCCATGTAGGTCTGAAAGCTCTTGCTCTTCTTGGTATATTGCCAGATGGTGACTCTGCCCCAGAAAAGCAGGCTGCACCTGTCACTGTGTCCACCCGAACATCAGAGGAGCAACCAGAGAAGAAAGCCATCCGGCCTGCTGAGACGCTGTCAGACACAGGCCCTTTTGTGCTCTGCAATGTAAATAACAATTCTTTACGTGCAGAATCACAAGTTGACCTTCAGAGAGCCACTCACATGAGAGATCAGAGCAGAGAGGTTAAGAGCACAAACTTGACCCGATTACCTGGGTTTAGATCCCTGCCCTGTCAGACCTTGGGCACATTACTGCAGTGTCTTTGTTTTAATTTTTTCATCTGTAAAACAGGGGTGATAATTATAATACCTGTTCCGTAGGGTTGTTGTGAGAAGTTACGCACATTACACACATTGAGTTAATATATGGAAAGTACTTAAAAGTGTTCACAATAAGTTCCATATCCTTGTTAATTTCTCCTGTTAACCTGCCTCCTTGTGATATATATAAGGATTGGACAAGATTAATTCTTGGCCCATGGTGAACACTTAATATATGTGGCTACTTTTATATTCAGCCAACATATAGGTGATACACAATGTTTACTATTTACCAAGGAGACATGTAGTTTACACATAGCTCATAGGGCATTATTTTTATTCCTGAAATGTGCCCACCTTTTGGATTCCCTTCCCATCAGCAGCTGGTCTCACCCAGGGTATCCTGCTTCTGGGTCTGTCTCATAGTCCTCTAGCAAAGTTGCAGTTTCCACCACTGGTCACACAATAGAACCATAATGCCCTCACTGTGTGGCATTATGGATCATCTCCTACTTGGGACCTAAATACGAATCACTTGTTTTTGACTCTTACATATTTCTAGCCAATGCCAGACCCTTTTAAGAGATTTTCCCTCCTTCCTTTCCTCCAGGTATTAGAGATACTTTTTTTTTTGTTTGTTTGTTTCAAACAACTGAGTAACCAGCCTTAGCCAGAGACACCATCGGTGCACATCGATTGTGTGTAGCATGGCCTCAGACCAGTAATCAGTGTCCCTTAGGTGCTGTAGGATACAACTGCAAGTTATATGGTTAAAAGCTTTGGAGTCCTGTGATAACAGGGGCAAAGTCAAGACTAAAGTGATTAGGCAGAACTAATTGTCTTTACAAAATACCACATTAGTTACAGAGAGTTTGGTGTCAGAGGTCTTTTCAGAAGGTAGATGTTTAACAAGGCAAATAGCCCTCCCAGTCGCAGTCTCCTTTTAGGATGGTCTTACAATCACTTTTTTCTTTGAAGGAATTTGAGGGTAAGATTGATGCTGAAATCACAGTATCTAGAGAGAGGAGGAGAAGTTAGCTGCCTCTAGAAGATGTCAGGATCTTCTCCTGGATGTTTGGTGTTGTACAACATTCCACCTTTGACTCCCAATGTCCTGGCCTTCCCAGGTGTCTAGGGGCTGGGTACCTCCATCATGCACAGAAAACTTCCCTACATGCCTATATCCTAGATATAAGCCTGAATAACAATAGGAGGGAAGCACTCTGGGGGCTGAGGGACTGCAGGTGACTTTTGGGTGCACTGAGTGACTCCATAGGAAATACAGGCTGTGAGCTGTCACACTGACAGGCTGGGCCAGACTTTTGAGATCAGCGAACTCTCTCAGCTCAGGCAATGCACCCCTCACTTCAGAAAGGCCCTCTCCTTGCCAAAATGAAATTCTCAAAAGTGTAAGTCAGGTTGGTTTGCTAGAAGGAAATCCATACCCTGGTATTTCTCTTTCTCCCAAGAGAACTTTTTATACTTTGCTTCTGAAAGCTGATAGAATGTATTGGAGGTGGTAATGGAGCCATTGCTTATATGACTGCAGGTGCTGACAAAGGTAGGTGGAAGATGTTGCAAGGATGAGATGTGGTGATTATTATCTTAAGAGTATGGATTTTAATCTGTGAAGACTGATTAGCTAACGATTAAAAAAACTATTATACTAATAAGTAAATTTGTTATGTAATACCCTAATTCTTTTACTTTTTAGGGAAAGAGTGATGTTCATAAGGAAGTCAGACCTTTAGATCACAAACAGAAAAATAAGACAGATGAAGGTGTATCGCTCACAAAGGATCCTTCATGCCAGACTCAAACTTCAGACTCCTCTGCAAATGCTAGCACACCCACAGGACTTCCAGGTGAAGACTCTTAAACCCCATTGCCTTGATCTCTTTCATCTTAAAAATGCACAAATACCTATCCCCAATGGGCTGTTGCACATAATTTAGTTATCTTTTTTTGTATTTTGTATTTTTTTATATTAATTTTTTTATTTTTTTACATCATTGTTCATCTTTAAACAGTATTTGCTTCCCCCCACCCCCTTGGGTGTAGTCCCCATAGAGTTTCCTTCACCAATCATAATTTAAAACTGGCTAGCAGCCAAGAGTTCATAGTTTTCCAGTCTATATCAGATGATGCTGATAACACTTCAAAGTCATCTTTCTTCACTTTGGCTGCTTTTCTATCTTATTTAGCCACTCCTTCACTGAGTGCTTTTTATGTGTCAAGCACTGTGCTAAATCCTGGGGGTGAAATGGGTGGGGATGAAACAGGTCCCAAGTCAGTTTGATAGACACATGGTTCAGCTTTCATGGAGCTCACTGACTGGGAGAGTTTAAGACAGAGGTATACCTCAAACTGCAATTTGGGATGAAATGTGATTCTGTTCTGAAGAAAGGTATAAGTGGATGTTAATGGCAATTGGTATCCTGTGGGGTTATGTGGAACAAATTGTATAATCGATTTTTAAGGAAGGGCTATAGGGAAATGTGCAAGGATCTGCTATGCAGAAGGACATCCATGGTGGAAAAAGCAACAAGGATTGGCTGTGGGGAAGACCATTTAGGCCCCAGAGTGGGAAACCCCCAAATGAATGCAGAGAAGTCCCTTTATAGGGAACTTCTTTGTAGGGGTTCAGCACTGGAAGGTGAAACTGAAGAGGTACTATGGCGTGCTACCATGGAGGGCCTCAGATGCCTGGGTGAAGATGTCAGGGCAAATTTGGAGCTGTGTTTTAGGAAGACTGGTGGGGATAGCATGAGATAGATAGGGGTGCTGTGGGCTGAAGACACTGGCAGCAAACCTCAGCTGCCTCCTTCTAGCAACCCAGGGAGACAGAATCTTTCCTATGTGCCCATTCTGTGCTGGAGCAGGGGTGTACTCCTGCCATTCTGCCATATTCGTGGGTCCATCTTTCAAAATATTCTAATGTCCGTCTCTGCAATGTGTGTAATTTAAGTTCCAGAAGACAGTCTGACCCTTCACATCAGTCTAAGTCATCAAAATCTACTCTCTTCTGACTTCCCTGTGGATTAGCATCCTGATTCACATGCAGTCTATTCATTATTTATTGATTTACTTGATCTGGAACCTGCTATGTATCCAGATGCTTGGGATACATCACTAAAAAAATAAAATCAAATAAAAAATCTAGAGGCGAGACAATAAACAGTAAGTATCGATAACAGTGTACATTAAGAGCAGGGTCAAGAATGGGGAGAACAAAGGGAATGGGAGAGGTGGTGGGGTAGGCCTCCTTGAGAAGGGGACGTGATTAGCATCACCTTTCAAAATCTCAGCTTATTCTTCAGTGGCACAGGGACAGTGGTTTACTTGCCTCTTTTTACATGAATAGGTCTGACAAAACCTAAATGTTTGGTGTTTTAACTCAGATGCTGAAAATTCTGAAGCGTCTTCCCAGAAGCTCATTAAGGAAAAGGCAGTCATTCCAAGCCCTGAGCAGCTATTTGCTGAGTGTTCCCAGAAGAGGATTTTGGGGTTACTAGCAGCCATGTTACCTCCCTTAAAATTGGTAAGAGAAAAATGGCATTTTCTTTTCAAAAGAAAGGGTGGTATTATGCCCAGGGAAAAAATTGGTTTTAGAAAGTCATATACTGAAACCAACTGTTAATAAGTCATCTGTGTATCCCTGGGAATAGATTATAAATTACAAATTGTTACTATTTTTTTTTTAAAGAAAAAGGTAAAACAACTAAAACAAAACATCTATTACCATCTATTATATTCCTTCTGTCCTTGCTCCCACCCACAACCTGCTTCACAAACTTTGGTAACCTCAGTTCTGTTATCAATGTACACTGGTTTAGTTTTATTTTGTTTTACCTGTTCATTTGCTTTGTTTCCTTATATTGCATATGTAGGTGATATCATCCAATATTTGTCTTTCTTTGTAATTTTGCTTTGCATGAAATTCTCTTGAGCGCCTTCCTTTTTGCTGCAAATCACAAAATTTCATCTTTCCTTATAACAGAATATTTATCCAGTCATCTGTCAGTGGGTACTTATTTTACTTCCACTTCTTAGCTATTGTAAATAATGCTACAGTGAACATTGTGGAGGAGCTTATAGGTGTTCAAGTTGACAAGTTCATATTCTTCAGATAGTTACCCAAAAGATTGTGGGTCATATGGTAGTTCTATTTTTAGTTTTTTGAGTAGGTTTCATACTGCTTTCCAAATGGTTGCACCAGTTTACATACCCTCCAGCAGTGTAAAAGAGTTCCTTTTTCTTCATATCCTCACCAACACTTGTTGATAGCAGTCTTTTTGATGTAAGCCAGTCTCACAGGGTGAGATGATAGCTCTTTGTGGGTTTGATTTGCATTACCCAAGTAAGAAGTGATAATGAACATTATTTCAGATGCCCTCACCTCAGCCCACTCAAAGCAAGTTCTGACTCCCCGTACCTGACCATTTACCTGTGTGGGTGCCTTCCTCACCCCACCCATGCTCTCTTTCCACGGTGCTGCATGGAAATGCTTCTCACCTGCTCAGATTCTCACACACCATATGGGACCAGGCCTCTGTATGGACATTTTCCTCATTCTTGTTGGACTTTGGCATCCCACGCCAAGCTGCCCCTCCAGTGGGATGCCTTTTTGACAATTTTTATCTTCAAGAACTTCTGGTTTTCATATTATAGATTTAATACCTGTGAGAATCACAGAGATAACAATTCAAAAATTCTAAATGTTCAAGAATAAAAAGGTATATTATTAGACTATTTACCTAAGTAGTGTTTATAATAATGACAATTGAAAACAAAGGAAGTATCCAACCACTGGGCATGAATTACGTTTTAACTATAAAATGCGATTGTGTGCAGCCTTCCATTGGTTGCCGAGAGTTCTGTTTTTATTGACTTAGGAAGCAGCTGTTATACAAATGGGGAAAAGCAAGTTGCAGGGCAGTATTCAAAGAAAAAAATTACTTTTAATTTATTTTACATGTTTTATATGTAAATATGTATAACGGATTGAAAGATTGCTTGTCAGACTGTTAACACTTGTTATCTCCTGAGCACTAAAAGAAGGTAGAACTTTAACTTTTGTGTAATTCGAAATTATTTGAATTCTTTTTCAGTGCAAAGCTTGGGAGAAAAAAATGAGTTTATTTTTCAGGGTAAAGTTTTCAAGATTTTTGAGGTGATGCCTGAGAATGTTAATTTACAACTGATTGTACATATGGCATTTGTGGAAGCCACTGCATAACTCCTTTGGCACTACTAGTCACTTGTAAATAATACATAAAGGAGACAGTGTTTACCTGGTGTGATTCCCTGAGTTTGTATTGAACAGATCTTTCTCCCTCTGTTGGCAGGATCCCACAGTCCCCCTGAAAGACCTGGAGCGCGTCCTCCCACTCATGTTTCAGGTTGTCATCTCAAATGCAGGCCACCTGAACGAAACATACCACCTCACCCTGGGTCTTCTCGGCCAGTTAATCATCCGCCTTTTGCCGGCAGAGGTAGATGCTGCAGTGATCAAGGTCCTTTCAGCCAAACACAACCTGTTTGCTGCCGGGGACAATTCCGTCGTGCCAGATGGCTGGAAGACCACCCATCTGCTCTTCAGCCTGGGAGCTGTGTGTCTAGACAGGTAGTGACCCCACTTTACTCACCTTGGTGTACATTTCTTTGAATCAGAGGTCTGGCTAATTAATTTCATTGTGCTTCAATGCCATCGTCTGGGAATTGCTGTGAGAATACAATGTTTTATTAGCAATGCTGTCAGGCAACATTACAACTGTGCTTAAAGCCCATATTGATACAGCTGTGCAGTCTGAGCTGATAGTATAATATGTGGTCAGTGGTGATATATATACACATATATATATATATATATATGTTTGTTTTTTCCTGAGAATAATAGATGTAAGTCTCAAGACTGAAGAAAAATATGTCTATTTTCATTATAAAAATGACTTAATCAAATACTGATTTGGAAAACAGAAACAAAGGAAAAAAAATCGCTCTGGCTTATACCATCTTAATGCGTCTGATATTATAATATACATCCTTCCAAGCTTTTTTGTGTGAATATGAGTGCACACACACGTGTGTGACTTAATCATAGTTATAGACTGAGTATGTAAGTAAGGGATCTTTTTTTTTTCCTTCCACTCACCATTATATGAAAAACATTCCTGTAGTTTTAAAGCTAATTAATGAATGGCTCTTCAGCTTGACTCAGGGGCTAACTTGTGTAGTAAGCTCTGATGAGTTGAGTTTGGAACCTGTGCATTGCTGTCTAATGGAGCTCTTGCCTTCCAGCCGGGTGGGCTTGGACTGGGCGTGCTCCATGGCAGAGATCCTGCGGTCACTTAACAGTGCCCCACTGTGGCGTGACGTCATTGCCGCCTTCACAGACCACTGCATCAAGCAGCTGCCTTTCCAGCTGAAGCATACCAACATCTTCACCCTGCTTGTGCTGGTTGGCTTCCCCCAGGTACATTACTCTGAAGGCCTGGTCACCTCTTCTAATCTTTATTACATACATCAACAACTCTATAGCATATATCTTTCAAAGTTTTTTTCTTCAGTTATATTTTGCTTTGACTATTCTGTTATATTTCCAAGATTATTAAAAACTTGTGTTTTTAATAAGTTAGCTATTTGCCTCATTTTATTAATTATTGTCTTTAAATTATTTTAGTAGGTGACTTTGAGTAATAGGTAACTACTAAATATTAAGCTACAAAGAAACTTAAAGTACAATTGTTTTCCACTTTGGCATTCATCTTGATCTGTTTTCTTATTTTGTCATCTCTCAACTGATGGGACAGAGGACTATGAAAAATGATTTTATCCAGTGAACACTTAAACCAGTTCTACATTAGACCTTTACCAGACTGCAGAATTAGAGATTATAGAAACCTAACTTTCAGTGTTTGTTGAAGTCAGAGGCCCAAGCAAAAGAGACTGGACTTATATCTACCTAAATGCACTTCCCTGTTTTAATGTGCTATTGAGTTGCCTTTTCTGTATCTCTGTTATGTTCTAGGTCCTTTGTGTGGGAACCCGCTGTGTTTATATGGATAATGCCAATGAACCACATAATGTGATCATCTTGAAGCACTTTACTGAGAAAAACAGGGCTGTGATTGTCGATGTCAAAACCCGGAAGAGGAAAACAGGTCCCAATCATAATTATTTTTTCTAAGAATGGGAAAATGTTACCTAATCTCTGCATACCTTGAATTCAACCAAGATGCCTCAGTTCTTACCCCTGACTGCAGTTATGTATAAAAACAAGTTATAGCTTCCTGAACTTCTTTTTCCTCGTCTCTGAAATGATGTGGATTAATTGTGATAATTTGAAAGCACTTGCCATGTTGTTATTTTGTCTGTATATTTTAGTTGGTCAACTGTTTAGGTTCTGAACATTTGATTACTTTATTTGTTGGTGTCATTTGTAATGGTCCAAAGTTTGGTCTGTTTTGATGTAAGTTTGTTTCCTAATGGGTAATTTAAAATTGTATATAAAACAACTTTGAATAGTTGTACTGGCATTCATGTCACTTTCCATTTTGTTTTATCAATAGAACACTGAAAGCATATTGTAAATCCCCTTTGGATTTAATTTGTCAAATCCCAAACAATCTGGAGTATGTAAACATTAGGTCCCCAGTTTGGCTCCTGAAGCAGTCTGCTTTCTCATTCAGTTTTAGCACTTGCACTATGCTATTTTTGCTTATGGTGTGAGGTAAAGGTCAGGGTTCATCTGGGGGAGTAGGCCTACCAATATCTAGTTATTTCTGGACTATTTGGTGAACAGACAATTCTTTCTCTTTGAATTATCTTGGCACATTTGTTAAAAATTAATTGACCCGTATATGTATGTGCCTATATATTGATTCTATTCTGTCCCATTAATCTATGTATCTATTCTTACTCAAACATCACACAGTCTTGACTATAGTAGATTTATACTGCCTTGAAATGATACTGAATAACAGTGTGCTGTTATTCATTCATTTTAAAATGTTCTCTGACTTTATTATTCTTTTTCAAAATTGTTTTGGCTATTCTAATTCCTTTGCTTTTCTGTATAAACTTTAGAATCAGCTTGTCAGTTTCTCTTAAAGAACCTTCTGGGCTTTTTTGAGTAGCACTGCATTGAATCTTAGATCCGTTTGGAGAGAAATGACATCTTAACAATTTTTTTAATTTTGTGAATTATTTATAAGTTTGTTGTTTAATTTCCAAATATTTGAGGGATATCCCAGATGTCTTTCTGTTATTGACTTCAAGTTTAATTTCCTGATGGTCAGAGAGCATACTTGGAGTGTTTTTCACCCTATTAAAATTATCGCACCTTGTTTAATGGCCCAAGATTTGGTCTGTTTTCATGAAGATTCCATGACACATTCTAAAACAATGTGCATTTACTAAGTTGCTTGGTGGCGTGTTGCATAGATGTCACTTAGGTCAAGTCAGTTGATAATGTTGTTTATATCTTCTGTCCTGCTTGTGCTGATTTTCTGTGTACTTGTTCTAATAATTACTGAGAGAAATGTTGATGTCTCCAACTCTAAATGTGTTTGTCTGTTTTTCATTTCATTATGAAATATCCCTTTTTATCCCCGATAATTCCATGTTCTGAAATCTTTGATATTTATGTTGCCTCTAGTAGTTTTTTTAATTACTAACATTTGTATGGTATATCTTTTTCTATCTTTTTATTTTAATTTGCCTGTGTCTTTTCACTTAAAGTACATTTCTTGTTGATAGCATGTAATTTAGTCATAATTTTTAATTTGATCTGACAATTCTTGCCTTTTAATTGAGATGTTTATACCATTTACATTTAGTGCAGTTATTAAGATGATTGAGTTTAAATCTGTCTTCTTGTTTTTCATTTGTTTTGTCTGTTTTTTCTTCCCTTTTGCCCTTTTCTTCTTTTGGATGATAACTCTTTTAAAATGGTTCCATTTTATCTCCACTATTGACTTTTAAACTGTATCTCTCTATATATTTTTAGTGGTTATTCTAGGGTAACCTTCAAATAATTTTTCAGTGGTTCCTATAGTATTTGAATATATACCTTAATACACAGGTATATATTTTGAACTACCTTCAAATAATAATAACATACCATTTTGCTATCCATTTTGCTGTTATTTTCACATATCTTCTACATGATTTAAGCCTTATAATATTTATTTTTACTTTGAAAAGTCAGATATTTTAAAGTAAATTTTAAAATGATGAAACAGTATCTTTTTTATTTGGCCACAAATTAAACATCTCTGATGCTCTTCATTTCTTTGTATACATTCAGATTTCCATCTGGTATCATTTTTCCTTGGCCTGAAAAACTTCCCATAACATTTTTTGTAGTGCAGGTCTGCTGCACAAGCTCTGTTGTGGTTGGTTTTGCCAAATGAAAGAAGTGTTTATTTTGACTTCCTCTTTGAGAGCTAATTTTATTAGGATTAAAAACTGAAAGTTTTTTCTTTGAATACTTTAAAGATATTGATCCATTCTCTTCTGGCATGCATAGTTTTTGCCATGAAGTATGCTGTTATTCTTCATTACTCTTCATACTATGTCTTTTTTTTTTTTTTTTAAGCTGCTGATAAGATTTTTCTCTTATCTGTTTTTAGCAGTTTGATTATGATTTCCTTGCCATGATTTTTTTTATGTTTCTTCTGTGTGGGCCTTTACTGAGCTCTGTGGATCTTTGATTCATGGTTTTTGTCTAGGTAAAAAGGGCTCCTGTACCCCTCTCTCTTTCTAGGTGTCCTCCTTCTGTGATATTCTGCCCCATTAATTCTTGCTACCTTGACTTCCCTCATCTCTGTCTCCTCAACCCATGGAGACTGCTGGATAACGCTTGGGTTTCTGCTCCCTACTCTGTGGCTGGAAATTGCCTCCAAGTAGCTAGGGCGATTGGGAGGGCTCACCCAGTTAGTACCCCTTCTCTTAGGGATCATAGTCTTGCACTACCTATTGCCCAATGATGTAAATCATTGTTTCATGAGATTTTTCTTCTCAGTGTTCTGGCTGTTTATGGTAGGCAAGAAAATCCAGTCTCTCTAACTCATTCTATTTTTGAAGTGGAAATCTCTCATGAGTTCTGTATTTAAGAACTTCCTTTAATACCTTTGGTGACAGCCTGCTCCTGTACAGTAGTATGGAAGTGAATTGCCTCTCTCAGTTGCTTGGTGAATATATGGCCCAGTATCAGTATTGGGCTTACTTGCAAGTTGGCCTTATATCTAATGACTAAGATTGAAGCCAGAGAGATATATATTTTGAGGCCTAAAGTTCTTGCTTCAATAAGACATATTACTGGGAAAGAAACTTAACTGCTGGAAGCCATTAACTAGACTTTCTGTGACTTTCTCTTGTCTGACATCACCCATCAGTGAAGGACTACCAGCTGATCCAGAAAGGAGGACAGGAATATAGTGACTCTCAGGCCCAACTAAGCCAGTATTCCCAGCACTTTGCCTTTATTGCCAGTCACCTTCTACAAACCAACATGGACAGCCATTGTCCTGAAGCAGTGGAAGCAACTTGGGTCCTATCCCTGGCTCTCAAAGGATTATATAAGACACTAAAGGTGATGGTGAGCTTCTTCTATTTGTTAATGAAATTGGCTGTGATTTAACATCTGCAAGGAATTAGGAGGAAATGCGATCTGATGTTGATGGCTAACCATAGAATTTTGATTATATTTAGAAATGCTTGGCACCTTGTGCAAGGATAGCTTTAAAGAAGAAACAAACAGAATTTTCCCAATCGTTGGTTCTCTGTATTTTTTCAGTACTGTTTGATGGAGCCAGGTTCTATTGCCTCTAATGGGCATATAACCTTGAAAGATGAGAAGGAAAATGGACTGAAAAGTTTCTCACCTCTCTCTGAACCATGGCTCTTCTGGTTCATCCTAGGACATGATGAAGGAGAGAATCAGGGGGGCTTACCTTCTATGGGATCTTTGAGCAATTAAGGTGGGAGGAAGCAGACAAGTTAAAGAACTGGACAAATAATTGGCATGGAAATGAGAAGACTCGGCTTATGGGGAACATAAGTGATGCATTGATGGGGAGGAAGGGATCTCTTTTAGGATGATCTTCTCAATGAACTAGTCACAAAAGAAGGATTTCACTGGAAAAGTTTTTAAGTACCTTGACTTTGTTGGCACTGGCATGGAGGTCCTGGAGGGTCTCAAGTACCCAGGGAGACTGGACTAGATGGCATTTCAGCTCTGGTCCAACGAGGAAAGTCTATAGTTTCAAAATTGAGGCTAAATATCTGCTCTTGATTAGTTTCATAGCATTTATTACAGTCTACTATTAATTTAGTCATTTGTGTTAAAATAAACAAGAGAAAAGAAAGTTTCTGTGAGCAGAGACCACTTCAGTCTTTGAATCCTATATTCAGTAAATACATGTTAAGCATCAAATATCAGATGGAACTGAGTATCTGGTGTTGAACTAGAAAGAGGTCCTGCACTTCCAGAACTGGCGTCTAAATTGCAAGAGAAAAAAATTGCAATTGAGACAACAGAGAGCCTTCAAGGAAGACTACCATGATTCTGAAAAAGCCTTTCAGAGGTGGTAGATATGAAAATTTGAGGTGGTAGATAAGGAATTAGCCTTCAGTAAATTGGGCAGAACATTCCATGCAGAGAGAAGTGTAGACTCCGGGCCAGGAACTGTTGTTTAGGGAGTGGAATACACCTTCCACTAGGGTTTCAGGAAGTACTAGGGCTTCAGGTTAGTACTTCCAGTGAGAGATGAGACCAGGGTAGCAGACAGGGAGCCTGGAAGACTTCATCAGCCATGCTTAGAGACCTTGATTTTTGTTTGAGGAGCATTGGGAAACTTCTGGGAGGTAGTGAGCAAGAGGAGGGACATAAAATCCCGATTTTTAACATAATGCTTAGTAGATAGATGCACGAGGCTTTAGAAATATTGGTTGAGTGAATGAATTAGAGAAGGACTGAACAGACTTAAATTATGGCTGAGGTTAAAGTTTCATTCTTCCTGCAGACTGTGGGATTGAGTGTGGGCTGCCAGTTGAGGATGAGCTCTGAAGAAGCCTGCTTCTCCCTGAATAACTCTTTCCTGTTCAATCTGAGGCTGTTGCAAATCATTCTTTTTCATTTGGCAGGCTCATGGTTTTGAAGAGACCCATGCTACCTTCCTTCAGACTGATTTGCTAAAGCTGCTAGTGAAAAAGTGCAGCAAAGGGACTGGCTTCAGCAAAACGTGGCTACTCCGGGACCTGGAGGTAAGGAATGTGGGTGGCTCCCACTGCTGCTGCCTGGTGCAGATTTTTTTTTTAAGATTTATTTATTTATGCAGACAAGAACTAAGGTATAGGCCAGAGGTGCGGGGGGTGAGAGGATTCACCAGAGACAGAATGGGGAGCAGAACAGGCAGATCTACTGAAATACACTGCTGAGGGGAGCAGCAGGTGAGACAGGAGAGGTCTGCTGCACCATGTGGGTAGCTCCCTGGCTGGCCGGGGATTGAACTCACGCTGTGGATAGCTTCACAGTGCTGTGCTTAACCCCTTGAGCCACCAGGGAGGCCCAGCCTGGTGCAGATTTACTGCCTGCAAGTGGCAGCAGCAGTTCATTGCTGCTGGCTCTGCTGTGCCCTCTGTGCACTTGTTCAGACTGCCTTATATCTGCTTTCCCTGTTGGAAATAGGGATTGTGGATACTTGCCTCTTTTCCACCCAAGAAAAGAGAATTTGATGTTTGTTTAGAAACATTGAAAGAGAAGTATTTTATGGAAACACATAGTTGGCTATTATATCATGGTAATAAAGCATGCCTTTGAAATATTTCCCTTTAAAGTTCCTCTGAGCTAAAATCACATTCTAAATTTATCTTCATTTATATTTATTTTAGGTAAGATTTTAGTCAATTTTTATTTTATTACTATTCCCCCAGGCCTTAGATTTCTCTTAGTGAAGTACTGTGGTTCCCTGTGGAGTGCCAAGTGCTAACTTCAGGTCCTGGAAAGGCCCTGCTGTATGGGAGGTAGTAAGCCAGCCATTCTCAGCCACAGAGGCTTGAATTAGGAAACACTCTTAGTCTCCATAAGAGGACTGGTTATGTTTAAGGAAAATATGCTAAAGTGTTTAAGGATAACCTATAGAGCATTTGATCTCTTGTCTTAGGAAATTCTCATCCACCAAATGCTGACATTCCTACCCTGCCTTTGTTCCTGTGCAGATTTTGTCCATTATGCTGTACTCCTCAAAAAAGGGTGTTAACGCTTTGGCTGAGCACAGAGACCTGGAGCTAGATGAGCGAGGGGATCCAGAGGAGGAGGTGGAACGGTCAGTCAGCAGTCCCAGTGAACTGGAACAGAAAAAGCTAGACCCTCTCGAAAGTCTGGATGAGCCCACCAGAATCTGTTTCTTGGTATGTTCTTGGGTTATGGTTTAGATTTGGAAAAGCACTGTCAGGAATGCTTTCTCTTGGACTTGGACTGTGTTTCAAGCTCCACATGAAAATGCTTCAATCTGATATCCTGAGAATTTATTTCTTGAAGATTCCCTCTCTGTTGTGCAGAATCGATCCAAAAGAATGGATAGTATTTTTTTTTTTTAATGTACTGAGGCCATGGACCCAAAAGCTTTATTTCCTTTCTCCCATAAAATACATTCAAATATACATGTCAATTTGACATGTAATTTCCAGACCCATTCATAAAACCCCAAATGGTAGTCCCCATAGTTTCTTAGGTGAACTCTCTTACTTTCTCTGGGTAATATACTCTCCCTTGAATAATGTGAAAAAGGAAGAGGGCTTAGACTTTAAAGGGTCTAGCTATATGAAGAGAGAGCAGACAATATGAATGGATATCAGAAGAGTAAGAACTGTTTTTAAAATGCAGAAGTGTAATACTTAGATTATGTGCTAGTTGTCAAACTTGAGTGCAAGACATCCACAGTAGAGAGGCTATAGTGAATACAGTGGTGGTGGTAATTGCTGACTGTTAGCATTGTGTTTTGTTGGCGTAATATTTCTTTTAGTGTTACTATGATTTATATTTTTCTTTGAATGCATAATAATGCAGATTTTATGAGGTGGGTTTTAGAGCATATAATAGTATTAATGGTATTAATTTTATGGTTTTTTATCACCTTTGAGCTTAGATTATCAATGTGCTAAAAGACTTTAAACTGTCTCTTTTTCTGCTTCCTTCCATGGCCTACAGATGGCCCATGATGCCCTCAATGCCCCCTTGCACATTCTCCGGGCCATATATGAACTGCAGATGAAAAGAACTGATTCTTTCTTCTTGGAGGTTCAGAAGAGGTAAGGGTTGCTTAGGTACTGCTGCAGTGTGGTGAGAGAGTAAGTTGGGGAGGATGACATTTATCTTCTGTCGATGGAATCTGGATAATACTTCTGAAGGGCCTAGAAGAAAACACAGGACTGGTTTTCAGTTCTTCATAAAGGATATGAAAGCTGACGGTGCTACACTGCATGGGTCCCTTTCAGTTGTGTTGTATGTTCCTTTCGGGAAAACTTTATTTGCAATCTGCATCTGAGAGTAAACTCACTATTGGATGCAGAAATTGAGACAGACACCAAGTTTTTTTTTATGTCATCCTAGTGCTCAAACAGCACAGAGCATGCTTCGGGTCAGAAGTGCTATTTTGTTTTTTTTTTCACTATGGTACATTATTTTCATTTTTTTCCCCTCAAGAATTATTATAAAATTAATAATGTTCCCTTCCTAAAAAAGAATAATATCGGATGGTTTCACTTATAGGAAGAATATAAGTGGGGAAACCAAATAAGACAGCGGGGGGAAAAAATAATAACAATACGAAACACAACAAAACAAAAAATAAGCAGACAATTATAAACCAGAGACATCCTGGAGGGGAGGAAGAGGGAGAGAGATTGGGGAGAGCGGAAGGGAGGTCACAGGGGACTGCGGTGATGGTGCACGGGTGCATTGGTGAGGGAAATTCTATGGGGACTACACCTGGGGAGGGGAGAAAAAAGCAAACATTGTTTAAAAATGAACAATGATATAAAATATATATAAATTAAAAAAAGATAACTGTAAAACATATTTCCCCCCAAAAAAAAAACAATAACAAATATTCCCTTCCTCTTGGTCAGGAAGTTTGGAACTAGTTCTTAGGGCCAGTTTTTAGGTGTGTATAGAATTTCACCTGTCTTCAGTCTAATCTCTTTTCCATCCCCCATATCATCATTTTGATTCCCAGTTCTAATTTATATCAAATTCCAATTGAATTTTTCATTTATTCTTTTGATTTCATATTTCTTTTTTCCCATATATATTTCTTACATATTGCCTCAAGCCTTTTGTGAAATTAAGCAGAGTTGCATCAGTTAGGACAGTCTTAAGATACTATAACTGAAAAACTCACATATATCACAAGTCACGGAAGATTTGTTTTTCCCTTATGAAACAGTCTAGAGGTAGGTGGTATCCAGGATAGGTGGGCATAACGTGACCACCTTCCCAGTCCCCCCAAAGTATACACATTGTTCTCATCTGTGTAGTCAGAACTGGTTCACTAACTCCTCCTCTGTGTTCCAGCCCAGAGGAAAGGAAGACAGAGAGAAAGTGCACCCTTAATTCAGTTGCTGGAAGGTTGGCAAGCACCTAGTTGCATTGATACATCTAACTCTAGTGGGAGCTAGGAACTGTGTCCCTTGCTAAAATTTCAGAGATCTTTGTTTCCGAAAGATATAAAGGTGGGGCCTCCCTAATGCCGCAAGGGGTTAATATGCAACCTATGAAGCTATCTGCAGCCACTGGAGCATGAGTTTGATCCTTGGCCAGGAAGCTATTCACATGGCACAGCAGACCTCTCCTGACTCGCCTGCTGCTCCCCTCAGCAGTGTATTTCAGTCGATCTGCCTGTTCTGCTCCTCACTCTGGTGAATCCTCTCACCCCCACACCTCTGGCCTGTACCCCACTTCTTGTATACATAAATAAATAAATCTTTCACTAAAAAAAAAAAGATGTAAAGGCGCACAGGGTCCTAAGGGACAGTTTGCATTCTCTACCAGAAGGGCATATGTGCCGATCTGTGTACATGAGTAAATGCACACTGTGAATCTAGTTTGCAAAAAGTGGAAGGTCATAATATAATACAAAATAGCAGGAAAATAACTCTGATCTGTACTTCTGACAAGTTTCATTGCAGGTTATGCTCTTGCCCTTCTATAACTTATGCACCCAACTTTATGCTTTTTCTTTCAGGTTTGATGGAGACGAACTCACCACAGATGAAAAGATACGAACCCTGGCTCAGAGGTGGCAGCCCAGTCGGAGCCTGAGACTGGATGAGCAGAGTGCCAAAGCTGTGGACACAGACATGATTATCTTACCATGCCTGGTATGTCTCCTCCACCTTGGGAAAGAAACATCTGCCCCAGACCCCTCTTTCCCCCATGGCAAGAAGGCCAGACTTCTGTAACGGTGGTCTTTGGGTTTGCAGTCCCGGCCCACACACTGCGAGCAGGCCACTGCTGAATCAAACCCTGTGACCCAGAAGCTGATCTCCAGCACGGAGAGTGAACTGCAGCAGAGCTATGCCAAGCAGCGGCGGAGCAAGAGCGCTGCCCTCCTGCACAAGGAGCTGAACTGCAAGATCAAGAAAGCTGTCCGGGACTACCTTTTTCGTGTGAATGAGGCCACAGCTGTCCTATATGCCCGCCACGTGCTTGCATCCTTGCTCTCAGAATGGCCTGCGCATGTGCCGATGAGTGAGGACATCCTGGAGCTGAGTGGCCCTGCCCACATGACCTACATTTTGGATATGTTCATGCAGCTGGAGGAAAAGCACCAATGGGAAAAGGTAATTTATCAGGCCAAGCTGAGCACTCATCTTCTTGCTCCTCTCTCTCTCAACCTCCTCCCAGGTAATTGAGGGGCCTTTCTCCAGTGAGTGCCTCCTAGAGGGAGGTTACCTGTGTGATTACATTCCCAGATAGGTGTGAATGAAACAAAAGCAGGACAGGGTCACTGTTGGTCTAGAGCTGAGCCGAGTACACACTTGTTTGTTCAGAGAGTATTGGAAATAATGATCACCTGAAGCCCGCCTTTGCAGTTTTCCTCCCCCTCCCCACAATCTTTCTTTCAAGTTTTTAAATTTTTATTATTTATTTTTTTAATTTATATCTTTTACATCATTATGTATTCCCCATAAAAATTCCCATCACCAGTTCGCGTGAGAGCCACCACCATAGTTCCTTGTGCTCTTCTCTCCCATTTGGATCCCTTTTCCTTCCTCTCCCTCGCAGATTGTCTCTGATTTATGGTTGCCCGCTAATTTTGTTTATTATTATTACGATTGTTGTTGTTGTTGTTATGTTTTTTCCTGATCCCTTATTTGGTTCCCCTATATTCCTCCTGTAAGTGAAACCATCCGATTTTTTTCTTTTACCCACCCCTCCCCTGTTGCCCCCCGCCCCAACACACTTTCCTTGCTAGCCTATGTATTCTCGGGGTCTCACAAAATGCAAAAGTCCAGGGGACCTGGTTAATTATGACTGAGAGTCTATTTCTTTTTTTTTTTTTAAATATAAATTTTATTTTTATATTCCCCATACAATTGCAACCCCCTTATTTTGACCCCAATTCCTCCTTTCCCCGAACCCCACCCCCCATAGAGTGTCTCTGGTTCATAGTTGTTTGTTGATTTTGATTTTTACTTTCTTATAGTTATTCTTTTTCCTGGTCCCTTATTTAAGTTTTCTAGATTCCTGCTATGAGTGAGAGCATCCGGTATTTTTCTTTTTCTTTCTGGCTTATTTCGCTGAGCATGATCCCTTCCAGCGCCATCCATGTTGCTGCAAATTGCATGTGTTTATCTTTTTTGAGTGCTGAGTAATATTCCATGGTGTATATGTACCACATCTTCTTGATCCAGTATCTATTTTTGGGCATTTGGGTTGTTTCCACAGCTTAGCTATTGTAAATAGTGCTGCTATAAACATATGGGTGCAGGTGCTCTTTGGAATTGATGTTTCTGTGTCCTTTGGGTAAATACCTAGGAGTGGAATTGCTGGCTCATATGGAAGCTCTATGTTTAGTAGGTCAAGAAATCTCCACACAGCTCTCCATAGTGGTTGGACCAGTTTGCAGGAGAGTTCCTTTTTCTCCACAACCTCGCCAACATTTGTTGTTGCTAGTTTTTTTAATATGTGCCATTCTCACTGGTGTAAGATGGTATCTCATGGTAGTTTTGATTTGCATTTCCCTGATTACAAGTGATGTTGAACATTTTTTCATATGCCTGTTGGCCATTTGCATTTCCTCTTCAGAGAAGTCTCTTTTTAGCTCTTCTGCCCATTTTTTGACTGGATTATTTTCTTTGTTTTTGTTGAGTTTCATCAGCTCTTTGTAGATTTTTGTCATCAGTCCTTTATCATTAGTGTATTTTTGCACACAACACTAATGATAAAGGATTGATGACAAAAATCTACAAAGAGCTGATGAAACTCAACAAAAACAAAGAAAATAATCCAGTCAAAAAATGGGCAGAAGAGCTAAAAAGAGACTTCTCTGAAGAGGAAATGCAAATGGCCAACAGGCATATGAAAAAATGTTCAACATCACTTGTAATCAGGGAAATGCAAATCAAAACTACCATGAGATACCATCTTACACCAGTGAGAATGGCACATATTAAAAAAACTAGCAACAACAAATGTTGGCGAGGTTGTGGAGAAAAAGGAACTCTTCTGCACTGTTGGTGGGAGTGCAAACTGGTCCAACCGCTATGGAGAGCTGTGTGGAGATTTCTGGACCTACTAAACATAGAGCTTCCATATGAGCCAGCAATGCCACTCCTCGGTATTTACCCAAAGGACACAGAAACATCAAATCCAAAGAGCACCTGAACCCCTATGTTTATAGCAGCACTATTTACAATAGCTAAGCTTTGGAAACAACCCAAATGCCCAAAAATAGATGACTGGATCAAGAAGATGTGGTACAGGCCTCCCCGGTGGCGCAGCGGTAGAGCGCTGGGTTGCGAAGCTGCCCGCGGCCTCTGCGGCGCCGGTTCAATCCCCGGCTGCTCCCCGGCCACCAGAGGAGGGTCCCACATGGCGCGCAGACCTCTCCTGCCGCCCGCTGCTCCCCTCAGCAGTGTACTTCGGTCCTTCTGCCTGCTCTGCTCCCCGCTCTGGCTCTGGTGAATTCTCTCACCCTTCCGCGCTTCTGACTGTACCCAGTGCATGTATAAACAAAACAAACAAACAAATAAATAAATAAAAACATGCCTCTATTAAAAAAAAATCTTTAAAAAAAAAAAAGATGTGGTACATATACACCATGGAATATTACTCGGCATTCAAAAAAGATAAACAAATGCAATTTGCAGCAGCATGGATGGCTCTGGAAGGGATCATGCTCAGCGAAATAAGCCAGAAAGAAAAAGAAAAATACTGGATGGTCTCACTCATAGCAGGAATCTAGAAAACTTAAATAAGGGACCAGGAAAATGAATAACTATAAGAAAGTAAAAATCAAAATCAACAAAAAACTATGAACCAGAGACACTTTTTGGGGTGTGGGGGGCGGGAGGGGAGGGATTGGGGTCAAAATAAGGGGGTTGCAATTGTATGGGGAATATAAAAATAAAATTTATTATAAAAAAATGTTCTGCCAGTCAGTGGGGTTTCTCTTTGTTTTTGTTATTGTCTCTTTTGCTGTGCAGAAGCTCTTTAATTTGATGTAGTCCCAGCTGTTTATCTTTGTCTTCACTATCACTGCTTTGGGTAATGTGTCTGTAAAGATGTCTTTGATGTGCATATCATGTAGTGTTTCACCTATATTTCCTTCTATGTATTTTATTGTTTCAGGTCTTCTGTCTAGTTCTTTAATCCATTTTGAGTTGGTTTTTGTGTATGGTGTGAGGTAGTGGTCAAGCTTCATTCTTTTGCATGTAGTGACCCAGTTTTCCCAGCACCATTTATTGAACAAACTTTCTTTGCTCCAATGCATATTCTTTGCTGAGAGTCTATTTCTATAATATAGGAAGCCTTCCAAGGAGATTTGTGTCTTCTTTTATAGCCTGTCATTTCTAGAATGCCTGCCCCAGTCATACACTGCCAGCACATACACCTACTTGTCTTACACTGTGACCTGAGAGATTTTTATCTGAAGAAGTCAAGCCTAGAGCCTTGTCCAGAGCGTCTAGCTTCTGAGTGCCAGACTTAGATTTGTACCATTTTCCTAAGTCCAATTCTCTAATTTTAAGTTTCAGTTTGATAGTTGTTTTTTTTAAAATAGTGCTGGGTGAGCAAGCCTTCGTGGTGCTAGAATATCTCTTCCAACTCTTGATGCCTAGGACTGCAGGGTTCACAGCAGAAAATGGCCTGGTCTAGAGCTCAGAAGCCATGGACAGTATTTACAGCTGAACCAGAATGTTCTGTCACCGTTTTCCCAGTTTCCAAGGGCAGAAATCTTGAGTCACATTTGCTGCCTCCTTCATTCCTATCCCCTTGCCGCCTCCACACACATTCTGCCCTCAGATACCCTCATCCACATGAGGATTCATTAAAAAGTGACTTTATCCCCTAATCCTTAATTTCTCCATTTAAGAACACCACTAGTTTCTAAGTCTCCTACATCCACTCCCAGCCTCACAACCTGAGAGATGCTAGCAAGTTTGCTGTAGCCATATTTCTCATTTGGAATGGCAAAGAGGAACACTTTTATCCTTGCTAGTTCTTCTTTTGAATATGTCCTTTCTCCATTCTTCCCTCCAAGAAGCCCTCAATTCTGCTCCTCATTCTTGGAATTGATCCCATTGCTTTACAGCTGTTTATATGTATGTCCATGTCCCTGCTAGCCTCAGAACTCTTCAGGGGCCAGGACCATTAAGGGGTGGTTCTTTGGGTTCCTTCAGATCCCCTTGAAATAGTATTGACCTGAAAGGACTACAGCATTCTGATTCACAGCTGTGGCCTTCCATGGAAGGTTGGGGTTGGGGTCAGGATCCAGGACATACCAGCCCCTTTGGGTGAGCCTTGGGTTGAAATAACCTCTTCTTCCTGGTGGGGAAGCTCTATGACCTGCCACTGGCAAGCCCTGACCTTCCCTGCCTTGTGTCTGCCAGATCCTGCAGAAGGTGCTCCGAGGCTGCCGAGAGAACATGCTGGGGACCATGGCCTTGGCTGCCTGCCAGTTCATGGAGGAACCCGGAATGGAGGTGCAAGTACGGGAGTCAAAACACCCATATAACAACAACACCAACTTTGAGGTACGATCCAGGGTCAGACAGATTCACCCAGCCTCCAGGCGAGGCGCTGGCAGCACCTGCAAGGGCTGCTGAGTAGTGGGAAGCGTATCAACTCCTACAGCAGCTCTTTCCCGCCTGGACAGCCAGCGCTGACCAAGAAAATGTTCCTTAGCAAGCTGCAGTCTGCCTCCCCAAGCCAGCCATTTGTGCCACCAGGTCTTCTCCTAACCTTTCTTGTTTTAATAGAAAAAAATGGGCCCCGGGCCCTGGAGGAGAGTTTTACTTTATCTGTAGCACACTCTTTGGAGTACATCCTTGGTATCTTCTGGCAGTGAATCTGGGTTTAACCCTCTTTATCCATCTTCTAACAACCTAGCCATGCTTTTGAGACTCTAGCCCCTTTAATTTCCCAGAATGGAAAAGCCTCATCTTTTCCATCCTTAATTCTATACCTGGACAGAGAAAAGTAGGAATTTGGATGAGTCAGGAGTTGGGTGGCCTCAGAATAATGGCTTTATTCTCATTAATTTTTTTTAAAGATTTATTTATTTTTATACAAGAACTAGGGTACAGGCTAGAGGCACAGGAGGGTGAGAGGATTCACCAGAGACAGAGTGGGGAGCAGAACAGACAGACGACTGAAATACACTGCTGAGGGGAGCAGAAGGAGAGACAGGAGAGGTCTGCCACGCTGTGTGGGAATCTCCCTGGCTGGCCAGGAATCAAGCCGGCGCTGCAGAGGCTGAGGACAGCTCCACAGTGCTGCGCTCAACCTGCTGCACCACTGGGGAGGCTCTATTCTCATTAACTTAATGCCACTGCATTTCTTTAGCCTGTTCCAAAGTGTTCGAGCTGGCAGGATTATCATAAGCTTCTGAGCGGACAGTACCCAGTAGCAACAGTGGTGGATGACAGAGAAACTGGTCTAGAACTTGGTTGTCACCAAGCTGAAATTTTATTTTGCTTAAGTATGAACCTCCTCCCTTTCTTCCCTCTAAGCCTCCTCTGTCCTCATGTTTCTGGGCTCTGTCTCTGCTCCCCTGGCCCCACTAGACACATCTAGTCAGCTATCAAGTTCTTCCCCAAAGAGGATCACCTTATCTTCTCCTCTGATCCCAGATCTCCTCCACTTCTCTGTGGCTCCTCCCTTCCAACTCCCCACTTGCTCTACACCAGCTGTCAGAGTGACCCTTGCACAGCACAGACCTAGTGAGGCTTTCTCCTACTCACACCCTTTCTGGGCTTCCCCTGCTGTCCAAAGTCTAAATGCCTCATTTTAGCACAGAGGCATTCACTGTCTCCTTGCCTTCCTCCCCAGGGTCACATGTCATCCCTGTCCCCACCTGCCAAGCATACATGCACTCAGAGTGCATCCTTTACTCCAGACACCTCCAGCTCCTGCCATTCCCTGAGCACATCAGATTGCGGTGCTGCCCCTGTTACCTGGAGTACACCCCCCATGTACTCCCTGCTGTTTCCTTGCCTCTGGTGGTACTGTTCTCCCTCACTTCCAGGCTCCTCTCATCTTAATTCTTCACAACAACCTTTTCTGCCCTCACACCCTCCTGCAAGTAAATTTTGCCCCAGTATACATGTATGTCCCCTACCATGTTTGCAGCACAGGAGTGAGCTCTGCACCCCAGCTCCGGGAGGCGCTGGAGAGCAGGGCTAAATGTGTTGTTCTTATATCACCAGCTTTAATCACAGGGTTCGGCACGAAGCAGCCCTCATTAACTGTTCACTGACCAGTAATCACAAATATGTTCTCTGTTTCCCCATCCTAGGATAAAGTTCACATTCCTGGTGCAATCTACCTCTCAATCAAATTTGATCCTCAGTGCAATACAGAGGAAGGCTGTGACGAATTAGCCATGTCCAGCAGTAGTGACTTCCAGCAGGACCGACACAATTTCAGTGGGTCTCAACAGAAATGGAAAGATTTTGAGCTTCCAGGTACTAAATAAATACTTGGTTATAAACTCTTAACGTTAGTATTTAAACTTAGTACTGATAAGGGAAATTGGTGGAGAATTAAAAACGGGTTTACTATATCTCATCAGAAACACATTTGCCATTCCCTGTTGCTGCAGTGACCTGACCTGTTTCTGATTCTTGTATGACCCAGGAGACACACTGTATTACCGCTTCACTTCTGACATGAGCAACACTGAGTGGGGCTACAGATTCACTGTGACAGCTGGACACCTGGGGCAATTCCAGACAGGTGTGTGCTCTGAACTTTCCCTTTGCATGACAGGGACACTCTGTGCTGTAGTTGCCACTCTGTCACTTGATCTTTGTTAATATCAAAGCAAGTGCTTTTCTCTAAGACTGCCACAAACCCCACATGTGTCATTCTTGAATATGCTGTAGTTGGCTGGTTATCAACTCAAATGGCCAGATAGAAGAGCCATTCATTGATCTGTTAAGATCTAAAGGTGGTTGTTCACTTAGAATTTGTCAGGGCATTTTACAAAAAAGGAGTAACTGATCTGTGTTTTGTGGGGGTGGGCCAGGATTCGAGATTTTGAAGCAGATGTTGTTAGAAGAAAGAGTTGTGCCACACCTCCCACTGGCCAAAATTTGGGAATGGCTGGTGGGTGTGGCCTGTCGCCAGACTGGTCATCAGAGATTAAAAGCTATCCATCTACTTCTGAGGATTGTACGATGCTGCACACATAGGTAAGCTGCTTCTGATTATGAAACCTTTGCTGGTTATTGTGAATATCTCCTCCTACTCTGTGGCTTGCTTTTTAACTGTCAGTGGTGTCTTTGACGGAAAAAAGTTTCTCATTTTGATGTCTTCCAATGCATCAGTCATTTCCTTAATAGTGCTTTTGGTGTTCTGCTTAAGAATTTTTTGCCTTGAGGGCCTCCCCGGTGGCGCAGCGGTTGAGCGCTGGGCTGCGAAGCTGCCCACAGCCTCTGCAGTGCCGGTTCAATCCCCGGCTGTGGCAAGGGTCCCACATGGTGTGCAGACCTCTCCTGCCATGCCTGCTGCTCCCCTCAGCAGTGTACTTTGTCGGTCTGCCTGTTCTGCTCCCTGCTCTGGCTCTGGTGAATTCTCTCACCCTCCCGTGCTTCTGACTGTTCCCAGTGCTTGTATAAATAAAAAAAAAAAAAAAAAAAAAAAAATCTTTAAATAAATAAATAAATAAACAGAAATCTTTAAAAAAAAAAAAAGAATTTTTTGCCTTACTTGACCTTGGGGTCATGAAGGTATTGCCTTTGTTATCTTCTAAAAACTTCCTTTCATATTTAGATCTGCAATTCAAATGGAATGAATGTTCGTGCATGATATGATGTACAGTGGTCAAAATTAGTTCTCTCTCTCTCTTTTTTGTATCCAGAATGTTTATTGGGATGGTGTCTCACTCTTAGCTCTATTCTTTTGAAAACAGTTTCCATTGAGAACTGTCTGGTCATATGGTGTGTATGAAACATGTCATTTCTACTGTCATCAGACTGAGGGCTCTTCCTGCCTGCATTGTGAACGCATGCCTGCAGTTTGTTGTCCATCCCCAGCCTCCCTTCCAGGAGGAACACTCTTGCACCCCAGGGTCCCAGAGGCTGGAGGAAGCGCCGAGCGTGGCTTGCCACTGACGGTTTCACACTCGTTCTTCCTGGGTAGCCTAGACAAGTGCCAGAATAGGGGACTTTGCCAGAGTCCAGACTGATGAGCAGAGGGGAAAGAGCCCACAGAAAAAGAATGACAGGCACAAGAACTGCCACAGGAGACTCTGCCATGGCACAGGCCATAGAGTTGCGTTTTATTTCATACTAAGTGCTTTCCTGAAAACCCAGTGTAAAGCCATTTCTTTAACTCAAACCAAATTTTCCCATTGGTTTACTTTTTTTTTTTTTTTTTTGATTTATTTATTTATTTATACAAGCACTGGGTACAGTCAGAAGCGCAGGAGGGTGAGAGAATTCACCAGAGCCAGAGCAGGGAACAGAACAGGCAGACTGACGAAGTACACTGCTGAGGGGAGCAGCGGGTGGCAGGAGAGGTCTGCGCACCATGTGGGACCCTCACCCGGTGGCCGGTGATCGAACCGGCGCTGCAGAGGCTGTGGGCAGCTTCGCAACCCAGTGCTCAACCGCTGCGCCACCGGGGAGACCCTACCATTGGTTTACTTTTATGAAGACTTATTTGGGAGAAAGTGCTGGGCTTCAAGGTTGCACTTAAATATATGGAATTATTTTTTAAAGTCATGCACTAAAGACAAAAAGCAAAACTTGGGCCTCCCCGGTGGCGCAGCGGTTGAGCGCTGGGTTGTGAAGCTGGTTCGATCCCCAGCTGCTCCCCAGCCACAGAAGGAGGGTCCCGCATGGCGCGCAGACCTCTCCTGCTGCCTGCTGCTCCCCTCAGCAGTGTACTTCGGTCCCTCTGCCTGCTCTGCTCCCCGCTCTGGCTCTGGTGAATTCTCTCACCCTCCCACGCTTCTGACTGTACCCAGTGCTTGTATAAATAAATAAACAAATCTTAAAAAAAAAAAAAAAAAAAAAGCAAAACTGAAGGTTATAAATGTATAAAATTGTGGTAAGTCCCCGAATATTGTATATCTCATAATTTTTCTTCTCTGAAAGATGTTGAACTGGAACTAAAGTATAATCTCTCTGCAAGTAAAAAAGATGTCAATACAGTCACAGTAGGGGTCTATCTATTTGAAAAGAATTCTGTTTTTTAGAAGGATTTCTGCCCTGAGCGGAAGCTTATTTCTTGTGTTGTGTAAGCCTTAAATTTTAATAATGGTTGTTGTTGTCTTTTAATTTTTTCCCCCATTTATTAAAGCAGTGAGTGCTGTAGACAATCTGGAAAACTGACAGGGATAAGTATTGATAACATTTTAGATATGTTTCTTTACTGTCATTTTTAGTATGGTCACACAATACTGCACATGCACATTTTTCAAATTGTATTTTGTGTACGCAGTTTTATATCTTGCTTCTTCCCCACATAAGATTTATCTTGAGATTTTCCACTGTCATTGGAGGCTCTTACAGCCACCATTGTTAAGGATGTGCAGGTGATCTTTGTGAATATGCTTCAGAATCTCTTGTTTCCTGGAGTCTGGTTTTGAAATTTGGGTTCTGTCCCTTCCTTTACTTGCTGTTAATGAATATTTCTGACTGTTTTGGGGGGAGGGTCAGTGGGATCCTCTCGTAACTACTAAGTGTGGGAGATGAAGAGGAGCGCAAGCCACCTGACATCTCTACCCTTCCTCCCACAGTGACCTCTGTGACCTTGCGCTGTTAAAGCCGCTGTGGCAGCTCTTTACCCACATGGAGTACAGCCTATTTGAAGATGTGACTCAGCCTGGCATCCTCCTCCCCTTGCACCGTGCCCTCACCGAGCTCTTCTTCGTCACCGAGAATCGCGCCCAGGTGAGGGCCCTGCTTCTCACCCAGGGGCTTGAGAGCACAGAGTGCTCCTTCTGTTGCCCCTCCCAAGCCCTGGGGTGTCATTGAGTCTTGGCAAATCTGCACAGGGAGGCAAGCTTGGCCTAGAGTTCAAGGTCCTCACCTCTCCCCAGCCTCAGGAAGCTCCCTGGTTGGCACCGAGATTTCTTATTTTGTCAGGCCTAAAGCCAAAGTGGGAGAAAACTATCAGCCTTTGACAACAGTGAGTATTGGCGCCACCAGGGAGGCCCAGTTTTGGAAAATAAAACAGATGCATTCGTTTTTTTCCTCCCTTCAGCAAAATAGACTTATTGAATATGAGAGATGAAAAGGCCTTTCAAAGTTCTTTAGCTTATGCTCTCATTTTATACATGAGGAAACTGCCCGGAGAAGGGGGTCCTCTGCCCGGGCACCCTGTGAGTAAGTCAGGGCAGAGTCCCCCGGGCACCAGCCTCCTCCCTGTCTGTACTCCTTCTGTGCATCTTGAGTGGGGTGGTACCATGAGCTGCCCAGCAGAGGGAGGCCTGATTACCTACTTGAGATCTCTGTGGCTGTGGGTGGGTGTCCCCTGGGTGGTGGTCGTTTAAAGTTTCACCCTTGCTCTCTCCACAGGAGCTCGGCTTGCTGCAGGATTACCTGCTGGCCTTAACCACTGACGACCACCTTCTCCGCTGCGCAGCACAGGTATGCCCCCTGCCTGCACTGGCTCCCCGGGGCGGTCAGCCCCACTCTCTGTGGCCAGGACAGAGAGCCTCTACACAGATGGCACGTGTGCAGAGCCCATCCAGGGTTTACATGAGCTTTGTTCCAATTCAGCCACTTGTCCCTGGTGTCGGGGAGAGCAGGCGACCCCATTCATCTGTGTCATTCATATTGAACTCTAGGGTCAGAAGACACTAGCAAGAATTTGTGTCTTTAAAACAAAACAACCAAAGCCTTAAGTTTACAGTTTGGCTCATCCGTAAAGTTTCCATAGAGTTAGATTTTAGATGTTTGGGGCTGTGATTTGCTTCCCTGATAGAAGAACTCATCTGACAGCTGTTCAGTCCCAAGGTTCCTTTTACCTTTAAGTTATCAAGGATCCAGAAAAGCTTTTGTTTATGTTTGTAATATATAGGTGATTAGAGATCGACACATACCATTAGAAATTAAGTTACATTTTAAACTTGGAAATTAAGTTAAAATAAGGATTTTAAACATTTATCAATTAATTTTTTAAAACAACAAACCAATTTCATGTTAACATGAATAACATGTTTTATCAAAAGCAACTATATTTTTCAAAGCAAAATGATTACTGTGAAGGGTGGTTCGTTTTTATAGCGCTCTTTACTTTACTGGCTGGCTGAAAGAAGACAGTGGGGCCTGCATATCTGCATCTGCCTTCAGTTATTTTATTATTGTGCACTAACCTCTGGGAAAGTCCGCTCATGAGAGTATGAAAGGGGAAAAGGCAATATTCTATCATAAAAGTAGTTTTTTACCATGTGGCGCCCCTGAAAGGGTCTTGGGAACCCCAGGCCCCAGAAAACATGTTGAGAACCTTAGCCTCACAGGAGTCAACTGTCACAGAGCATGTGGCCCGACCCTCACAGCCCATGGCTCAGGGGCCAGCGTCGCACTTGAGTGCACATCTGACTGGACTCCCAGCCAGAGCCTGCGCTCTGTTGCTGGCCAGTTTTCTCAGTGAGCACAGGGTCCCCCTGCAAGAGCATCTAAATGGCTGCTTAGAAGCTGGGACCCCCACAGCAACTACAAAAGAGTTGTATGAACTCTCTTGAGACCTGCAGTCAGGGCAGAAACGCCCTCCCCTCCCAGCAGATGCCTGCCAACACTCCAGCACCCCTAGTTCCAGTGAAATTTGAGCATTTGGACATCAAAAGTTCGATATTGCACATTCCTGTGGCTTCTCCCTCTTTCCTGTCCCGTGTCCAGTCTCCTCACCCTCATTCTGGCCCTCCCCAGGGCCTGTTCATTTGCTGGACCAGTGCTCTGAGTTTCTCCCGGCCTGCCACGTCTTTCTCCCCAGGCACCCGCCACTCCTGAAGACCAGCCTCAGCCCAACACCCTAGGCCCAGCACTGCCTGTTTATTTTTTCCCTCTGCACCTTTGTGCTACCCCCTTTCCCTAAGGAACTTTGCCTGAGCCTAGCACTGCACCTGCCCCTGTCTTGGGGCAGTGATGATTTCTGTCTGATGTGTGAAGTTTTTGTATGGTCTCAGTAGCTTTTTGTCTCTCACTCTAGACTGTGGCCCTCCAGGTGAGGGAAACCACCCCTAGCTTGAGCTGTCGCCTCCCTGCCCCCTGAAGTGCTCAGCTCAGGGTCTTGTTCTGTAGGCACTTCATGAATGCGCAAGGATGTGGTTCTTGACAATGATGACGACTCTCCCTCCACAGGCTCTGCAGAACATCGCTGCTATCAGCCTGGCCATCGACTACCCCAACAAGGCAACCCGCCTCTGGAATGTTGAGTGTTAGCCCCTGGCGTGGCGTGCATGGAACTAGCTAATCTTAATCTGTCCACAGGGATTTTAGAGCAGATAGCTGAAGTTCCTGTGGCATCAGTGCCCGCTCTCCTTGAGCTCCCACTTCCACTTTGATTAGAATGCCAAGCAGTCACGTCTCCAAGAGCTTCCCGTGTCACAGGCCAGACACCTCCACATACATGTGAGAATAAGCAAAGCAATGCGGACATCTTCAAAAAGGGCAGACAGAAGGCCCTTGAGGAGGTTGTTTCTAGACAGCAGTCTTCTCCGGGGTCTGCACCTACAGAAGCTGCAGCCCTGGGGGGACCTGGAATTAGCCTCGCTGAAAGATTTCTATCTCAGTTGCTCCAGAACAGCCTGCGTTTGCCCCTCAGTTGGAGACAAAGTGTGTCCAGAGTCCCTTTCTCAGCAAGACTTTCAGCAGCAGTGACCTGGCTCGGGACTCCTCTTTTGCTTTTGCTTCTTGAGACTGGATAATCCAAACCAAAAGTGGTGAGAGCCTCTCCTGGCCATTACCTGGTCCCCAAGCACTGAGTACAGGACCGGGCACCGTCCCAGAGAAATCCACGGTGAGAACAAGTGCCCTTGGGAACAGCCAGCAGGCCACCTAGTGTGTCTGCTCACGCAGTGGCTCCCAGCACATCCACTTTATTTTAGTTGTTTTAACATAGTTCAGTTCCCACCTCATGTTTTTAGAATAGAACCACACTGACTCCCTTGAGAGGGCCTCTAGGGAGTGACCAGCGGAACGGTCATTCTGGGGGACAACTGGTTTGTGTCAGAGTAGCAGGATGGGAGGAATGCTCTTTAGCTCCTCTACCTAAAGTCTTGACATGGTCTCAGAGGAGCTCTTATTTTAGAAGTCAAAAACAAACAGAAAAAAACACATGATGGTTTTATTTCTGCTCCATGGTCACAGTAATCTATCCCATCCACCTCTGGGACGCTGCGTGGTTTTTCGGCTGTCACTTGTCAAGCAATAACTACATTAGTTCTAATGAATGCTGTTTTCCATTTTTCTTTTTATGGTTGTAGCCTTGCCCCGAAGTGCTGATTAGAATTCCCTTTCCAAAGCCCCGCTTTGGAGTGTGGAGCTGGGTTGGCACACAGGCTGTGTTCAAGCCTCAGTGGGATGCGTTGGCATGAGGAAAGCCTGAAGCAGCTGCCACTTAAAGGCGGGTGTTTGGACCCAGGCTAGTCTTGCCACACAGAAGGCTCATCATAGTCGGGGCCAAGTTGAGCAGGTTGGCGTTGCCATGGAAACCCCCTGTGCAGGGTCTGCAGGCTTCTAGAGTGGAAGGGCCTGAGACTGCAGGTCCCAGGAGGACCTTCCTGCATGAGAGGGAGACCAAGGAGTAGCAACCTTCTGTGGCCCCAGAGTTAGATTCTCAGCCAAGCCTCAAGGCTGGCTGTGGAGCTGTCATGGAAGGAAGAGTGCAAAGGAGAAAAACATGGTCCTGAAACTTGGTGACTTAAAGGCCCAACACCCACCCTGATAACCACAAAGCCTGGGCCTGGCCTCATCTGCCATGGTGTGGGGACACAAGAAGACAGGCATTGCTGGCTTGGTAGGAACCCTTTTCCCATCTTTTGCTCTGCCTGCATCCCCAGAGAAGGCCCCATACTCCGTACCACCCAGAACCAAGTAGGTCTTGCAATGAAGAGGGAAGCCACAGAGAACAAGTGGGCTCAGACTCACCAATAGACTGCTTGCAAGAGACATGACGGGACGGTCCAGCCCACTGCTGACCCTCACCATGCTATCGACACCCCTCCAGACCTTGGACTGACTGAGTAAGGCAGGACAGATGGGCAGGGCAGGCAAACCCCTCGCTGCCATTGCTATCAGCTTTGCTCCCCATCCTCCCATCAGGAAGAAAAACTGTAAATAAACGCCGGACTCCTCATATCTTCTGTCCATAGACCGCCCTTGCTATTCTGGTCTCTCTGTACTTCAGTTTGCGTAGAACAAGCCTAAGTTTTCCCTTCACACACAACTGCTGCTCTCTCCTGGCAGGGCCCCCGCTGGCCTGGCATCCCTGCATCCCACCTCTGCTTCCAGCCACTGGGCGGCACTGCCGAGTCAGGCCCAGCTCCCATGACCCCGGGGAGGCCCGAGGCTCCCTCCACTCCTGGGCAAGAACAGATTTCCATCGAGACCAACATCCATCCCTTTGAATTCTTAGGAGTCGGGACTGCAGGGCTCAAACAACAATGAGATAAAACTGGCAGGAATAAAGGTGTTGTGGAAACATGTGCCTAATCTATAAAGAAATTCTGTTCCAAATCATATATATTGTACAGACAGACACTGTTCCTAATGAGAGGAGTGACTTATTTTCATCATCGTTTTTAATTTGTTTTCTTACGGGTTTACGATTTTGAATTTTTCTTATTGGTTGAAAGAAAGAATTTTGATTATATCAGCTGAGTGAGTTCAGCCTGTAAAAAAAAGATGTTAAGTTGTGGGTAAAATATGCAAATGAAGAGAAATATATTGTACAAATTCTATATAAAAAAAGGTAAAATCATGTGTGGGCTTTTTTTTTTTCCTTCCCCTTCCTCTGTCTCTTACAAAGATTATGTTTGAGGTTTCTACCAAACCCAAGCTGCTGGAATTTCTAGAATCCCTCAGGGTTGAAAGGGATCAGAAAGTTTCTCTAGCACCTCTCACAGCCTTGACTATAGCCCTGTAGAGAGCCCCCCACCCCCAGTCTGAACCCTGTGTTCACCCCCTGCTTCCTGGGCCTGCCTTCTGCACAGCTGTTGGGAGGTTGGCACACACTTGCTGTCCCCAGTCAGCTCCTGACAGACTCCCCTCCCCCACCCCACCCTTCCTTCACCTCCTGTTGCTCACTGGATTCTGCCTGCAGCCCTAGCAAGGAGGAGGCCAGGAATCTGACCACCGGGCCTGCTGCTCCTCCAGGGCTGGTTTCCTCCTTCCCTGCCTCTGGACCCAGCTTCTGACTAAACTGGCTACCGTGGGCCTGTGTTTGGGGCTCGTCCTTCTTCCTCTATATCTCTGGTTGGTCACTTTATCTCCTCCTCGGCCACACTCCTGGTGCTGAACACACTGTCACTTGTGAACTAGAAAAGAGAGGCTTTTTGGTGGGAACTGAACTTAACTAATTTTTGAGGCCCATTTGTTCTAATCTGACAATGGCTAACGTGTTCCTGAAACTCCTAAACTGCCTCCTGGGAATCCTGGGCAGGGCCCTGAACCCAGTCTCAGCCCTCACCAACTTTGAGACCAGAGAGAAAACTGGCTCAGCATGAAGTCAGCAGAACTGGGTACTCCCACGACCTGAGCAGCCCACTCATGCGCCACCTCCACCACTCCCTCCAGCCCCCCCCACCGCCCTGCCCGTCAGCCGGCGCCTCCCTGTAGGACCTTTTGGTATTAATTTCACCCTCCCCTGCCTCACCCTCATGTCACTTGAGCGCTCTGGGCCTCTACTCTGAAAAACGGGTCTGGAGCACCTGACTGTGTTTTGCTGTTTGTTTGAGCCCTGCCAGTTGGTGTAGCTGGCTGCTTCGCTAGGCTAGGAAGCAGGAGCAGAGGTGCTAGGGTTACGTGCCCAGATTAGCCCACAAGTAAATGATAGAAGGCCTCAGGCATCAAAAGCAATTTGAACTCAAGCTTTTTTAGAGTGAAAGAGAAGCACAATTCAACCAGCGGAGCCTCCTTTGATAAGAATGAGAAGCTGTGAGAGGCCTGCTTAGAATCACACAGGAAGTGGTTGCAGAGCCGGACCAGTATAGTTCTGACGCCCAGCCCCAGAGCCATCACTTCAGCCCGCACTTGCCCATTCATGCCACAGTAAGCTGGGGATGGGGGCTTCATTAACCCAGCTTTCAGACTGAGGCCAAATCTCAACATGGCCCTAAATGCCTAAGGCAGGCCCGGTCACTTAGCTAACTGCCCTCTCCTTCCCTGCCAGAATTCAGTGTTTCGCAGGTGGCGACCAGAGATCTTTCGTCTCAAGAAAGGTGGGACCTTCTACTTGCTCATGAGGAAAGTGATAATTGGTTTAAATCCTGCTCAGTTGTCTCACTTCTGTTTGGTGAGTGCTCACTTTCCCAGCAGTCAGCACACCTGTGTAACCCAGTTCTGGCTAGAGTTCAGCAGAGATCTGCTGGGAGGCTTTAGGGAAGGGGCTGTACCTCAGGCCCTCCACTCTCCATCTGACTGATGAGAGTACAGTGCATGTGTCCCCCATGATCTTGTCTCAATGGGGGAAAACAGTCTATTGAAAGGAGAGTGACGTGAGCCCAACAACTACCAACCTCCAGACCATGTGTGCTGGGGTGATACTGGATGATCTCTCTTACAGCTGAACAGCATTTCTGACCCAGACTCTGCATTATGCAACATTTTGGCTCGAATAGAAAGAATAGCACAGCTCTGTCTGATCACGTTAATATGAACAGTATATAGGCAAGTAAGTTAAAATTCTGAAATACAGTTAAGCCACAGATGGCACCAAGCTGCAGCCATCCCCCACTTATTCTCCTTTCTAGGGGTTCTTGCAGGTTTTGCTTGTGCTCAGCGAGGTTCCAGACTCTAACTTTAGAGGCACTGCCCTGGTTTCATTGGGACGTCTTCTGTTACAAATAAATCCACTTCAAACTTTTCTTTTTTGCACAAGTTTTCAAAACTCTTGAACTTTTTCAAAATTGGAATGTTGCTTAATGTGCTTGAGACAGTTTATTAAGTGTGAGTAAGGCCCTATAAAATAAATGTCTCTCAAACATGAATAAACTGATCCTACTCCCAAGCCGACAAAGGCCCAAACCTGGTTTTATCCAGTCATAGGCTTTGCCGGACGGCAAAACCAAAGCACAACAAAACAGAAACTTCTTCATCACATTTGGCTACCCGTTATTTAAAGTGCCGATGAATTTATGCAATTTGAATTTGAATTATCAAGACTCATTTAATCAAACATCCGCACAATGGTAAGAATGAGACTTTAATAAATTTTAAGTGGATTTTATAACCCTATGAAAAAGTTGTTAAAACAGTAAGGAATGGACACCTGATGCGTAGGAGGCTTTCTCCTGTACACATCCCGGCCACCGCCGCACAGCCCAGGAGTATCGGAAGAGGCTGAGTCAGAGTAAGGCTGTTTAACAGATTTAATTTTTCATATTGTATATGAAAACATTGAATTGTTGAGCTGGCAGGGGAGAAAGCAGCTCTGCCAAGTACCGCAGCTAAAGCCCCCGCTTCAGGGCCTCCCTGGTGGCACAGGGGGTTAAGTCTCAGCATGACAAAGCTATCTGCAGCACAAGTTCAATCCCCAGCCAGGGAGGTGACCCACATGGCGCAGCAGACCTCTCCTGTCTCACCCGCTGCTCCCCTCAGCAGTGTATTTAGTACATCTGCCTGTTCTGCTCCCCACTCTGTCTCTGGTGGATCCTCTCACCCTCCCAGCCCACACCCCAGCTCTTGTATGCATAAATAAATGAACTTTAAAAAAAAAAAAAGCCCCTACTTTTAGGGCACACCTTTGCCCTCCTATCTGCACCACATCGTTAACAGAGTATGAATGTAAACCAGCCAGTATGTGACTACCAGGGCATTTTGAACACGTTGCACAGATTTTCTAGAACTAAACATGTAACTTGCCCCACAGTTATTTTTTTATGCCGAAACTTGATGCTGCCAGTAAACTCCACTTCCGTTTACAACCTGTGCCACAGCAAAGAGTGGCGATGCTGGTCGTTCAACTACTCTTTAATGATTATGGCACAAATCGTTCTTCAGGAGGAGTTACAGAGCACCTGTGATGGTCCAGAGTCCAGTTGTAAGCTTTCTTAAAAGTGATGCAAACTAAATTTTGAAAAGAGAATTTATCGGCTTACAAAACTGAAAAGCTCAAGAGGTGCATCTGGCTCCAGGCAAAGCTAGATTCCAGCGGCTCAGGATGTCAAGTCAGTCAGTCTCTCCACACCCACTGTCCTCACTCCCTCTTCCTCACACCCTGCTCTGCTGCTCTCTTGGGTTTTCATAAAGGTGAAGGTGTGGTGTAGGCCAGAGGTGTGGGGGTGGTGAAAGGAGACAGAGTGGGGAGCAGAACAGGTGGGGCTACACCGATACAGTAAGGGGAGCACTGGGTGAGACAGGAGAGGTCTGCTGCGCCATGTGGGTCACCTCCCTGGCCGGGGATCAAACTCATGCTGCAGTGGCTCCCTGACAGCTTGACAATGCTGACGCTAACCCCTGTGCCACCAGGGAGTCCCCATATATTCTTTTTAAAGGAAACTCACTCCATCTCTAGCTGCAGGGGTAGGCAAGTAATCATTCTTTATAGCCACACAGTCAATCAGGCCCGGAAAGAACAACTAGCCCAAGATAGACAAAACTGATTCTTTCAAAGCATTCAAAGAAAAAACTGTCAACTGAGAATCCTATGGGCAATAACGTTAACTTTCAAAAAATGAAGATGAAACAATTCCCAGATAAAACTGAGTTTGTTGCTAGCAAAACTTCCTTACAAGAAAAACTAAAGGAAATTCTCTAAGCTGGAAGCAAGTGGCTTCAGACAGTAGTTTAAACCCACATGAAAAGACAAGAAACATGGTCAATATAATTATAGAAGAAAACATAAATATTTTTGTATAAAACGATTCTATAAAACAATATGTAATGAGGTATTGTTGGGTCTGTTACATAAAGAAATGTAATGTATTTTTACCATTGACAGGAAAAGGAGGTGGGTGGGAACAAAATTGTATTGGGTGAGGAATTCTAGATGGTAACTTAAATCCATAGGAACAGAAAAGGAAAACCAGAAATTAAAATAAAAGACAATGTAACAAAAACTATAAATAGGGCCTCTCTGGTGGCCTAAAGGTTAAGTCTCAGCACTTACTACCAGTAAGGCTGAGTTCGATCCCCAGCTAGGGAGTTAACACACAGGGTGCAGCAGACCTCTCCTGTCTCACCTGCTGCTCCCCTTAGTGTATTTCAGTAGGTCCACCTGTTCTACTCCCTCCTCTGTCTCCTCTCACCACCCCCACACCCCAGTTCTTCTATGCAAAAAAAAAACCCCAAAAACTATAAATATATACTTGGCCTCCCATCTTCCTTCAACTTCCTTGAAGGTTATAAAATTATGAAAATTTATAATTATAATAATATATTGTTGGGTTTTTAACATTTATAGAAGTGATATGTATAATGGTAATGACACAAATAGGTGGGAAAGGAAATGTGATTATATAGGAGTAATGGTTACATATTTCATTGTTTTTGAAGTTAGTGTAAAGCTGAAACTGATTCTAAGTAAGATATATGCAGTAAGTCCTATAGCAACAACTAAGGAAATAATGCAAAAAATTATTTTAAAGTTTTAAATGCTGCATTAAAAATATTTACATAATGCAAAATATAGCAATGAAGGAGAAATAAAGGAAAATAAATGAAAAGACATGAAAAACAAAAAGTAAAATGGGAGCCATAAATTCAACTAGATCCATAAAACATTAAATATTAATGGCTCAAACAATGCAATTGAAAGG